CAAAGGTGGTAACAGAACAGCAACAGCGCACTCTAGAAGCACAAGAGTTTTTAGCAGCCTTTGACATTTTGAGGATCTTGCTGAAACATCTAAAGAAGCCACTCTTTCTCCCAATAAATAAAACTGAAATGCCTCTTTGTTTAGCCAAGGAAAGTGAAAATATCTTTGAGGAACAGCAAACTTATATTAATGTTTTAATATTAAATATTAAACATGTATTAGTTCTGCTGTTGTACTGGTTATTTTATTATGGCTTTGAGTTTTCAATCATTGTAAAACACCTTAAGGGCATTTGTCTGTTAGGGGAGAAATAAATTTAATAGATAAAGGAACAGATGATCAGATTATACCTGCACTTAAGCATAAACACTACCAAGCACATGAAAGCTCCTGGCCAACCTCACTGGGCATATCCTTATGCATGAAACTATGCCCAATACTTTTCAAGATATTAAACAGGGATGCAGGGCAAATAACTATGTGAACAAAGTTTAAAAAAAACAAATAGCCCTGGCTCAAATTAAAATACCAAGTAATTATCATGACACAAAATTGATTGGGATAGCTAAATACCTGGAACAGGCATAGCTAATTTCCTCCACTGCTTTTCAGAGCAGGGGCAATTAAATTTGTTAGGCCAAATCATCTCCTCAACTCTCAGCTTTGTAAATGGTGGACAACCATAACTTCACTTCCTCCCTGTGTAGGATTGATGACTACTACAAGATTTTCAGAATAAGAAAAGCAGATGGTCATATTGGTTGTTTACAAAGTGCCACTGTATTTATTTATTCATTCATTCAGTTTGTACCCTGCCTTTCCCCCAAGACAAATGATACTCAAGGCAGCTTAGAAAATGTAGCTTACATAAATAAAAGTTGATTAAAATGATAGTAAAAATGTGTTAAAGCACAATTGAAAACACAAAAATATAACACAATCAAAACAGCATCCAACCTACTAAAGAGCTAAAGCCCTGCTTGAATAAAAGCATCTTTGCTTTCCTAACAACAGAGAGAGAATGAACTAGTTTCCCTTGGTGGGTATTTCCACAGCCTGGGAGGGCCTCCCTTGTGCTGTTACCAAACATGCTTCTGAAGGCAGCAATATCAAAAGATGGGCCTCTCTTGAAGGTAGCCAATGAGAGAATACGCAGTTTCTGCAGTGTGGTCCCAAGCCTGAGGGCTTGATAGGTTGCTGCTTTAAACTGCACTCATAACCAGACCAGAAGCTGTTGCAACAACAGAATTGCATGCTTTATGACCAGCCCCAGTCAACATCCTGGCATAGCATTCTGGACCTCATGAAGTTTCTAAACAGTTTTCAAAGAGCCTGTTACAATAATCCAAATGGGATGCAACTAAGGCATGCAGTTGGTGCACTGGTCTTATCTGTGCAAACACATTCCTGGCTACTGTTGAAAACCAGGCATCTCGAGCATGTGCACTTTACCCACTGACTCCACTGGAATTCACTCCCTGCTCATGTTTTCTTGGAAGTGAAACACACCAATTTCACCTAGAATTTACACCTGCCTTGGTTTGTAGCCTGCTCTGTCTCCCAACTGTTACTTTTTTCTTGAACTAAGAAAAATGGAGACTAAACAAAGTTATATGGGAAATAAAATACTAGAACCCTCTTAGACTAAATCTTATTCAGTTTTATTTTTTATGTTAAGTACTGCAATTGGCCTCCTTCTTGTTTCGGCAGTGAGAATACAACTTCTCCCTCTTCTGTTTCCAACTACATAATCTATTTGATTTCTATATTGGCATCTGGTGATGGCTATACATACAGCCATACATACAGCCATATTTGTAAAAAACAAATATTTTTCATGAATGAACATCTTTTTTATTCATTTTGAAAGTTTGTCTCTGGTAGTAGTGTAAATCCCACGCCAATGCCATAGGAATTGAGGTACTGAGTTTGTTTTAGGTAGAGAAGGTTTATTATAGTGGCAGCAGTTCTGTAACTGAGCAGCATTTCCTAGTGGTGAGGTCTGTGGCTGTGAGTTGCACAGATCCAAGGGTCAAAGTTAATTCTAAAAACAGAAATGTAGCAGACTAACCCACATGCTGCTCTGTTGCCTCTGGTAGTGCAGGCAGGGTCATCTACAGTGTTTCTTTCAGCCAGGTTTAGACTGAAAGTACAGTAATTTACTGCTACAGCCTCTAACCAGAACAAACCCAGAACCAAGAGCCCAAATGGCTAACAATTTTGTTCTGTATTATGATATTATGACACAACTCACTTGCTGGAAAACCAACATTACTTGGAGCACCCATAAATGTCTAATAGATCAATACTTTTTAGAAGGAATGGGAAAAACTATGTCAGGAGTTTTACTGATTGGATATTTTTTTTAAAACTCCCCCTATGTCTTTGTTATTTCCAGAAACGTTACATCTCTCATCTTTCTGTAAAAGATTTATTCTATAATTTTCAGAAATTATTTGGGACCTGTAAGTACCTTATCTTAAAATAGTATTCATCATTCTAAAAGGAAATATAATACAAAGCCATTCACTTTTTCAGGAAAAAAAGAAGCAATCTTTGGAGGAGGGGAAGATGGGGGACTTTTTTCGTGAATTTGTCTGCTTTTGCTGAGGCTTCCTATCTCTAGGTCCAAGACATCCAGAAGATCGGGGGAAGGTTTGTTAAAAAGTGCACCTTGAACAGCTTAAAAGAAGAAACAGCATCTGTATCCCTTAAAAAAAAAAGATGGAGTCTTGAGGCATCTTAAAGATTAACAAATTCATCCTGGACAGACCGACTTTTTCAGATGTATAACATGTCACTGGAAGGATGGAGAGCTATTACTATGCAGAGCCATATGCAAACATGAGCCAGTGAAATAAAGAGTGAAAGAATCAAAGGGTGTGCGAGTGACCCAACTCCCAACTGCCAAGGCCAGATAAAAAGCCTACACGGACACCTAACGAGGGCAATTATGTTCTGCAGGGAGCCAGCACTCCCCGTCTCTATTCCAAGGCCGATAGTGTCAAATCTGCATATGAATTCCTAGCAAGTAGCTTCAGGCTGATTCTCCCTTTGAAACTTTTTTCCATCCAAGCCTGGCAACTTTCAAGTCCTACTGAATGCCCAAGGGGATTGCAGTGTTCCTCCTTTCCGAGCGATTCTCCGGGGCGAGACGGCTGAGCTGGAATTCAGATGCTAATTTGACACTGTGAAAGTCGCGTTGAAGAGAGACTGGGAGTGGCTAGTTCCCCACAGAAGGTAATTGTCCCTTGTACGGCATTCATGCGCCGAGTTATAATCGTTCTTTGCCAATTCATTAGCAGTTGGGAACGGGTCAGACCCACTCGGATTGTATCCTTTCCCCTTTTTGCTGGCCCTTGTCTGCATAGTAATAGCTGACTTGCACTGCTAGCCTTTCTGGCCCCATTTTATAACCGCTCTCCCCGCTTTTTCTGTTTGTATGTGTGTGTTCTCATGCATCAGATAATATAGACTCTTATACTAGTTATACGTGCTAGTTTTCAAGCTGTCACATAATCTTTCTTGCTTTGCTGCATCAAAACGAGTGCAGCTCGTTTTCCAAATCTAATTTCCCAATAGTCGGTGTCAGAGACTCCAGGAAGAGCAAGAATGAACACTCAAATGCTCAGGAAGGCCTCTCTGTTAGGAACCTTACAGTTTTATTGGTCAGAAATCTAGGAACAAACCTTTCTGCAGAGAATACCTACAACAACGGTGTTGAGTAGAAGTGTGCTACTAATTACAAGATTCCAGAACATATACAGACTGTTTTCTAGGTTTTGAGTCACGTATGCAGGAGCAGATGATGACAAAATAATGGGAACATAGTAGAAAAGAATGTGAGAGATCTGCAGAGGGGATTTAATACAATAGTGTCCATGGTTACAGAATATAGACATGACAATCAGGAATCATTGCCGGTCTTAGTTGTAAGTCTGAACATGGAAATGATTACAATATTGCTAGAAAAAACTAGTCTGACAGCCTTATCAGCTTAGCTGCTGTTAACAGAAAAATAAACATGATTAATTTTCCTTGGGACCTTCTGCAAAGGCTTTTGCAACTAAATGTAGCAGCCACCTCAAGCAGAGCAAAGAGTTCCATTCACTTTAGAGAACAGCCAACCAATAACACTTCTGGGAAAAAACAGGAGCCTGGCTTGAAATTCTGGCTCTTTCTGGGCAAGAGGAGTAGGTATACTGCAGATCTGATTTTATCTCACAAAGGTGCCTATAAGCAATGTTTTCCTATAAAGATTTATCTGAGTTTTTCCAACATTGGTCACATATTGACTTATATAAATTAACTGATCATACTGTGGTCTGTAAATTAACATATCAAACACTATAATCTGTATAATTTAGCTTTGAGGTTTAGCTCTTATGAAAATTTTAATATGTAATAGGAAAGATTTGTACAGTTCTTTTCAAACCTTTCTCTTTGAAGCTTGCCTACATAAAGGTGGGGAAAGTAAGTAAGGAGGACTGACTTAGACTGAGTACCAAGTTATAGATTAGTGGTTATAAATGTGGCCCCAGAAGCAGTGAGTTGTTCCTTGCTCTTTCATGAAGCCCACTTAGGTTGGTCACCTTTTTCAGTTTACAGGACGGTTGCAAAAAGAGGTAAACTACATGTCAGCCACACTGAGAAACCTGAACGAAAGGCAAGATGCATGTGTGATTTTTAAACAGTTGAAAATAGGTTGTAGCATATGCCTACGTTATTACAGGATGAACAATTTTGTTCTGTAGTAAGAATAAATCCCATTGCAGCCTGTGGAAATACACTTCTTTGTTTAAGATTTGGGTTATGAATGAACTGGCAAGAATGACAAATGAGAGGAAAAATTAGAATGTCTTTGCAGAGTTTGTCTGTAAGATTGATTTCAGGGCGGAAGTGGTGCACGCAAAACTGGCTTGGCCTCGGTACAGGCACGAATTCTCTTCCGCCTGCTCCCTGACTCCTTGAGCAGGAGGTTCCGCGCAGTCCTGAAGTAAAGGAAGAGATGTTGGATCGGCAACAGGGGCGCAAACAGGAAGTGAGAGGCCGCCTCTCTTGCAGTCGTGGGGGGTGCGCTGGAGCTGGACGAGCGGCCGGGAAGGAGGCTCGAGAGACCTGACTGCCTAGCGCCAGAGAGGCTGGTGGCAGGAACAGCTTCGAGCTCATTCACAAAAGCGCTGGCGATGGAAGAAGGTGAGCGCTTTGTGTGCGCTTCCCTTTTCGTTTCCCCCCGCGCCCTCCCCCGGGCCTGGGGGCCACCAAGAAGGCTGCAGGACTCTGCCTCTGGTGGGGGGGGGGGGTCGAACGGGGGCCACTGGAATGTAAGGAGAAAAATTGCCATTGGGAATTGGGCTCTTTAGGAACACCAGAGTGTTCAGGGGATGTTGGCGTTTCTCTGTGAAGTTTTGGGTTTCAGTTTTGCAATTAATTTCTGATGTCAGGTCAGTTCGGGCAGGTGACAAAACCTGTCGGTAAGTTAAGGTCGCTTTGCAGAAGACATGGGTGCATATAGACAGCTGAACCGTGTTCGGAATGAAATCTGCATGTAAGGAGTACGCATGCACATAGTGTACGTGTAATGATGAAGTCATGGTTTACTCTCAGTAGGTGGGCTTTGTGTTTCTGCCTGCACAGAGAAGGGAAAGGTGTAACATGTAGTGATGCTAATTTGAACTTCCCCAACCTGTTGTCTTCCACATGTGTGAGATTACAACCTAGATCAGCCTCAGCTAGTATGACTGCCAATGGTTATACTGGCTTCAGATGAGGTAGACCAACACATCTGGAGTTCACCACGTTGAAGAAGACTGTTCTGTTTTTATTTTTGTTCTCTTTGTCTATCTGTGTCCTTCAGATTTTTAAAATTTTAATTAACTTTTAAAGTAAGTTTGTGTCAACCCTTAGGTTGATCTTTAAAGATCAGTAAAATAAGATTGCACCCTTAAGAATTTTCAGAAATGTAGAAACCAAATAAGTAATGAATAAAATAAAATAACACATATATATTTAGGTAGGAATAGATAAAACTATGTCCCTGTCTCATTAATACTAGCGGGGGGAAACCCTAGAGGGTCAAACTTATGCATGTTTACCCCCCCTCCCCAATGTCCAACAACTCCCAGCATTCCCTGGTTAGCACTGGGAACTTCAGGACTTTCTGGCCACATATGCTCAGAATTGTTCCCCAAGACACTTGCCAGCTACCTAAGCAGCAAGACCTCATCTTCCCTTCCTGAAAGTTAAGTGATGTTCTGACATTAAAAAAACTACCAAACACAGGTGAATTTAAGAGAATTCCACAGTGATGGTGCCACTATGGAAAGAGGCCTGCCTTTTTGTCATCAGTTTAGACTCCAGTAAAGATGAAACTGTGTGCAGCAGCCCACCAAGTAACCTTGGTGTATGACATAGTTTTCATGGGTTAGGCATAAACTAGACTAAGGTGAAAAACAGCATGTTTTGGGTTGTACTTTGAAAAAAAACTGTAAAGAAATGGCAGATCTCTTTCCATGGGTATATTGCATCTTGAATGGCTGCCACACTTTGAATTAGCAGAAATTTTAGAACAATTTTCGAGACATTTCCATGTATAGCCTGCAAGTTAGTAGTTCAGCCTGAAAGTTATCAGCAGTGCAGACTTCTGTTAAGCTCAATGGTTTTATTTTTATTACGTCCCGGTCTCCTTCCTTCCCTGTCTTGAAGCACTGAAACTAGATGGCCATCTAACTGATTTACAGAATAGGAGAAACGTGGTAGAGGAGATTGCCTCTGTGCTCCTCTGTCCCTGTATAGGATGCCTGCTGTAAACCTACAGGCATCCCCATTGGATTGCACCCCTAGAAATAATTTTTTTCAAGGACTTGCTTCTTCAGCCTTTTTCCATATCTGGACAGTACTTCTGAGCAGGCAAAAAGTTCAACATGTGTAGATGATCACAGCTTCTCATGTTGCTCAAATGCAGTGGGGAACGCTTGGTGTTTGATATTGAAATCTCAGATGCAATGCATTTTGCTCAGTCATTTTTTAGTATTTGCTTAATAGGTTTACCTATTTGAAGGAGCACTTTATAAGCAACCTTCAAATTAAGAAGCTTGGAAACATCTGAGGAATGATGGTGGTGGGAAAACACCTCCTTCCCTTCAGTACTTCCTTGAATGTGGCATTTACAATCTGTGCCTGTTCAATACTCTGGGAACCTGCATTGGCTCTATTTTTCCTGTTCCAGACAGGTTGTAAAGCTAGGCATTTGAGCAACTTAAAAAATTATTGAAAGTTTATTGGTCTCTTTCTTCATATTGCCAAAGCATGTGGAAGCAGAGGAAGAGTGTCATTGTGCTTCTTTCCCCTATGTTTGATCTCCAGGTATCCCTGCTGTCATAAGGCATTGACCCCCCCCCCCCCCAATTCCCTGTCTCTCATCCCTATCTGTTGGCTCTGTTCCCCTGGAAAAAGCTGAGGCAAAAAGAAGAGAAAAATGGAGAGGGAAGGACTGGCAGCTGCATTACACCTAACATTATATTATGCTTTATGGTTACCCTGGTATGACCCTTTAGCCATGACAGCAGTGATGCAGTGGGATGGGATAGAGTGGAGAAGAAGCACATTAATGAACAAATAAGCCATAATTATTACTGGTTCATTTTCTCTCATCCTACCTACTTTGTCAGCCTTCAGAGTGTTTTTTCTTTGTCTTTGTCAGCCTTCACAACAGATATTTTTCTACCAGGCAGCTCTTGCTGAGTTCTTCTATTTCAGCAATGCAAACAAGCTAGTGATAAACCACAATTCTGGTTTCAAGGTTCATCATGACAAGCCGTGGCTTAAACAAACCATATTTCATAAACCAACCTTTTCTTTTGCCATAATCCAGTACTTTATTTTTGTGGTCTGTGGCTGGTTAACAGCTGGTTTGCTTGAGGGGATATGTTCAGACAGGAGGACAAGCAAGATTGTGTTATGTATGAACCAAGCCTCTAACTGAAAGAAATCATGTGTTTGAAGCATAATAATACTTCAGGATTTCTTGGACAAACTGGTGGAATTGAAATCAGGTTTGTTTAGTTTTGAGACAATTTTCTCCCTTAGGGATCAGGCTATTGTATCTTAGATATCCTAAGCATCTTGACAGGCCAGGGTGGGGAGAGGGGAGCACTAGATATTCTGGTAGGTATCACAGTGGTTTTTCAGGAGAGTGGCCGTGATTTCTGTCTCCCAGTTATTTAACAGTAGCAATAATATACTGTTCTACCTCTGGGCATTAGCACAAAATGCTGCCATTCTAACTGAGATTATCTTGTTCTTTCTTGGTGTTTCCAAATGAGTAAGTTTTTATTTTTTCATGGTGATGGGTTTGTACATCCCCTGGACTTAATCAGCCTGGAGAAACTATTTCATCAGTCTGGGATGAGAAACCTTTTTCAGCCCAAGGGCTGAACTTCAATTTTGGAGATGCTCTCTACATCCCAGTGGTAGGTGGGGTAAAGGCAAAAGGGACATGGCAAAGTCACTCCAAATGCCAGCCTGCTTTAGCCTAGTCCTTCTTGTCCCTCTACCCAAGGCTAAGAGGTCTTTCAGCTTTTTTGACCGGAGGAAAACTGCACAAAACCAGGGATCCCACTGCATGCTGGGTGGTTTCAGAAAATAGATTTCAGACATCTAAGGAACTGCAAAGGCCTGGCTGACATGTTGCTGCTGCTGCTGTTGTGTGCCATCAAGTCACCTCCAACTTACGGTGACCCAGTGAACGAAAGCCATGCAGCATGTCCGATCCATGACATCCCTACTTAGCTGTTCTAAATTCAAGGCTGTGACTTCCTTTATGGAGTGAATCCATCTGTTATTTGGTCTTCCTTTTCTTTGTTTGCCCTCAACTTTCCCTAATATGATTGTCTTCTCCAGTGAGCCTTGCCTTCTTATGATGTGTCCAAAGTAGGACAGCCTCAGGTTTGTCATTTTTTTGCTTCTAGTGATAGCTCTTGATTTGATCTAGGATCCGTTGTTTTTCTGCCAGGCCAGGGTATTCTCAAAGCTTTCCTCCAGCACCATGTCTTGAATGCATCAGTTTTCTTCTGCTCAGTGGTTGGCGTCTAAGGAGTGCTGGATTTGGCCCATAGGCCTGAAGTTGCCCACTCTTGTTATAACAGGATCCTTGCTATATCAGACCAAGGCCCAGCAGTTGCCAGCCTGGTGCTTCTTGGAAGCTTCCATGACAGGCTGTTTTTTGTTCTAGCATCTGTTATTCAGAAATATTTTTGCCTTTGGGCTTGGATATTCTGCTTAGCTATTTCAGCCTATTATGGCTAGTAGTTCCATGGTTTTCCCCAACTTGCTTACTAGGGTCATTTGAAATACTAGTAATACTAATGTGGCAGAGTAAGAAAATGTTTCACCTATTTTTAGCACTTACCTTGCTTGACTTTTATTTCACCTTGCACAAAGTATTCAGGAGTGAAAACAGCATCTTCTTTATTATTATTTTTAAGCTGCTGCAAATTAAATGGAAGCAGCATGCCTGTATATTTTGGTAACAGTTCAGTGGTCTGAGAAATCAACGTGTATGTAATTTAGTTGACTGGCCTATTTTGACGTAGAATGTGGACGTTTTAATGTTTTTCATTCTGAGTTCCCTGTCATCAGTAGAAAACTCAAAGCTTAACTGTGTGGAAAAAGGTTAACTTGCCTGAACCCATCTGTGTGCTGTAAAACAGCCAGCAGGATTTAACTGTAATGTTTAAAGTTGCATCTTATTCTTAGGAAATCACCTGCAACTAAATTATGCATGGTGTGGAGAAAGTGAATAAGGAGATATTTTCATAATACTACAACCATGAAGCTGGTTGGTGGGAGATAGAGACAGATAAAAGGAAGTACTTCTCAGCATGCCTAGTTAGTCAGTGGGATTCACTTTTAGAAGATAGTGGTGTCCACCAATCTGGGTGGCTTTAATTGGACAAATTCATGGAGGATAAGACTGTCAATGGCTATTGATAGCTGTATGCAACCTCCAGTATCAGAGGCAGTGTGCCTATGTGTAGCACTTGCTGGTGAACGTTGGTGGGAAGGTGTCGTTACACTCATCTCCCACGTGTGGTTTTCCCACACGGCTGTTTGGCCTTCGTATGAAAAGAATGCTGGACTGGATGGGCCCTTGGTGTGGTTCAACCGGTTCTTATGTGAAAATGTACCAGTGCAGAGAAAGAACTCTCTGCTCAACGTTCCAGCCGTTGCACCTTGGCTTTGCAGGGCCCCCTTCCCAAAAACAGTTTATTTTAATGAATGTAGCTCACCTTCTGATCCTTCATGGGCCTTCCAAGGCAGCTTCCAGTAATCAAATAATAAAAACACTATGAAGCAAAGCTCAGTAGGAAAGAATAAGATGAAAGAAAAGCTAAACATCAGAAGTCAGATATTGTAATCACGTAGAGTAGGAAACAAAATCATATCAAAAGAGTACTGGGCCCAAAATACTTTGGAAGGATATTCAAGCACCATAATAAGACCTTCCAAGTTATTTGCATGTTTTCCCTTAAGTATTTCTATGCTGCCTTTTTTATATGGCCATCTCAAATAAAATGATAAATCAATGTAAGTTATAACAAATACAAATCAAAATAACCCACAAACATTTCACTCCACAACAATAATAAGTGGTAAAGTTTAAACTGACCACTTAAAACGTTCTCTACGTTCCAAGCTTGTTTAAAGAGCTAGGTCTTTAAGAATAATTTGAAAGGAATTACTGAGTGAACCAAAATCCTTCTAGTGGGAGAGGGTTCTATAATGTTGAGGCCACCACTGGAAATGCCGTCTCTTGTGTCAGTCAAACCTGATGGACAAGACCATGAGCAGGACAAGGGACAACTTTTCCATAAGGAAGAGTGAGGCAGTTGCCTCAGGTGTCAGTTGCTGGGAGGCTACACCAATTTTTTTGTTGCAGAAAAAAATTAGGTGTGGTGAGACCTGCCTTGTGTTCTTGGTTAGCCTGCTGCCGTCATGGGCAGTGGTACATGTTCCCATCAGAAGTGTTTAAGAGCGATACACAGTCCAGGCAGCTCTCATGTGTGGAATGGCAAGGGATACCATTTTAATTTTTGCTGCAGGAAGCAAAACATCTGGAGCCATCCCTGCCTCCATGCCTGGTCTTGAGCCCCAGGCAGTGCCTCATGTAGGTATTTGTGCTGCCTACAGTTACAGTTACAGTCGTGTAGCCTGGGTGCTGCAACTGAAAGGGCCATGTTCCAGCCAGCCAGGTTTCTGCTGATAGCAGTGGATACAGAGCAGAACTCTAAGTAGGGAGAGTGCTGAGACAGGCTCATGTGGAGGGAGCTGATCCTTTGGCTGTGCTGAACCCAAACCATTTAGTGCCTGAGACCTTCCAGATGCTTTGTGACCTTTGTGAACTTGTGACCTTCCAGATGCTTTGGCCTACAGTTTTCATCAGGCCTAGCCAGCATAACCAATGGTGAAGAATCATGGGAGCTGTAGGCCAAAACATATTGAGGGCCACAAGTTATCAAACACTGATTTTAGTGGGACCTGACTGACACTTATTTATTTAATTTAAAACATTTCTATACCATCTGTATCCAAAATGGATCTCAAGACAGCTTACGAACAGAAGCATAACAGCACAGTTATAATACAAGTGCAATATAAAAATACAGTAAAATAATCCCAATTATCCAATAAAACAATCCACCCCTGAAACACTGGATGAATAAAATAGTTTTGGCCTGGCACCAAAAAGAATAAAGTGTCAGCACCAAGCGCTCCTCTCTGCTACTTCAAATTGTCCAGCCGTGTGTGTGCATGTCAATAGACAGAATCAGGCTGTAATTCTATGTTTAGATGGAAAGCAGGTCTATATGTACTGGTATTCTGGGAATTTGGATTTTCCTTTGTCTAAACAGGAACTTTAGAAACTTGAATTATTAAATGGGATTCTTATGCACGATAATGTGCCACAGTACTTGTATAATTCAGGGTGTAACTTTTGCATACTTTCTTATGAGTAAGTCCCATTGAAATCAGTGGACTTACTTCTGAGTTGACATGCCTAGACTTGCACTTTAAAGTACTGCATGGATGCCTAACAGACAATTGTGTGCTTCTTTACTTGAGAGTAAGTCCCAATGTGTTCAGCAGGGATTTTCTGCTGATGAAATGTGCATGCAAAATCAGCCTCAGAATAACTTTTGGATATGTTGTTAGGAACTGAAGAACTGAGACAAAGAAAAAAGCTCAACTGTACAGAACCTGAAGAAAGACGTCCTGAAAAAAACAATGAAGAAAGCAAAAAGTCAAAAAAATCCGTGCGATGTAAGTGGTGTCATTTTCCCTCTTAACATTTCACTTCTTTAATAGTAAAACTGTATATATGTATATGATTTTGTGTATATTTTCAGTTGGCTTTGCTATTCTTCCGCTGGAATATGTTAAAATCTTTACATTGGGCAAAGCAAATGGTTGTAACATGCTGTGTATTTGTGCAGCCTTGTAAATAAGTTTTGCAACAAGATTTGTTCTTGTTAGTCGCGAAGTCGTGTCCAACCTATCGCGACCCCATGGACAACATTCCACCAGGCCTTCCTGTCCTCCACCATCCCCCAGAGTCCACTTAAGCTCATACCAACTGCTTCAGTGACTCCATCTAGCCACCTCATTCTCTGCCGTACTATTCTTTTGCCATCTATTGTTCCCAGCATTAGGCTCTTCTCCAGGGAGTCCTTCCTTCTCGTTAGGTGGCCAAAGTATTTGAGTTTCATCTTCAGGATCTGGCATTCTAAAGAGTAGTCAGGGTTGACCTTCTCTAGGACTGACCGGTTTGATCGCCTTGCGGTCCAAGGGACTCGCAGGAGTCTCCTCCAGCACCACAATTCAAAGGCCTCAGTGCTTCGGCACTCAGCCTTCCTTATGGTCCAGCTTTCACAGCCATACATTGCAACTGGGAAAACCATAGCCTTGACTATACTCACTTTTGTTGGCAGGGTGACATCTCTGCTTTTTAGTATGCTGTCTAGATTTGCCATACCTTTCCTCCCCAGGAGCAAGCGTCTTTTAATTTCTCAGCTGCAGTCCCCATCTGCGGAGATCTTGGGGCCCAGGAAAATAAAATCTGTCACTACCTCCATTTCTTCCCCATCGGTTTGCCACGAAGTGAGAAGACCAGATGCCATGATCTTAGTTTTCTTAATGTTGAGTTTCAAGCCAACTTTTGCACTCTCCTTCACACGCATCAAGAGGATCTTTAGTTCCTCTTCACTTTCTGCCATTAGAGTGGTATCATCTGCATATCTGAGGTTGTTGATATTTGTCCCAGCAATCTTAATTCAACTGGTGATTCATCTAGCTCCGCCTTTCTCAAGATGTGCTCTGCATATAAGTTAAATAGGCTGGGCGACAGTATACAGCCTTGCCGAACTTCTTTCTCAATTTTGAACCGATCAGTGGTTCCATGTCCAGTTCTCACTGTTGCTTCTTGTTGCAACAAGATTACTAGCCTGCAAAGTGGAACAAAACAAAACAACACTGAACCATTTTATTTGCCTATTAGGCAAGTTAAAAAAAGGTTGACTAGTTTTAAGCAAGCTCTTCTACAGGCCCATTCATGTACATCCATCAAATTCCTAGTCATTTGAGGTAAGTACTTAAATACAAGGCTGTATCTGTTTATAACTTCACAAAATATGGCTGTCAAACTACAGTTCATGCTAGTTCTGTATTTACGCTCTGGAAAAGCAGTCGACTAGCCAGTTGTATTATGGTACACTTTTAAGTGCAGGCATTCATTATGACAGTTCCTCATAACCATGCTATGGAGAATCCGAAAATTCAGGCAGTTATGTTGATCCCTGTCAACAAACCAGTTTTCATCCCTTCGGGAGCAGGTCTTTGTTAAAGCTAATGCCCATTCAACAACAGGCCTACCCAGAATTCTTTGACTTACAACAGGGAACAATATCACTTTCCTGGGAAAATTCATATCCTACAGCTACTGTAAGAATTGCAGCTAAGCTCAGAAGGAAGGGAGAACCTTGCAGGAGACCCCATGAGCTCTGTTTCCAGAACTGGTACCGGCCAAGTGTTGCTACTGTTCAGTGAAGCTTATGCATTGCTTTTTGGGCCTACAGTAGTCCTTAGAAAGGAGCACCTATATGAGAAAGTAGCTGGAAGCCAACATAATTTCCTTGCTTTTCTGCCCTTTGAGGCCCTCTTGTCCATGCCATGGCCTATGGATTTCCATTTGGCAGCGACACAGGGACTGGGTTCACATGATGGCAGAGGACAAATAAGCCACAGTGGCTTATTTTCTCTTCCTGTGCATGCTGGTTGCAGGTTACATAATTAGCATCGTTATCCTTGGCAGGTGTGTCCTGATGAGGGCAAGTGACTGGGGTGGTTTACCTCACTACATCCAACCCACACCTAACCAGAGTAATTATGTGGCTCATGAAAAGCATGTGCAAGGAGGAAAGAATAAGTCACTGTGGCTTAGTTTCTCTCCATGATCGTAGAAACCTGCTGAAAAGTTTACTGTGGCACCTGCCCTCTGTTATGTAAGATCACAACCCTGGTGTTTGTTAAACATTTACTGAAAAACTGTTTCTTTACTTTGGGTTGCCCTCAGCCATGAGTTGTTCTGTGCAATCATTGTTGTGTAGTGTTTTTTATTATATTGTTTTATGCTGTTTTAATGTTAAACTACTCTGGCATTTATGCAAATGGGAAATGCTACAGAAATTTTACAAACAAGCAAGCAAGCAAGCACTTTGTGAATGTGCAACAGCTAGAGTTTCCTAGACTCCTTTTTGATGAATATGAAATTCCCTGGGGTTTCATCATTGGATGCCAATAAGGCTAAATCATCTTGAAATGGGCTGAAATTTGTAGTATAGAAGACATTTACAGAATGGAAAAATGCATTTTTTATGTAACAATCTTCAAACGCGTTTTGTGAAGAAACTTTTTAATTAAAAGCAGTCTCTGGAGGCTGTGATATTTTCAAATAAAGGAAGAAAGAGAGAAAAGAGAAGTTTAACCATTTTCATGTTTGTTTCTTTGTTTTAACCATTCAAAATGATCAGCAATCCAGTTTGACCAAAACAACTTGACTTATGCATGGATTACCAACATCTGCTTGTTGCATGTGTACATATTCTTCATCTGATGAAAGCAGCATCAAGTGATAACTGGAATGTGTGTGAGATCATGTGCGAATAAGCACTACAGATGCAACTTTTCCATCATGCCATTGTACCCTCAGTGCTTTTCACTGGATGTAGGACACACATAGAGGTGTTGTTACGTTTATGTGGACTTGCTCCAAGATTATGTTAAAAAACTTCATGGTGTGTCATAAGGCCTGTCCCTATACATTGGATTCTTGGAAACCAGAAACTTATTATCAGGTGCTAATTAGCAACAGCCCTGAGTGCCAGTTTTTTTGATGGAGAATGATGCAAAACTAATAAATAACTACAATAGTGGGGTTAGAATAGAAAGCTTAGAGGATCAGTTAAGAAGCTAGACCAGAGCTGTATTTCTTTTTCAGACAAGAACAGATGACAGGAAACACCTGAATCCATCCAGATAGGGCTAAGTCCTGGATCACTAAGAGTCTAACTCTATGCAAATTTAGACAGAGAACAACTCACAAGTTCCAACATTGCCTAATCAGCCATAGGGCATGCTGGGATTTGTAGGTCTTTTACTGTCTAAACTAGCATAGGATTATATCTTTAGAGGCAATATGGTATAATTATGCTATTTACATAGCAGCAGCTAGATCCTTGGAAATGCTTGACAACATCAACTGTACTGGATGCTGATAGAAGTACTGGATTAGATGAACCTTTGGTTTAATCCTGAAAGACCATTCTTTATGTTCAAAAACTAGAGTTTCCAGATGGGTTTTATGCAATCTTGATAACATTCCTTTACAGATGCCTCAATTCCACGTTTTGCAAAGCTTTTCTTTGGCTGTCTTGCTGCAATTTTGAGTGGAATCATGTATGCAATATACCTCTCAACATACCACGAGCGCAAATTCTGGTTTTCTGGAAGGCCGGTAAGGAAAAAGAATGATTAAGAACAATACAGAAGAGACCCCATTTGTTGCTTTATACAGGGCTGGGGCGGGCATGTAGAATAAATAAACATGGCTACTTCTGTAATGTCTAGGGTTAGGATGGTATAATAGGCCCCCAGGATAGGATTCCTTGTAAGCTTTGTTTCTAGTCCTCATTGACACATATCCTTATTAATCCATCTGCAACTGAGCTTATATGTCCCTCTCTCCTCATCCAACAACCTGTTTATGCCATATGACTTCCCAATTCTGGTGCTCTCCAGTTGTGCTGCTCTACAGTGTCCTACATGGAGACTGTCTGAGGTGATAAGAATTGTACTAGAGCACCACTGGACAGTACCAGATTAGGAAAAATGCTCTCCAGCTTTTACTTAACATAGCTGAGGGTTCCTGGATAGCCTCCCACTCACAGCCATAGACTTGCTCAGCTTCTGCAAGGTTGGTGTACCATGTGCCTTCATTCCCTACCTTGAAATGTGTTGGTTGTTCTGAGAAGCGTTTTGTTGATGAGGAAGATAATGAGCTGTAAGCTATATTTCTCACCCTGCAGGTTGCTTGCCCACTCGCAAGAGCTGAGGCTTTCACGTAGGAGGTCTGTGCTTGGTGTGTAGAAGGACTGTGCAACATCTCTGCTTAAAAACAATTTTGTGATCTCAGCCTCCACCGCTGGGCATCCAGTTTGTCCAAGTTGGTGGCCATCGTGACATCTTTCATTAGCAAATTCCATAGCTGAGCTATGCACTGTGTGAAAAGTTCCTGCTTTTTTTCTGCCCTGAATCTCCCACCATTTAGTGTCATGGGATGACCACAGAATTCTAGTATTATGAGAAAGGAAGGAAAAAATCTTCCTCTCCACTTTCTCTGCACCATGCATAACTTAGTGCACTTTTGCCGTGTCTCCCTTCACTTACCTTTTTTTCTAAGCTAAGCAGTCCCAGTTGTTGTAAACTGTCCTCATGAGGAGTTCTTCCAGCCTCTTGAACATTTTGGTTCAGACATGCCCCAGAATGATTTCTGCGATTGCCTTGAGTAAGTGTGCTGTCAGGATCCTTAGAAAGCTGCAGCTGCTGCCATGTGCTACGTGGGTAACACCCATGAATGGAAATACTAGTACACTCCATTCATTCCTGCAAATACAGTAGATGGCCTCTTACGCAAGCAAGCTAATATAAAAAGCAAACAGAGCCTTGTTTTTCTCTTCCAGGAGCTTGAACGAGAAATCACATTCCAGGGTGATAGTGCCATATACTATTCATTTTACAAAGAATTGTTAAAGGCGCCTAACTTTAAAAGAGGTAAGGCAAAAATACTTGCTCATTATTGAGAGAGATTTATTGTACAGGGTAGTACATGGCAAGTCATTTTGGCCAACGTCCTGGGGATGGGAGTGAAAGCATGCAAACTTGTGGCCTACGCAGAACCCCTGAGCATGTAGAACTGAACTGCTTGTGTGACTCAGTTTGCACATTCTCTTATCTAGCACAAGCTGGATCATCATTTTTACCTACCTATTTTATCTTTTTTTCTGAGATCATCAGCTTTTCATCCTGTTAGGATTACAGATTTCTCCCAGCATTATTGGGAAAAATTTCCAACAGTCAGGCTGAGGGAGCACACCTGCTCGATTTCCATGTGAACCAGTGTGAGCTTCCTCAGAGAACAGCAAGATAAACCATTTCCCAAGTCCATGAGAGTTTAGGTATCTCTAAATCCTGTTGAAAGCATTGAATGATGAGAGTACAGTTAAACATCCAGTAGCACGGTAAGAGCAGGGTGAATTGTGAAGGAGGGGCTTCAGAGGCTTCAGGTCAGGCATAGGGAAGCCACAGTGCTGCCCAGGGAGCTGTGTGCTTTTTTGTGGGTTGACAGGCCATTGGTTGTCGACGCGTGAGTGCCGATTATTTTTAGCAGAAGTAGTAGGAGAAGGCAGATGCTTGGATTTGCTATTTCCCCAAAGAAGCAAATATAAATTATCTCCAATAAATCAGTCAAATGTTGCCTTTAATATTCTCCATAAATATTATGAGATGGCATCTAGCAGCTTTTTGCAGTACAGAATATAATTCTAACGGCTGTTCTTAAATCCCAAGCAATGGAGATGCTGTGTGTATGTTTAGCACTTGCCACTTTTAGCTTAGCAGGAGTAAAAGATGGCAGAAGCCTTGGTCATGAGTTGCATAAATCAAAGGTCCCCAACCTTTTCGGCACCAGGGACCAGTTTTGTGGAAGACTGTTTTTCCACAGACTGGGGTTGGTGTGAGGGGTTGGGATGATTCAAGCATGGACTCAGAAGAGTCTTTGACGCACACACAAGAGGAGGAAACTTCCCATGAGAACCAGAGTGTTGATGAACAGCTAGTTCTAGTGCCAGCAGAACAATCTGTTCCCCAGCTGCACAGACGATGGAAATGAGAAAGTAGATAAGGAGGTTTAGGAAGCAGTCAAAACGGGAACATCAAGAGACCAATTTGCATATTGATGGGGAAACAGGTTCACCTGTTGTAGATACGGGGTGTGGGAACTTGGGAGATAACGTGGGAGAAGCTGTAGAGGATGCTCGTTCTCGCAGGTGCATGCACAGACTGGGACAGCTGGAATCGAGAATGATTGAGTGACGCAGGGAAAGGGATCATAGCACCCCGCCATTAGAAGAACTGCCCCGAAGGGTTCATAAATTCAGTGTAAGGTGAATGTATTCAGAACGAGAGGACAACTTCCTAGCCTATGTGACTGAAATTGTACTACTGTGTAGAATAAAGACATTTGTAGTATCAACTGGAGTGATTGCTTTCGTTGGGAAGGAGTGCCAGCCTCACGATAGCACATTACATTTATTGTGCACTTTATTTCTATTACTATTATATTGTAATAGATAATGAAATAATTATACAACTCACTATAATGCAGAATCAGGGGGAGCCTCCCTCTGCCCTGCAGCCCAGCCCTTACCTACTTCCTGGTTCCCTCACTGTTCACACGCCCCCTTCCCGGCTTCTCCATACCACTTACCAGCCGGCTGTGCCACCACCCGCCACTCCCTCCTGCTTTCGAGGACCGAGAACCAAAAGGGCCTTGCAGTGGCTCCGCGAATCCTCAAATAGGCCTTGAGGCCTGCCTGCAGCTCTCCTGGTCCCCTTGCGCTTGGTGACATACGTGCTGCGTGCCGGGCCTCCTCAGCCACCTCGTGCATCATGCCTCGCTCACACCACCTGTCCCTGACCTGCAGCCCAGCCCTCACCTGCTCCCGGTTCCCTTGCCACTAGCATGTGTCCTCCCCACCTCCCCCATGCCAGTTGTGGCCCGGCTCTGTTGCCGCTGCCGATCCCTCGTTCTTTTGAGAGTCAAGGCCCGAAAGGGCCTTAATTGTAATCCGGATTTGGAGTCACTCCTCAGTAGAAATTATACTGATTCATTGACTTAAACATTTTGTAACCCATCCACCGCATTGACATCACGGGATGGATACGATAAAGAACAGTAAAATAACAAAACGACACAGCTAGTGCTATGGAGTGGCTGCAGGTACAGATGACGTTTTGCTACCTTCCTGGCCGCTTGCCTCCTGCTGTATGGCCCAGTTCCTAACAGGCCATGGCCCAGTAATGGGTTGTGGGCTAGGCTAGGGTTAGGCTTCAGGAAATGAGGGTCCCCCTGATATTACGGAGGGTTGAACTGTGTGTGGAAAGGGATGAAAGAATGAGCTGTGCAGGAAAAAAGCTAGAAAGCTTGCATTTTGGAAATGCCCTATACCAGTGGTACCTGAGCCCTATACTAGGGCTGTGGTTATCGACCAGGCTAGAGTTAGGGTTCAGAACCTGAAGGTCACCCTGAAAATAGGGAGGATTTAACTTGCTCAGAAAGGACTGGAAGGAGGAGCTGTGCAGAGCAAACCCTGGAAACTTCTATTTTGGTACCTGTGCCTAATTCTAGGGTTATGGTTATGGACTAGGCTAGGCTTAGGGTTTAAAAAGTGACAGTCCCCCAAACAATTCACAGAAAAGAAACCAGTTCAGAAAGGGCTCAAATAATCAGCTGTGCATAAAAACTGCTACACTGTATACATCAGGGAAAAGAGCTATGGCACTGGTACCTGAGTACCTGGGATTAAGAAAATGAGAGTCCCCCTGAACATACAGAGGGTTCAACCATGTGCAGAAGAGTTTGAAAGAATGAGCTGGGCAGAAAATAACCCTACGAAGCTTTCATTTTGGAAACTGCCTCTGCCACTGGTACCTATCCCTAATGCTAGGGCTAGGTGTGTAGCCCAGACTTGGGTTAGGGTTCAGAAAATGAGGGTCCCCCTGACCATTCATAGGTTTGAACTGTGAGCGCAGAGTGCTAAAAGGATGAGTTGTGCAGAAAAATTCTTACAAAGTGTACATTTGGGAAAAGAGGTATGGCATTGGTACCCCAGCCGTATGGTAGATCTAGGATCATGGCCCAGTCTAGGGTTAGGCTTTAGAAAATCAGGGTCCCTTTAGAATACAGAGGGGAGAATTGTGAATGGAAAGGGTTGGAAGAATGAGCTTTGCAGAAGAATACCTAGAAAGCTTACATTTCAGAAATTGCACATGGCAGCTCTCCTGCTATAGTGTTTGTCACCAACGTTCTCTCTTTCATGGAAGGCAATTTTTCCACAGACCAGGGTGGTGGGAGGTGGATTGTTTTGGGATGATTCAGGTGCATCATATTTATTGTGCACTTTAGTTCTACTATAATTGAATCGTAATATATAACGAAATATTTATGCAACTCACCATAATGGGGAATCAGTGGGAACCTCCCTCTGACGTGCAGCCCTTCAGCCGTGCCGTTACCTCCTTCCCAGTTCCCTGCCTCTCACACGCGCCTTCCCAAGCTTCTCTGCGCCTCCTTTCAGCTGGCTCTGCTCCTGCTGCTGCTGCCACTTTCTCCTGCTTTCGGGGGCCAAGAACCAAAAGGACCCTAATGATCACCTGTATTTGCAGCTGCTCCACAGTGGTGATGCTAGTGCTGGGGAGCGGCTGCAAATATAGATGAAGCTTCGCTAGCTTGCCCACCACTCACCTCCTGCTGTGTGGCCTGGTTCTTAACAGGCCACAGGCCAGTACCTGTCCATGGCCCCGGGGTTGGGGGCCCCTGGTATGAATAACGCACATGATTTCTTCCCCATGCCCCCTTCTACATTTCCAGGTATCTATCATCTCATCCACGACAACAGAACTCTGTCACTGAAGACCATGAATGCAGCACAGCAGATGACTTTGTATCCAGAGCTGATTGCCAGCATCTTATATCAAGCGTCTGGTAGTGAAGTAAGACTCTTCCTCTTGCTTTTATTTATAGCCCTGAGTGATCAGTAGAAGTGTGTGCTGTTTCAAGCAAAAAGCTTCTTTTCTTTGGAGCATTAATTGTGCAGGCTCAGCTGGAGGACTACTGCTCTGTGCATTGACTGTCTTCTCACTTCTTGCTGTGTAAATGAATCCCTTAATTGAGACAGAGAGACAAGCACATAAAGGGCAGATGTAAAAACTGTTAAGGGTACTAGATCAAGATACAGGGTTGAGGTTTAAGTTGCTATGTTAAAAACGATTAACTGCTTACTTGCAGAATGGGTTCCATAACATTGGGAAGGATTGTTGAATTATTCTATCTGTAAAAAGGGCTAGGAATGCACTTCTTCCTTTTTGAAGATGGCAGGTCACACAGAAAACCTGCAACTGGTGAAGTGTGTAAGCTGAAAGCAAGGAAGTCCCTAATTCACATGTTGACTATTGGGCAAGTTCACTTTCCCTAAGACTTGCTTCTGCTCCTTGATCCGGAATGTGAAATACTACTGGCCTCTCTATTAGAGACCTTGTCAAGATTAGTGAGGGAATATATGTGAAGCATCTCGAACACTTCAGGTACACAAGATTAGGGGTGTTGAATCTGAATTCTTCAGGACAAAGCTTGCCTGCCTGGAGTCTTAGTCTAAGCCTCCAAAGTTCCCCTTTTCTTCAGCCATCAATATTTTGGTGGTTTTCCAGTTTGTGCATGTTTCTTTCCATTCCAAAAGGTTGAAATGTCCCTCCTAAGGCAAAGCTACTGGCAGCAAATGTTTTAAGCTAAAAGATGTTAGTACTGCTGGCATTTTGGCCTCACCCCTTTGACTTCTCCCATCAGTTGAATGCAGTCCCTGAAGTTGAATTTGGCCCTTGGACTGAAAGAGGTGTGATGCCCCTGCATTGTATAAATGCTAATAGAAACTAACCTTTCTTATTGATGCTGTGTCTTATTTATTTAAGTTATCACTGCCCTGAGACACGGTAAAGGATGGGATACAAAAAATTAAATAAATACTATTGGGTTGAACTCAGAGTGTTCCCTCTGCAAATGGAATGGCTTTGCAATAATCCAGCAGATGGATCTTCTGCAAGTCTCGCCATGCAGAAGTTGGTCTGACTGATTCGGTCTTTCCTCTACGTCCCACATGGTGTTCTTGAGGGTACTGCAAATCCTGGGAGTGCTTTCAGAGGGCATGGGAGCCACAGGGGACAGGTGGAATTGGCAAGAAAATGCCTCCTTTGAGATTCTCGGCTAGATTGTGAAGTCCTTCTCTGAATGGACAGAGCAGACTGGATCCAAAACCTCTTCCTTCCTCCTCCTCTGAAGTACAGTTAGGAGTACCTTGAGAATTCCAAGAAAATGTCTGAGTTTTATATTTTTAGAAAGGAACAAAGTTGGCATCATATTAATGAGAGTCCTTACTCCCCCTTCAGTCAGTCCTCCCGTACAAGTCTTCTGACATGGCTAGCCCTTGCCTTCCACACCTATGACAGTCATCATTCAGGACCTCAGACTGGTGCTCCCACATCCTCTTTGCATTAGTGAATGTCAAATAGTACAGTTTAGTTCTGACTGTGTTGCTGATATAACCTGTCCTTTAAAAATGGCTATTCTTTAATTTTCAGGACGTTATTGAGCCAGTATATTTTTACATTGGTATAGTGTTTGGGCTGCAAGGGATCTATGTGACTGCATTGTTTGCAACCAGTTGGCTCATAAGTGGAACTTGGCTAGCAGGGATGCTAACGGTTGCCTGGTTCATCATTAACAGGTAAAGTGAATCTTCAGTTTTTACATCATTTATGGTATGCTCCTAACCCCTCGGATACACCTTTAGGAGGGATTTGGGATAGAATTGAAAGACCAACTCCTTATAGGCCACCAGAGTTGCACTCACAGAAACCTCCACAAGTCCTGATCTACTGGTAGAGGTGAAATAGGTCCCAAATTGGAGCAAGCCAAGTTGGTCTTGGGTCCATCAGGTCCAAAGTTCCTCTGCTTCCCTGAAAGGCTGCCAGATCTTTTCTTCTCAGGTACATCAAACTAGACATAGCAGTTCACCTGCCCTGAGTTCATGTGTGGCACCGGGTGTTCCAAAAAATAAAGACCCACTGAGCTAATGATCCCAGTAAAGTTGCTTGCCCTGTCCCTGCTGTGCCTTGGCCAATGTGAGCTGCCAGAGCTTTCAGCCATCTGAGTGGGATAGTGTAAATTGGTGTCTTGCAACAGCAGGGGGTTGGATCTGGTGGCCTTCGTGGTCCTTCCAACTCTACTATTCTATGATTCTATAACAGTCTGTCACTTTACCTTGCCTCTAGCATACTGGCTAGGGATTCTGGGATTAGTAGACCAACTTTATCAGCTTAGGGAAGGCTGAGTTGAGTCTTCTCTTCTTACTTCAGATTGAATGATCATAGTATTGTCCTTTGTTTTCTTCTTAGTTTTTCTTTCTGTGCTGTTTTAAAGGAAAATTTTTGAATAGTTTCCATTATTAACTAAGGTAGATAACTTCCAAAAAATGAGCAAACTGCAGTTTGATTGATAAAGAAAAAGGGCATGGATTGTGAATACAAAGGTTGGAGTTGTGGTTCATCATGTTTCTTTTTTCATCCTTTCATTTAGTGGTTTATTTTTTATAGAATAAATGGTGTCTTCAAGTCCATTTTGCAAATGATAATACAGGAATTTAAATGTTACTGTCAAAGAACATGGTGTAGACATAATGCTAAGCTGTGGTTTACTTAACATATGTCTAATCCATAGTGTTCTTCTCCTACCCAGTGTTTGTCTGGAGGATCATTGAATAAACTGTTGTTTGTTTTGTCAAACAACTGCTGGGTTTTTGTTTTATTTTGCTTTTTTGTTTCCATCTTTCTTTTTCCATTCTCTTCCTGTTTCCCAAATGCCTTTGGGGTACAATAGAGTGGCTGGATATTTTTCCCCACTCTTGCCCTCACCCTCAATAGCCTAGTGAAACAACTCATGAAAACCCCACAGTACTGGGTTCACATGTTAATAACCATCTAAGGTTTATATAACTTTGCATTCACAACCCAAGAACAAACTATGGGCGTGGCTAGCTTTGCACGTCACAACAACCTAGAATTCAACAACACGTACAGTGAATTAGTATTACATGCAAGCACACCTGGTCTAGGTCCCTAGTGGAAATGGCTTTACCCACAAAAGGTATTTAGGATTTTGTGGTAGTGCACTTTATGATCAATCTCAAAAAGATTTGTATCATTTAATATTTTGATGCTTATATGTAGCTTCTGTTAAGATCATTTATCTGCTGCATCACTGAATATTTGTGTACCAAAAGTAACATGTTTTTGTTACTTCTTTCCACCCTGTACATTCTCTAGAGCTGATACTACAAGAATAGACTATTCTCTGCCTTCTAGGGAAAACTGGGCTCTGCCATATTTTGCTTGTCAAGTTGCAGCTCTAACAGGTTATTTAAAGAACAATGTAAACTCTTCAGCTGAGGTAAGATGAAAGTGTTAAAATGCAAATATAATAGTATAAATGCTTCCAAAGTTTATTGTACTAGCCAGAGACAATGACAAAGATGCTACACACACACACACACACACACACACACAACAAAGAACTAAGATTTCAAACATTACAAAATTGTATGAATGAGTTAAAATTTACTATTTTAACTATTTTAATTGTTAATTTTTTTAAAAATGCATATCTATCTTAATCTTGAGTGTACTTCATAGCAATTTTTATCTAATTTTCTCTTCCTAATCTTTTTTGCTGCAATAGTATGAATAGGGCCTATTCAGACATAATAATCTCAGTCTAATAAATGAGTCTAGCACTAATGTATTACTCATTTATACAAACAAGTTTCCTTTCCACTTTTCTGGAAAGGAGAAACAATTGGGTCAAGCTTTGCTTAGCCTGTCTCTTGGAATACCATCTTGTCTGGGATTCAAGGAGCAATTTAAGCACACAGTGCATGTTTGTTTAGTGCCTCCAAACTAATGTGAGGAAGCTGCAGATTCCCCTGGATTTTGGGAGTGATTTACTTCTGAAGTAGGCAGAAGGTAGATCTCCACATGTTTTAGACTCCCAACTCTTAGAAATCCCTGCCAGTATGGCCAGGGGTCAGTCATGCTAGGAGTTGCAGTCCAAAACACTTGGTGATCTACTATCTGTCCATCCATGACTCATTCGTATGGTGGTGCTCGAAGAATAAATTTAGAAGACTTGTACTTCTGGACATGCATAGATGTCCATGTGGCTTTTTCTATGCTAGTACTTGCTCTTCTCTCAGTGTTGTATTGTTCTATCTCTCCCCCTCAATCCTCCCCTTACTGTGCAATGGGCACACTTGAGAGAGCTGTGTGTACTTATTTTAATTGCAGTACGACTTCAGTGAAAATTAGTGAACATGACTTTTTCAGGTGGTCAGTCCTCTTGACTTTGGGTTTTTATTCTTGCCCTAAAAATGACAACACTGTTTTGTTGAAGAGTGAAGTAAGGAAAATACAGTTAAGTTTGCTATTTTACACATAATTACCTGGGAGGAACAACTGTAGAATTGAATAAACACGCCCAGGGGATTATGCTGTAACAAAGATTTCTATTCTGTGGTGCTTTCTTCTTGTTGGTGTTTGAACTCACAGAGTTCTTTTGTAATAAAATGCATTCAAAGACATTCAAAATTTTAGGTGGATAAACTAGGGAAAGTGCTGCAATAAGAACTTGCTTAGCCACAATTCTCTTGCTTTTGGCAAGAGTGTAATAATGTAGCTTTTCAATGTAGTCTTTAAAAATAGGTGGTTTCATATTTGTTACAATCTCTAAGGTTCTTGTTTGTTTTACAGTTTTAGTGTTTTAAATGGTTGCACACTGACCTGATGCCTTTTTTTAGCAGATAAGGCAATATATAAATGCAAATAAAAATTAAACACCACAGCAATGTGATTTTTGCTCCTCTACACTTACCATCTCCCACCCCTTTCCAGAAATTTTGCTACATGTTGGTGAGTGCTTCAACGTACACTTTTATGATGATGTGGGAATATAGTCACTATCTACTATTTGTCCAGGCCATCTGTCTTTTTCTGCTAGATATCACTGGGCTCACACAGGCAGAGAAGGTATGTTGAAACTTGACATGAAACATGTTTAATACCTGTTCATTCAGTATTTTTCTGCTGCCTCTATAGACTATGCTGGCAGGAAAAGTTACAGGATATGGGGTTATGTCCAGCACTGCACTAGCAAAACAAAGGCTGTGCAAGTTGACTCCCCCCTCCTGTTTTCCCAGCAGTTCCCAGAACACCCCAAAGCCTCTCTGGAAGATCAGGGGACTATTTTGAATAGGGTAGGTTGTGGCATAGGGGCTGAAGGAGATGGAGGGATCCCCAAATGCCGGGAGAGCCACAGTTCTGCAATTCTGTCATCTCTAGCTAATGGTGAGGGATGATTTGATTGGCAAGCCAAAGCACAGCTTTCCACCCTACCATCCCCACACTAGTAGAAAGAAAGTGTTTCTTGCAGTGGTGTTCCTGTTGCTTAAAGGTTGAGACATTCTGCTTTACTTTATTTCCCCTCCACAGGTACATGACATATATAAAATCTACCTGTTTTCTCTCTTCTTGGGTTATATGTTACAATTTGAAAATCCAACTCTACTGGTATCTCCTCTACTAAGCCTGGTTACAGCTGCTCTGCTGGGAAAATATCTTCAGGTAATAACGGGCAACATTTGGTAGCTCTACATTTGCTTTCAGTCTTTCCCCCTAGAAGCGCAAGGTGGTATACTTTGTTTATTTATGTAGTTGCTATATTAGTATCCTGCCCTTTTTCATGTAAAGGACCCAAGGAGGCTTACATAATCCTCATCCTTCTCTCCATTTGACCCTCACAACAACCCTGTGAGGTAGGTTAGGCTGTGAATCAGTGACTACCCTAAAGTTACCTAGTGTCTCAAGGTCCCATCCAACCCTATAACCATTAGGTCACCTTGGTTTTCCTTTCTCTGCATTCTGTCCTACTCAGCCTGTGAGGCAAATTAAGTTGATGATGACCAGTTCAAGGTCATCCAGGACTCTTCACAGTGCAGTGAGAGTTTGAGCAGGGGTCTCCTCAGTCCGGATTCATGCAGTATTTCTAGACCCATGTGCACATATGACCCCCTGAGCAACAGTCTTGGGAAGCTCCACAAAATGGTTGCTGTGGGAGGTGTGGCTTGTCATAAAAGATAAGTAACCTCCCCAGAAGACTTGAATACTAGGCAGAGGTGGGATCTGAGTCCCAGTACCCGAAATGACTCCTTTGGGCCAAGTTGGCTCTGCCAGAGGTTTGCAACAGCCTGTGACCATCTGCCATCTTCATTTCCTAAGCATGTCTCCAAACCCCATGTGTAGCTTAGAGACATTAGTGGGAAATAAAGATGGCAGCAGCTGGAAGCATTCAGTTTGCATTGAATCAAAAACCTTGTGCCAATAAGAACATGTGCTGATTAAAAACAGAGTAGAAAGGATAAGAGACCTCAGCATGTGCCCAGAAAAGTGGCTGGGGCCACACTGGTACCATCACCACATCGCCACCCCATTCCAGCCGCTACAGCACGCCAGCTCTGCATCTGTCTGTATTGGTAATAAATTGTCTAATTGGGAATATTGGTATGTTGTCTGTAAAAGTAACTATTGTTACATTTCATTGCAGATGAATACAAAAAAAGGGACACTTCTTTCAAGGATGCTGAAGGTCATTTACTTTTATTTGGTCTTCACAATAACAGTGACTTTGAATCTTGCAGTGAAGGTAAACCTCAGTTAAAAGTAATGCTTTGGTTGAACATAATAGTACAGTCATTTGGCTGTTTCTTTAATAATGAATAACACTTGCATGGCATTAGTAGAGCAAAAGCTCTAAGCAGTTTACATGCCAAAGAATTAAAAATCATGGTTAAAATACTCAACAGCAGTTTTAGCTACCACCAAAATAAATTTTAGAAATTGTTTAAAATGAAAAGTAGAAAAACACTGAAAAGAAGCAGCATCACAGCATCTGTGGCAAGCTGACATCAAAGTTTTCATCCAACTTAGTTAATGAACAACATGCATCCATCTCCCCATAACAAAACTAACCTTTCCTATATGTTTTTGGGATTTTTGTTTAGTGGATAATGGACTAAGTGAAAAAATAACCTGTCTTCTAAGAAAAATATTGCCATAACAGAGGGGAAATGCATTAATATTTCCTTACTCTCACATTTCCTAAATGTGATTTATAGCTTTGGGATAAGTGTAGGGAGAGAAAAAAATTGGGGTGGAAGAGAGGGAAAAACTAGAACAAAGAGGTAGAGGCAGCATAGTTTTTTATTTCTTTTCCAAATGGTGTATCAATAATAAATTATATTAAGATAAACTTGAAAAAGTGTTATTAACAAAAAAGGGCAGTGATCACTGACATGGTCACTGAAAAACTGTTGGCAGCTGATGAAAATAACTGCTTTCAGTTTTGTTTTCTTGTCCCTGTTAGCCCAGTGTTTGCAGGTAAACCCAACTGTGTTGACCCTCTGATACAAATCACTGTTAACAGTTTCATTCTCCAGAGAGGGAACCCAGATCTCCTTGCTTTCCTATTTTAGGTGGTTTTATTCTGTGCTGTCCTAGAACAGGTCAATCTCCGCTGAGGCTCCCTTCCTTAGAGAGCTGTCACATGTTTTTGATGTTAGAAAATTAGTGAAAATCATACCTGTATCTGCCTGCCACTTGGTTTCACTAGTCAGTTTTCTTCTACTGTGATATTTGTAAGCTTGTTTTTATTATGCCTTTAATACCCATTTTAAACTTTTATTTATTAAATTTGTATGCTGCACTACTGGCAAATGCCCTTTAGGAGGTTTACAGTAGCTCAGTGGTAAAGTATCTGCTTTCACTACACAAGTCGCAAGTTCAATCTCCAGCATCTCTAGGCAGGCAGGAGAAGTTTCCGCCTGAAGCACTGGAGAGCTACTGCCAGTCAGTCTAGATAATACAGGGCTACATGAACCCTGGATGAGGCTGCTCCCCATAGCTCTCATCAGTCATCACTCTTGCAGTGCTCCGGATACTTTGTGTGCTTCTAAGAAGGAGTTGAGCAGCATAGGTATTCACCTGAAAGCAGTAGAACAGTCTTTTCTAATTCCATATCTTCCAGATTTTTGGAATACACTCACTTAATCCTGGGGCTTGGGAACCAGAAACTTGGAGAGTACTAGGATAGGAAAGACTGCACCAGAAGCTATAGAAAGTACCCTGTACAGCAGTGGCAGGAAACCTCTTGCCCTCTAGATGTTAGATACCAATTCCCACCAGGCCCTGCCAGCATGGTCAATGGTCAGCGAGGGAGGGAGCTGTAGTTCAACATCTGGAGGGCCACAGTTCTATTCCCGCTGCAAGGGAACCAACATGGCAGAATGCACATGGCAGAAAACTTAAGAACTGACACTGGCAGAAAATGTGATATTAGTAGATAAATGTCTGACACATTTGTACCTATTTGTCAGATAGCTGTATTTGTCAGATACAACAATTACCTGACTAAAAAGAACGGTGCTGACACACAACTTCCTTTCTGTTTTGTTTTTCAGACATTAATTTCCCATAAGGAAAATGAACACATAATGAAAGTTCTTGAAGTAAAATTGGGTTTAAACATAACTAAGTAAGTCTGAAGTGGTGATTTTGCAAAATGCAAGTAGCAATATTCTGTGATCATTGCCAGAGGCTACCAAGTCATCTTGAGACTCTTTCCGCCTTATGGGCTTCCACCTAGTGATGCATCCTTCAACCAGAGGCTCTCTACTCTGATGGCTTTTCTGCACAAGGCATTTATCATTCACTCCCCGTTTGCTCCTCTGCATTGTTTACAGATTCTTTAGATGATATTGTTACTCTCCAGTTTTGCCTTTGTGCCTAACAAGGACTTTCGGGAAGGTGTTTTTTAATTTTTTAGATTTTTTTTAAGAACAGAGAATATGTAGCATTTCATTGGGCTGAGAGAGGAGTTTTCACCTGCATTGGTGTTATTTTGCAGTATCACTTTGCCACCTAGAGGTTAGAGAGTCAAAAAGCAAAAAAGGAAACTCTGTAGTGCTTGGATCTCAATTTTGTGTCAAAATTGAAGGTATGTACAGCAAATTAACAGCCCTGTGCACAAAATTTTTATGGTCATGAGAATTTTTCAATGATTTGCTTTTTATGATCTTAGAACAGGGTGATACATTAGACACCATGTGGTCTGTGATTGCAAAACATAGAAAAGTCAGAATGAGCTGCAAAATGTCGTTTCTTAAGCATCCCTTCCCTTAAAAAAAAAAGTTTCTAGTCATCATGTCTGTAAGGATATGCATAGATAAATACTGCAAAGATACGGTTCAGTGGGCAAAGTTGGGCACATGGGCAAAATTGGAAGACAGTGAGGCTCTTCTCCCTGGCATACCTCCTTAACCCTCTTCATGGCCAGCAAAATCACAATATATTGTGCAGAACAGCAAATACAGAATAAATTATGTTAACTTGCTTAAGCTGAAATGGTTATTTTGGTTGCATAATCCATATTTTCTTGTTATGAAGCAATTAGCATGATTTTTAATATTTTAAAAATAAATTATTTAGAAAGTTAAGCCTATATGCCTTTGTTTATACAGCAGGGATAGAGAACCTGTAGCTTATCAAGATGTTGTTGGACATCAGTCCCATCTTCACTGTCCTTTGGCCATGCCAGCTGGGCTTATGGGAGTCTATCAGTGTCAGGACCCCATTAATCAGGCAGCAGAAATAAAATGTTTTCAATGCAAGTGCTTTTAAATACCAGAGGAGAAAGATACCCCCTTAAAAAGTATTCTTCCTCTGCCTTTTCCCACACGAGGAGGAATGTGTCTTCTAAACTGATGTACACATGAATCCTGTTTCAATGTACACATGAATCATGTAGTTCTTATGTAATGACTAACTCTAAGGTGCTGTGGGACAAGCAACCCAGAGTTTTAATCTCCTAGTTGTTTAGGTTATCAGATCACAGTATGTTCTTAGATTATTTTTAAACACAGATTTAAAGCAGAAGCAGCAAGTTAGAGGATGATTCATTCTGTCACAGCCCCACCAATTCATGGATTGAACAACCCACAGATTGGTGTAATATGTGAGCACAGTCATCATATGAAAGATCTGGGAAGGAGCATGTGGAGAAGAAGCTAGCTCAGGAAAAGAGCCCAGATAGTGGAGACTTGCAAGGGAAGAGTGTCTAGAGGATTAAAGTGGTGGGAAAGGCCAAGATGGGTGCGTCTGGTGGACCGAGGAGCTAAAATAGGCAAGGTGTGGCCAGAGGGAGGGGAGGGTTAATGGTGGAAACGACTGCAAGAGCAGCACCATGTGAAGGAGGGAGAGAGAGCGCGAGAGCCGGACAGGATGGCAGCGTGGCTGGCTAGGCCTGTGCTTCCAGGCAGAGTTGGGGAGGGGCTCAGCAGGAGCTGGAAAAGATGGTAAAGGGTTGAAATACCTGCCATATCTGATATTGCAACTTGAAGCAATAAAGATGCTGCATCTATGCGGGTCTTTGTTTCTTCAGCTATTTGTTGATGAGATCATGGGTCCCTTTGACGTGGAATTGCCTTCTATGATTCTCCAGTGAACACCCCATAAAAACTTAATGTGTTTGCTTTGGACTGACTGTTATTACTTCTGTGCAAACTGTTCATGTGATTGATTAACTAAGTCATCTTAGTTTCATACCTGCAAAGACAACAGGGTGGATATAATCTGGCTATCTTGAGATTACAACCACCCTCCTTTTCTTTTCTTTTTTCTTTTTAATTAATAGGAACTTCACCATTAATTGGCTTCTTTGCCAAGAGTCCCTTCAGACCCCATCCCAAGACTTTTTTCTACGCCTTACTCAGTCCTCGCTGTTGCCTTTCTACATTTTAGTGCTAATTATTTGCCTTGTCTCTGTTGGTCAAGCTGTCTTTAGAAGAACTATGTAAGTTGATTACCATCCATTTTTATTCCCTTGTTCCTCAGCAATTACTGTGATGAACTTGCATGTACTTGCATATCGCTGGATTGTACTTGATCCACTTTTAATGGCAAATGCCAGTTTCAGTGCAGAAGGCTTTCAGACTGGAAAATCTGTATATGAAGTAGTAAGCCTGTAACAATGCCACTTTGCTTCTGCTGCAAATGATGAAATACATGAAACACAAATACCTGTTTGCAGGACCACTGAACACTTTCTATCTCAAAAATTACGTAGAAGAATTACGTAAACCCATGCTGTTTCGTATGTGTGTGTACATGCACACGCGCACATGTCCCTCTTTCCTTTGAAAGCAGATGCAGACAATGATCTTTGTGTCAATGGTCAGTTTTTGTTTTTTTCCCCATGTGTTGAGGGGCATCGTTAATGCTGAACAACATCTCACCCCTCCATGAAACTGTGCCCATGTTACAGTCCTGTGCTTACACAGGTGCTTTTGTGTAACCTGCAACCTGATACACAGTTTCCTGGCAGTAAGTCCCACTGAACTCAGTGGGAGTTACTTTGAGTAGAAATACACAGGGTTGCAGTGTAGCTAAGCTTCTATGTGTAGGAAACCATTTACTGTAGGAGGCTCTGCAGTTCCATGGCTTGGAACAAAATTACTGAATATAGTTAAAAGCAAGGGATAGCTCTTCCCTATCCTGTTCTGGTTTTTGGAGCTGTCGCTGCTATCCAGTATTCCAGGGCTACCTGTGGGGAAAGCATTGATGAGAGCTAAGCAGAGCATAGCAGGGACAAGCCACATGGTCATATAATGCCAGCACTTTTCTGTCTGCACTGGCTGCCAGGCCATGTCCTGTGCTGGTGTTAGCATTCAAAGCCCTAAATGGCTTGTGGCCAGGAAGGATAATTTTCTCCCATATATATTTGTTGGACTCTGAGCACCAACCCTCACTCTTCCCCTGCCAAAGGAAGTGATGGGGGCAGCTACTAAAAGTAGGGCCTTTCACCCTGTTTGTGAAATGATCTTCCCAAAGAAGCTTGCCTGGAACCTACTTTGTTCTTTGGCAGCAGATGAAAACCTTAAACCTGATTGTCCCAAGCATTTTGGCCTTTTAGCTTGTGTTGTTTTAATTTTGTTACTATATTTTAAGTAACACTGTTGTGCACTGTTGTTACATTTTATCTTGGTTGTTATTTTTATTTTATACTGCAGATTTAAATGTTTATATTGTATTTATAGTGTTGCCTTTTTTGGTTTTAGTTGTGATCTAACCAGAGAGTTTCAGCTATTGGACTTTGTAGAAATAGAATAGAAAATAACGAAGGCCAGCATTGCTGGTTGCTCAGTTCTCAGGAAGATGCCACAAATGGAAAGGTGGCACTAATCTTGTTTCTCTTCCAAATATCACAGTGGTAAACCAGTCAGTGAAACAACTGTGCTTGAGAGTGGGAGAATTGGAGAACGACCAGAAGTTGTGTATCATGTACTTCACACAATTTCACTGGGGTTGCTTGCCATGATGATGGAAAGGTGAGTTGATTAGATGGAGACATAGACTTTGTTTCCCCAGGAAGTAGCAAAATACTTCTCCAAACTTGCTAGAAACGTATATGGAGTTTTTGTTTCTTTCTGAGCATAGGTGGAGGGGAAATCATTTTAGAAGAAGTACTGATGACTGGAGTATTTGACACTGATACTAATTAGCTTGTGTAACAAGACAGCCAGTTTAGTACAAGAGAGCCAGTATGGTGTAGCAGAGTGTTGGACTGGAACTCTAGAGATCCAGGTTCTAGTCAGAACTCAACCAGAATCCTCATTGGGTGACACTGGGTCAGTTACTTTCAGTCTAACCTCCTTCACAGGGTTGTTGTGAAGATAAAATGGAGAGGAGGAGGAAGACCATGTGAGCCATTTGGGCTTCCTTGCAAGAGGAACAGAGACAGGAAATAAATGTAATAATAAATTATAAAATGAATAGGAGATGGGCGGGAATGTTCTCAACTGCTCCTGTTGCTGTTATTGTGTCTCTGTGAACCTTTTGGAGCACTGGCTGATGCTGCAAAAGGCCATTTGTAGCTGCAGTGTAGTGTTTGGAAGCAGGTGCTACTGTGAGAATGCAGTGATGGTACCAACTCAGATGGCTTTAAAAGCGGGTTAGACACATCCATGGAAAACAAGCCTATTGATGGCTGCTAGTGGCAGTGGCTGTACAGTGCTTCCACTTTCAAGGCAGCTTGTCTTTAAATGCCATTTGCCAGGGAGCATATGACATCCCATAGAGTGCTATTGCACTCGTGTCCTCCTTGCGGGCACCCTATAGGGACCTGATGGAACAATTGTGGTAAATACAATGCTGGACTATTTAGGTTTCTGGCCTCACCTGGCAGGCTCTTATTTTTAAAATTAAGAACTGTGCAGGTTGTAACATGTGCTGCAAACAGTTATTGGAAGAACTTTGAAGCTGCCAAGGTAAAATAAGTGCTCCAGAGTGTTGTTTGGCACAGATTCCTGCACATCATTTTGATAATTTTTAATTTGTTGGAGCGCTTTTACCCTACACTAGTCTTCTCCAACCTGATGCCGTCCAGATGTTTTGCTCTATAGCATTCCATCACAGCTGACAATTGGCCTTGCCTGTTGGGGCTCATGGGTACTGAAGTTCAAAATATCAGGAGAGCACCAGTGGTGGAAGGCTGCCCAACACTAAGCTTGTTCTCCAGGACTTACAAGAGGGCATTCTTGTCCTTTGGGATAACCTTTCCTTTTCTGTCAATAGGCAGGGCCAGGGGCTGACAGAGCACTCTCCATCCGATCAGCCTCCCTCCATAAGAAACTCTGTTAGCAAAATAGTGCCAACAAGTCATATAATCTGATTAACTGGTGGGAGGAGTGGAGACTCACAAAATACCATTTGTGACCTGACACATGCAGCAGATCAACCTCTAAAGTTCAACCTGATCAAATGTCATCTGGATATGGAATGGCTGAGAAGCAAATCCAATTGAATTTATAGAATCATGAAGACAAGAACTCTGAACCATTCAGTGTTAAGGGAAAAGCCCTTGAGGACTCTTTCTGTGCTTTATGCTCACTGGCAAAAAGAGACATCCGGAGGCTGCTGAGATCCTTAAGAGAGAATCTGAGAGAGAGACTGAGGTTAAAAGGATGCTGCTAGGATGAATATGAAATTGATGTAACCCTTCAGAAATATGCTTTATTGGGTGAAAGTGATGTTGATATGGCTCATACTGAAGAGGAGGAAGGACCATCGAGAGCACTGTTAAAAACAAAGATACTGCCTCTAGATAACAGTGAGCTTCAGGTTAGCTCAAACTTTCCCAGTTCAGCTCCAAATAAAAATGGATCAGGTGCTCTTGCCTGGAATGACATGAGGAATGTGGAAGAAGATGAACTCGGAACCCTTGAGAGGTCCACCAAACCACTTTGTCCAGTAACAAAGTTGATAAAACCAATGAATTTTAATGTCAGTAAGATCTGTCCACAGAGGAAGCAGACTGAACAACTGGAGGAGGACCTGAGGGAAATGTAACAAAACAAAATCTACTTATAGAAAGAGAAATTCTTCCTACTTTTCCCATGTGGATATAAGAACTCAGAATTAAGTAAAATGTTTAATATCCTATTTTTGAAGAAACTTGGGCCAGGGAAGGGATCACTACATCATTCTCTCTGGGAGCACCTCTGAGTGTCAAAGGTGGGCAGCCCAAGGGCGGCCTAATTATACTGGTAAGTACAAGTACTAGAACTTCTGCTGGCAGTCTGGATCCCTTGCTCCGTCTGGCTACTGGCTTGATCATTGAAAGTGACTGGTCTCACCTTGTGTAAATCAAGGCAGATGCCCCCACAAAGACACAAACATGCAGTTAAGGAGAACTGGCTAAAACTGCAAAACTATATCAACAAAATAGTAAACATAAATCCTGAAGCCCTGGTGATTTTGACTGGTGAATTAGTTGCTTGAAATAGACAGGATGATGAGACCCTCTGTGCCCTCTTCCATGGCATATGCAACTCAGGTACATCAGCAATTGATTTATGATTGTCTCTTGCAACTTGTTGAACAGCTGCCAAATGGGCAATCGGGATGAAAGTGATCATCTTCCCATATCTTTACTCTTAAATTTTGGAAACCTCATCGTGCATACTATGTCCCCACATTGAATACCAATGTAAAAATCCATGTCCAAAGCATTAGGTGGTCAGCTAAATTAGAGGAAGTGTCATCAGAGTTATACTCAATAAGGTGTCTGTATTTCCAGGATACTTTGTTAAATGCAGATTCTTCCAAGACAACAATAGGATTATCTCAAAGCTTCATTGATATCCTTCAAAACATTCTGAAGCCTAAAAAGAGTAGTATACAATTTTCTCTACCTAATAGGTCTAAAATTTGGTCCAACCATGAATGCATCAATATGAAATACTCTTTCACAGAAAAAATACCGCTCATAATAGGGACTTAAACCTTTCTGTAATTCCTAATGAAGGATTAGAAGACTATCTATCTATTTATTGATTGATTGTATTTGTATGCCTCCGCATAGCCAGAGGCAATTTGGGGAGCTCACAGTGCGATATTAAATAGCAAATAAATAAATAAATAACAATAACAACCAAACCCATAAAACATAATAGGATTAAAATACAATATAAAATCAACTGTATAAATAGAACAAAAGGAAATATAAACACAATGTACCCACTAACAACAACCAATGCAACAATAAACCAGCAGCAAACCAATAGTCCAATCTAAAAACAGATGCTAAATAATGAAGATATTAAACTGTGATCAGGGAGAAAAAGAAGCAAGCCCAAAGGGAAGCATGGCAATCCCTGACAAATACTTCACAGACGGGAGACTCATCTACTTTCTGGAGAATGGTACTGGGGCTGGCAAAATATTGCTGTAGGAGCAGAGTACTTTATTCCTGCGAAGATGCAGGGAACAACATATGCAAGCAGACAATCCCCTCAACATTGTATTAAGGCTTTAATTAATACTGTCCCAGAGTGGCCTCCTGTCTCCATATTTGCAATCATCAACCTGATCTCACATCTTAAATGGGGCAAAGCATCAGGCAGTGATAATATCCCTCCTGAACTGGTGAAATTTGACACTGACTGGTGAGCCACCTGTTCTAGCAGCCCTATTTACACACATTTATTTACATGCCATACTGGATGGTAGATTCAGAAGGAAGCCATACTGGGAACAGGTGTGCCACTGTAGAAAGGAAGAAGTGGAATTTGCAGGGCATCATTTACGATGCTACACTTTTTATCAAGCATACACCTTTAGCCCTCTTTACATAACAGCTCCCAGGGAAGCAGATAAACAACACCTAGCCATATTTAGGGTCAGATCATGACCCAAAAGTCACTCCAAAAGTGGCAAGCTTTTGTGTAACTGTAATAAATCTACACAAATTAAGATTGGTGGGTATGAATGAATTGTAATAATTTAATCTAATCTGTTTAGATTATTTTATTTCACTTACTGATTCTACTGCATTTTAATTCTCTAAGTATTTTAATTATTCATGTTGGGTTTTTACCTATTTTATTGTATTAATATTAATTTGTATGCTGCATTTTACTGGTCTGTGACTGAAATAAAGTTCATTCATTCTGTTTGCCAGAACAGTTTACATCCTTCCCAAGCAATGAAAGCCAGCTGTGGAAAATTATGTACACAGCTGCATTACTGGCTGACTCTTCTGTGGATGCTGTTCAGACCCAATCCAAGGTCATGGGGGCACAGAAACATATGGCTGGACAGCTGGGATGTTGAACCAAGCTAGCCCTCCTTTTGCTGATGCAAAACTGTTTGGAGAACCCCTTGAAAAGGACCTTCTGGAAGATAAAGGCAAAATCAAGACACTTCCTATTTCCAAGAGGGAAGATGAGAAGGCCCAGATTCAATCTGATGTTTGTCCCTCCAGACTGGCAGATCAGCCAGGCTCTCACGGATCAAGGCTAAGTGGCTACACAGCCAGGACACACGTGAGAAACAGTATCTTTTAGCAAGCACCATGACAAACATGGCCGAAGTGTCAAAGAAACCTTGTTCTTCCTGATGCTGAGGTTCCTGACTCCCAGGAACCATGCCTGGGCCTTGGAGTTAGTCTTCCAGGATTATGCTTTGTACTTTCCCCAGCAGTCCAGGAACAAATGCTGGATTACTTAATAGTTGAAAATTCCTGTAAGTACCAAATGCTAAAAGCAGCTATGCAGCACCTGTTAGATGTCCAAGTGATCAAATAAACAAGAACAATGAACGTTTATTCCAATGATGGTATTGGAGCCATTGCATGGTTGAATAGCTAAAAGAATTCATCCAGAAACATTTCTTCAGGATTGAAACCCTGAAGTCAGTAGTAGCTGCCCTGACCACAAATGACTTTCTGGCTTTGCTAAACCCCTCCAAGGCTCCCATGGGTTGATGAATGCATATCTACTAAAACATGGCACCATTAGTGGCTCACTTGAGACAGATAGGAATTTTCCTGTATCCATACTTAGACAACATACTTGCCCAATCTGCAACCAAAGAGAAAGGAATCACAGTATATTTTGGCCTTTCTTCAGGTGAATGTACAGAAAAGTTTATTAAAACGAAGACGGCACCTGGAAAACCTGGCTGGGATTCAGAACACAAAGGGTATAGGATGTTTCCTACAGAAGAAATGAAGAATAAGGTCTTTCAGATGATGGCAGAGACAGAACAGGCCAGGCAACTGCCAAGAAGTGGTCAGCTAGTCATACTTCCACACTTGACCCTTGCTTCTCCAGCCTCACGCAGCATGCCAAGATTGCTGCATGGTAGAGATTCTGGCAGCCATGCAGATGTCATTGCAATGGTGGTGGGATCCTTCCAAGCTGACACATGGAATGGCATTGGCAAACCTTGCAGAGTCATCACCACGGACACCAGCCCGTTCAGTTGCGCGATCCATTGGAGTCTCATGTAGCGCAGGAAATTTGATCAATGGCATATTTAGTTACTTGATTTATATCCCACCTTTTTTCTTACAAAGAACTCAAAGTAGCTTAGCTTATATAATTTCCTCATCCTGTCCTCAGTCTTATCTCCACAACAACAATCCTGGGGTAGGTTGGGCTGAGAGTCTATGACTGGCCCAAAGTCACTTAGTTGTTTCCATGGCTGAGCAGGGACTAGATTCAAGTTCGTCTGAGTCCCACTTTTGTACTCTTAACCACTGCTGCTGACATGGATAAGAAGAGCATACATCTGGAACTCAGGACTACCAAGTTGGCTTCTTGGAGTTCTGGGACAATGTATGAGACCTCCATGTTCTGGTGAGGATAGATAGTGCAACAACCAAAGTATAGAACAGGCCTGGGGATATAAGGTCAGACGCATTGCATCTAGAAGCTTGTGTGATAATGAACCTGGGGTGGGGGTGGGGGTGGGGGTAGAATTTGGTCTCAATTAACATTGTGTATCTGATGGGGAAATGCAAAGATGGATACTTCAAGTGCTGGAAGTAGGTCTTTGCCCCAGTGCAGAATGCAAAGCATTCGTGCTACTTTTCCAGGTATGCTGCAGTGCTTGGAGAACATTCCTGTTACGGTGTAAATTCAAGGGGAAAAATTTAGAGCAGTCCAAATGGGTGACTATCTCTGCTCCTTGTGGTAATGAATTTGATGATTTAACTTAGTGCTGCATGAAGACATTCTTGTATCTGCCCTGCGTCTTCCACCTGTCAGCTTTATGGGTTTACCTGGGTTCCAGTATTAGGAGAGAGGAGGAAAAATGTCTCCCTATCAACTTTCTCCAAACCTGGTTAATATTTAAAATACAGTAATTTCCATTTCAGCTTCAATAACAGAAGTCTAAAGTATGGGCCCAACAGAATCTATATCTAACCATCACCGTAAGAATATGAGAAAAGCTGTGCAGGGTCAGACCAGCAATCCATCAGTCTCTTCCCTCAGCAGCCAACCAACCACGAGGAGGACAAGAGTGCGGTTACGCCTCCCACACATATCCCACCAGCTTGCATTAAGAGGCATACTGACTCCTCTATTGTGTAATATATAGGTAGCATTAATAGCTGTCAATAGCTCTACCATCCATTAGTTGTCCAAAGCCATCCCAGTTAGTAGTCATCATTAAACTTTGTGCTAGTGATTTCAGTTTAACTGGGCCCGGTATGAAGAAGTACTGCTTTTATCTGTGCTGAATCTCCTACCTGCAACCTCATGGGATGACTTGGGGTTTTAATATGATGAGAGAGGGAGAAAAATGTCTTTCTATCCACTTTTTCCATAGCGTGTGTAATTTTGTACACTTCTGCTGTGTCTGCCCTCACTTGTCTTTTCTCCAAGCTGAAGAGTTCAAGATGACTTCATAGGGGAGGTTGAACCAAGAGCCTATTCCTGTTTCTGTTTTATGACAGCAGCCTTGGATGCATATTTTGGATGGCTCAAACAAGTCTTGATATTCCTTAACACTAAACCAGGTGTAGGCAACCTGATGGCTCCTCTGCTTTACACTATAATACCCATACTCCCCAGCTTTATATTTATACAGTATATCACCTAGAACCTCATATGGTGGAAGACAATAAAGAAGTGCTTTAAGTAAACACGTTAAGTGCAAGAGTACTTTAGTGGAGGATGCCAAAAATAACTATGGGTTTCCTTGCAGTTGTTGGAGGTGTATTCTAGATTCTTAGCTAGTTCAATGACCGATGCAACAGCTGTGGAATCTGTTCCTTTTGGAATCTATAGAATGGAATATACAATGTCTCATCCTTTTTGTGGTGTGGGTGGGATTTGTGTCCTCTTTTCATAGAATGAAATATGTGTGGACTCCTTCCGTTTGCATGATGGCTGCATTTGGAGTTTGCTCCCCTGAGCTTTGGACGACACTTTTCAAGTGGTTCCGACTGAAGGCTGTACATCCCATTGTGCTGGTGAGTTCCCAGCCCTTTCTAAAGTCACACAGTGGGGGGCACATGGAAACATTTTGTTCGATTCAAATATTTTAGCACTGCTTTTTGAGGCAAAGGAAAATTTCAAAGGAGGAAAATAGAAAATGTAGAAATCTTGCTACTTTTGAAAAAAAATTGAAGGAAACAGAAAACAAGTCAGTCCAAAGAAATACTTAGTGAAGTCTTTTCCAGGATATGTTAGGTTGTAATTTCACCAAGTGGGAATAACTCATGAAAATGTGCTTAAAACTGTAGGGGTACAACTCAGTGGAGAAAATCAATAGAAAAAGGTAATTCAGGTCTTTGAGACTTACTCCTCAGTAAGTATATAAGGTTGCATCTCTAAAACGTTGTGTGGTACTGACAGCATCTGAGAGTAGGGGTGAGAACTAAAGAGGAACTTGTGACATTTTTTGTGTACACTTGCTATTTCAGGCTCTCATCCTGAGTATGGCAGTGCCAACTATCATCGGCTTCAGCTTGTGGAAAGAGGTAAGAACATACTATCATATATATAATATACTTTTAATACTAATAATCATATTTAGCATCAATACCCAGGAGGGTGATTGGCAATGAAAGCAGGTATTTTTTAAAAGCACTTCACCAAATTTTATTTGCTAATGACGTTTGTGTTTTGATTTTTATAATAAAGTAGCTTGGCCAAAGATTATCACCTGAAATCATAGCAGCAACATGGTTGGGCCACTAGATAGCACTGTGAGTTTGTCCAATGCAAGTCCGGTGGGCTTGTTTAAAAGAACTCAGTCTGACGGTGACAACTTTTAGCAAAGCCCAACATGTTATCTTTAGAAAGCATCTTATCGTACAGTGAGGATGTTATTGGACGCATTTGAGCAACTGCATTATGAATTCTGATAAAGAATAAAAATAGGATTCTGCTGTAAAATCTGGGATGGAATCGAACCTAATAATAGAACAGAAGGATGTTGAGCATGTAGGACTTTTTAATACTAAAAAGGTGTACTTAGTCTATGTTCCTACATTATTTAAAGTTCTGTAATTTGTCTTCCCACAGTTCATAGCCTTGGTACTTCCTTTTAGTTTTTTCCTAGGATAATGACAGAACTTTCAGAACTGCAAGAATTTTATGACCCTGACACAGTTGGACTCATGACTTGGATCAAGTAAGGAAGCCTTGTTATGCCTAAACTTTTGCTTTCTTTTTGCTGCAGAATATTTTCATTAACTAAGCTATGAGTCACTGTAATTGCCTGTCATGCAGTCAGTACAATAGTTGTTTGCATGCCTTTCCAACCTTCTTGTGGTCCTTGGCAACATTCGGGTTAATGCTTGTCTTGTGAACTAATTGTGTGAGTATTAATTAAACGAAAACAAAATAGCATGTTTTGTTCTTACAGTGTCGCAACTGAGTGCGTGTCTCCAGGCTTGCTGACATGGACAGAATCTTGCTTTGTATTGTCCTCCTGTCCCTGCAATGCGTTTCTTTCCCCACTCCTGTCCTGTGCAGGCACAATCCTTAGCATCCTCATTTGCTCTCGATGCAGCATAATGACTTGTAGTAGTGTGCCCAGATAGTGTGGTGATGCAGCTAGAGGAATCTTCCTTAAGCTGGTGCTCTATAGCTGTGAGCTGTGTTTGAATTAGGGCTGATGGAATTTGTCGGTTTTGCCTCCTGCTGCATTTTAATATTTTTAAATCTCAAGTTTGTTCTTGCTAACTATGAAGAACTTTGCAGATCACTTGGAACAAAATGCTCACTCATCTCCACCAGACAGATGCGATAGGTGCAGCTATTGCCAGCATGGAGAGGACTGTAATGTACTGTGTGGCTATTAAAGATGGGGAGCCCATCAAAACAAGGAGGTGGCAGCCCTTGAGCAACCAGCTATATAGCCTGGTTAAATTTACAGGGATTCAAACCCAGGCTTTTAAAAGCGAAGTACTCAAAAACACGTGCATGGTGGAATGAATATGCCAGTTCCTCCCACATTCAATGTGTTAATGTCAAATTCTTTGTTGTCCCCAGTTTGAAGAACTTTGTGAATTTTTATGAATTCTCCAAAACTGGACTGACATTAAATTCTTACCCTTTCCTAGTTGGACTGCTACCCCTATCATGGGAGTTGTGGTTAAGGGCACATCTGGAGGTCACCAGGTTGGAGAAGCCTGGGAGGATCCTGGTTCAAATCCTTTCTTAGGCATAAAGCTCAGTGGACCAATGATAATCTCAGTCTAACTCTCTTCATAGGATTGCTGGGGATTTTAAAAGCTGTTTAGTTAGAAGTTGGGTTTTCACATGGTGATTCATGGGAGTGTTAGAAACCAGCACTGGTCCTGGTTGTAGACAATATTTACTAATAAAAAATGTATATCCCACTCTTTCATCTTAGAAAGTTGAAAAAACTGAAGAGGGGAAGGAATAGCATGTGCCAATAAAAGAGGGACTGTTAAAGAAAAAAACAAACACTGTCCAATGGGTTAAATAAACAACATTCCCATTTTAAGTCTTCAGAAAAAGGGCAAAATATGTTGTAAATGAGGTTTCAGAGGCTTAGCAAAAATAGATAAGGCTCGATGTTATGGTGGCATACCATGGGTAGGTATAGGAAGTCCCATAGCCTGGTTATAGCAAAGAAGGAGGTCTTCACTAACTGTACTTCAGATGGCCATGAGACCCAAAGCTTGGACTCCTCTCTTGCTCTTAATGGATGAGCAAGACAATATGGGACCAGATGGCCCATTAGGTGTCCTAGTTCTAGGTTGAGTTAGGGTTTGAATGGCCACAAAAGCAGTGGCAGACATTGATAGAATAATGGAGCAAAAAGTTTTAGTGAAAATCCTTGGGCTGCGATCTGTTGAAGCTGACATTTCAGAAGTAGTGCTCCCAAACTATGCAATATGGAATACGTGAGAGAAGTTGTTCTTGCTTTGCAGGAGGCAGGCACCTATTGCGGCTGTATTTGCTGGCAGCCCACAGCTAATGGGTGTGATCAAATTGTGTACTGGAGGGATGGTGACAAATCTGCCCCTGTATAATGATGAGGACCTACTCAGGAGGAATGAGCATGTGAGTCGTCTTCATTTCTCAACTTTTCTAAAACATCTTTAATATCTAGAGTATTGTGTAATATTTATCTCGAGACAGTTGCTGCTGTCCCTGACCTTCACATAGGCTGCAGCTTGCTCAGATACATTAAGTCTGGGTTTACAGATAATCTATAATGCTTTGGATGCAATCCAGAGAAAGTTAGGTTTGTCCAAGTTCTAGTGCTACTGGCAGAAATTAAACCTTGATTTGTATTTTAAGGACTTGTTGATGATTTTTCCAAGCATACATCATTAGAAATGAGCTCCAGTGAAAGCAATAGAATTTGCTGTAAGTGGGCCTTAAGTTTCAGATGTTAAATCTCATTTATTTTTAGTGGGTTTCAGAGGTGCTTAATCTACTATGGGTTGCACCCTCTGTTGACTGATTTATTTCATTTTATACCACCCAAGAGCCCAAGGCTTTCTGGGTGGTTACCAACAGTTAAACACATATAAACAAATATTATCTTTGAAAGATAATAACATAAAAAACAACAGAACAATAAAACAATAAAAACAGTAAAGCCAATAAAACCACAGCAGTTTCAGTCAAGTCAGTACAGAGTGTAGCAGTAGTACGTTTATTTATTTAGCGTATGGCCTATATGGCCAGGGAGTCTACAGTGCTTTTACACATGGTAGATGTTCTGGCAGCCAACAGTTGCTAGTCTTTTCTTGCACCAGTGCACCACTGAGGGCGATCTGGCTTAACACTGTCTAGCTTAACACCGACTGGCCAACAACGCTGTTAAGGAAGGCAGCCCATCCAGGACTTTCCTCTGCTGATCCTTCACCGAACACATACAGGCAGATCCAGTGCCAGTTCTTGCTTCCACACAAATGTAGCCAGCTTTTCCCACCAGAGAATGGTGGTCCCTTGCAGATGGTATGCTTTCGAACTGCTAGGTGGGGAGGAGCTAGGGACAGGTGACGGGGATCACTCCATCTCGCAGGGCTCGACTCGAAACACCGAAGCGCCGACCATTTCTGGCTAACGGTTCCAGTGTCATTAAGCTGCTGCAGCACCGCATCCCTGGGCAGTAGTACAAAAATACAGTATAAAAAGTAAAATTAAAAAGTTAACTATTCTTGAAGATTGTTGTTTTCTTTTGCATTATGTGCAAGCAAGTATATTAAAAAATCTTGTTAAAATCCTAGCATTAACCCTAAGGGGTATTTCCAAATGAATTATATTTATTGTTTTTAATTTGGCATCTTCTAAAATTCACAGATTTTTCAGATCTATTCAAAAAGATCTGCTGAAGATATTTATAAAATACTCACATCATACAAAGCTAACTATTTGGTTATAGAGGATTCCATTTGCAATGAGGTGGGGCCTGTGAGAGGATGCCGTGTCAAAGACCTGCTGGATATCGCCAATGGCCATGTAAGCAGCAGCTTGACATTTACTTCTTTTCTGTTCTTTAGGGCATACTTATATTCCAGTATGCCTAAAATCTGAGGCTGTATCTCATTCTTCTGTACAACTGCTTGTGAGACTGAAGGCCTTCTGCTGAAGTTAAGTGTAGCTGTTTGGTGAGTGAAAGCCAGCTGAACAAGCCCAAGACCACAACCCAGAAACCACATGTAGGCATGTCTAGCAGAACCCTTGGCTTGAAACAGCAGATTCTGCAGGCACGGAAATACACGTGTGCTGGGCTGACAAAAGGAAGTACTTCTTCGTATGATGCATAATTAATCTGTGGAATTTGTTGCTCCAAGGTGTGGTGATGGGCTAGCAGTGGCTAATAGTCATCATGGCTGAACAAAACCTCCTTGTTCAGGGACAATATGCCACTGAACTCTGGTTGTTGGGCAGGTGGAAGTGGGTGATAGCAGCAGGCTAGGGCTCTTGCCTTTATGCCTTACTTATGGGAGCTAGAAGTATCTGACTGGCCACTGGAAAACACGCATCATATGAGCAGCTCCTAATTGTGGACGGAGCTCCTATTGCTCAAGAGCCACAAGCTCCAAACAAAGAGTACAGGTTTCATCAGATAGTGGCCTAGCATTGTATCAACCACGCTACACCAGTTCAATGTAATATTTCTAGTTTTAAATGTACATGCTATAAAAGTTCCTTATTTGAAGAACTCTTTTTAAAAATAAAAAATTATACATGTCAAACCAGCTATTTAGCAGCATGGCATCAATTACCAATTGAGCTGTGAAGGATATCTCATTCAGAATGTTTGTGCTAGGGTCCTCCTCCAGCCCACATGAGTTAAACTAAACTATATATTTTTCTTGTTTTCTTCAAGGTGTATTATGAAGAAAGTGACAGTTATGGCTATTCAAAATATGGACGATTTTGTCAGGAAATCAAAATGAACTATTCTCCATATGTGAATTACTTCACTCGAGTATACTGGAATAGGTCCTATTTCGTATATAAAATCAACACTGTAATATCTTTCCAGTCCTGAGAAGACATGGAGATGACATTTTTGAAGATTGCCTGTGTTTGAAGAATTCTTCAATGGGATGAGCTTATTTACAAACTGTTCTTTTATACTGTATATGCATTACAGACATGCCAGAGACACATCACTGAGAGGGTACAATATGCCCACTTCTTGGTGTATGTTACTGGAATACTGCAGACTGACTACAGCAAAGCAAAAAAGAGGAATAACTCCCAGGCCATGGAAAATACAAGATGTGACAGGTTTCCTTGTTTTTAAATACCTCTCCCCAGCTCTTCTGATTTTCATGATCTTATTATGCCATTGATTTCTCTGATCTCATTTTATAGCAATGCCTGTCTTCAGCTAGATTTATTTTCATTAATAAATGCAAAAAAGCCCCTTGTGAACTTGCTGAGCATGATCCTCAAGTTATGCACATATATCTGGGATTAGGGCAGTGGGGGTAGGGAAAGAATGCTCTGTTATTTTTGTAGCTTCAGTCTCCTACCAAATACTTGAAATTCATGGAAGCTGGAAAACTGGGGTACCACTTTTTGAGTCAGAAAAATGCTGAAGATAAATAGGGTTAGGAAGGGGAAATAAGTTTTCCTTTGGCTGAGCTTTGATTCATTTTAATCATGGCTGCTATCTATGAGTTGAATTTGATTCAAGACATTGTTAAATACCTCTTTGATTTCTGATGGTGCATGCTTGTACCATGTCTTCAAAGACTGTTCTCTAAGAAGGAAGCAGATCATGTGCATTATTTGTCTATAAGCACTGTCCCTAAGAAGTACTGGAGTAAATACAGATTATTTCCTTTGAAATATGTACACAATCATTTGTTTTAGGCAGATATCGTCATCTTCTTATGGAGACCACTTAGAAGAAGAAGAAGATGAATATATCTGCCTAAAAGTTCCCCCTCTAAACAAGACAAGGTTAAAGGCTTAAATTCAAGGATATTTAGCTTAACTGTTTTGTAGGACCATGTTTATTATGATAAATGGGATTTACCATTTTTCTCTAGTTAGAGGCTGCATTCAGATGTCATATTAAGCCAGGAATCCTGGCTCAATAAGTCATGATGTGAATGAACATGCTAGTGCATGGAAACTGTTTGCTCCTTCCTTTGTGTAGCAAAACCAGGAAGGAATAGCTGAAATGTGTCCAGGCAACCCATAATCCATGTTTTAAACCAGGACTCAGTTGGTTTATCAACCATAGCTTGTTTAAACTCACTTAAAAATAAGTCTGGGTTTGGACTGCAGTACATAGTGAACCATCTTTGCCTACCCTACCCACTAATGTAAGAAGCACACTGCTTATTCACATCATGGTTTATTAAACCTGGATTCCTAGCTTAATGGGCCATCTGGACATGGCCATTTTCTTATTAAAACTATACCTGTAAGCTGGAATTTAAAAGTCACACACTGAAGAACAAGCTGATAACAGCATGTTGTGTTTGGGCTGAGTTTCTTGCTTGAATAAATGCATATTCCTATGTTGATTTTCTATGATAGTATTTCTCGCCATATCTTTTTTTCCCTCACTGTCGATGCTCTTTGGCAAGTACCTGCTCAGCCTAGAATTGCAATTCATCAATTGACTTTATTCATCCACAGTACATAACTAGGAGAATAACCATGCAGAGCAAAAAATGTTACTGTGTGAATATTTCATCATATGCTTGATATGTGGTACTTAACAGTAGGCTAACGATCAGTGCTGCCTTGGTTTATATCTATCAATCAAACTGGATTCAGGATTGCAAATGTCTATTATTAACTTCATTCAGTTGAGGTTGAAGGTCGACCTGCCATTGGGAATAGTCAATTCAGTAGACAGAACTTCTTTGTCAGCCCCTCTAGATGTCTTGGACCAGTTCCCAGTGTGCTGGCTGAGGAATGCTAGAACTTGTAGTGCAACACACCTGGGGAATATCAGGTTGGAGAAGGCTGATGTAAAGCATACTGAGGGTCTGATTTGTGTGTGGAAATTGATATATTGTGTTGCTAAATGCTTGCCTGAAAAATGACCTTTTAACAGGTATAGCCTTGATGTATTTATGTTTGGAATATTTGTATATGTGCGACAGCAATTATCTGTATTCTTTACAACTACACTTATGCCTTTGAATTTTTAAAAGCTGCATCAGTAAATGACAAAATAGCCACAAAGGAAACAATTTTTTAAATATTACCTCATACAGCTAGAAATGTTGCTGTTCTGACTATTTTTCAGAGTAACTCCCTAAAACTCCCAGTTGATCAGGTATTACCATTGTGCATGCAATCTCTCTTATTTCACTTTCGGTTCTGAGCAACATAGAAGTAAAGGAAACTACTGGTACATGCGTAACAAACACTGGTTGCGGAGTAATACCAGTGTGGCTGAGGAGCGCTAACAGAATGCCATTTGTGGGAGAGTAACAAACACCCCTAAATGTTCCTGAATTCCATTTGGACTTCTGTCCTAGCTAGATTGCCTTGGCTTCTTCAGTGCTACTAGTTCCACTAAATTTGCAGGGATATTTCAAATCCTGAAATGGACTCCATTTGACTTTAATTTATTTTAAAAATAAATTCCACATAGTGAAGATAAGTTTGCCTTCCAGCCTGATCCTTTGTTCATATCTTATTTGAGATACATTGTAGTGCATTTAAATAGCAATGCTGCTTACTCTCTCTCTTTTCTATTGATCGTACTTGAAGTGTACTGAAATCTTTGTGTGTTAAGTTCCAGATAATTGTCACATCATTGAGTTGTTGCAACACTTTGAAGAAAGAATGTTACTGTGGGTACAAGAGGGAAACGTTTGATAGCCTGCAGTTGGAGAGTGACACTTTCACAAAACATTAAGTGTTAGACTGCACATTTGGTCAGACTTTTATTAGACTAAATAATGATTTGATTATTGTGTAAAATGTGTAAAATGCAGCATTTTTCAGTTATTCCCTAAAAGCTTTGGGTGTGATAAAATTTGGAAACCTTGCAAAAATCATCATCAGTAGCTGTTTGCCACACATACCTGCTTGGAGTCTAATGAAAGGAGGAATAATTGTAATTCTTTAAAAATATTTTGTGGGAACATTCAAGCCTCTTGCTGTCAATGTTGTAATCCAGTTGGAAAATGTGCCTTGTAAACTTTTATTAAAGAAACAGATAAAAACCTTTTGTACATTTTTAAAGTATTTTTGTGTGAAACTCCACAGTTGAACAGGCGGGATATTGTTTGTGTGTTTGTTTGCTTGTTTGTTTGTTGAAGGATAAACACCCTTTCCCTCCTCTGTAAAAAGTAATTATACAGGATGTAGGTGTGTGGCTTTCCATCTGTTGCCCTCTTTCCCCTAGTTTATTGATTCTGCCAGCCCTGCTTTCCCAGTGAATGTCGTTTTAATGCAGGGTTGGGTAATGCAGATGTTTTGGGAGTAACTCCCAACATTTTTGGGAATTTTTGACCATTGGGCTAATGAGAGTTGAAGCCCAAAGCTTCAGGACAGTGCTAGATTGGAGAAGGACACTACTGTTTCCCCAGTGATCACATCTGTAATGATATCCTACAGAGCAGCTTTCCTCCAATGGGGTGCTCTCCAGATGTATTGGATGCTGCTGGTTGGAAGTTGTAGTTCACACATCTGGAAGGTACCAGGTTGGTGGAAGGCTGTTACAGACAGTTGAGGGCAGCAAATGCAGCCAAGTCCAACGGGCAGCCGTCAACTGGCCTCAGGTGTGTCTCTCTCTTTGCCACAGTACTGCACACAGCACAGCTTCAGCCACATAAAGAAGGAATCTAAAATATAATGGGGTAATTGTGTTCCTCTACCTGGAGGGACTCACTCTTGCTGGTTGAGTTTATGCCATGCTAAATCTGAGTCTGCAAGTTACTACCATGAATGAATTAGGCAGGTAGAAATTCCTTCTGGTTTTTCTAGTAAAGGCATATTTTTTCCAAAGAACATTCCCATTTATTATTTAAACAACTTTAAAATGTTTTTTCTGATGTATATTTTTATCCTCATCTGTTTTATGGACTGTATAAACTGCCCAGAGATCTGTGGCTGTGGTGTGGTATAGTAATAAAATAATGTATTTAATTGAGGTCTTACACACTATATCTTTGTACATCACTTAGAAATCTTGCTTAATGTAAGCAACAAATATCATGAAATAGAATTAAAGTGGGCATAAAACAGCCATTCCCTCTAGAGCAGGGGTCTCCAACTCACGGCCCGCGGGCCAATTGCTGGGACGGGGGAGGGGCCCTGTGGCCTTCAAAGCGCCTCCGGGAGCGACGCGGGATGAGCGGCCCACCACCACCGCCGCGGTGGTGGAGTACTTGATGCGGCCCAGCCTCAGCCAGACTCTCCTTCCACCAGCCCCCAGGTAAGTTGAGCTTGAGACCCCTGCTCTAGATGGTTTGCAACACAGGGAACGCCAAGCTGGATCAGACCAGCGCTCCATCGGGTCCTGCGCTCGGTTCGCACAATGGCAACCCAGCTGCCCACAGGCTCCCGCAAGCAGGACGGGGGCAAGGCCGCCTCCTGCCCAGGTTCCTCGGCAGCTGGTGTATTCAGGCAGCTCTTAGCCAGCACGACTGGATGACAACTCTCAGCATCTTTGCGATCAAGAATGCGGCGCGTGGGAGGGAAGTTCCCAGCACCAGAAGGTCATCAGGTTGCGGAAGGCTAGTTTAAAGTAATAAACCCAATCAAGACAAGGTATGAATAAAGTGAAGTTTGCTTCCCTGCCCGCATCAACCGCCGCTCTCCGGCTGGTTCCTGGAGGGGCGCTGGCCAGCCCCAGCGCCACCAGTGCCGCCCAGCTACGGCTCGCGTCTGGTCGTTCAGCAGGGAGGGAGCGCATGGTAATTAAGGGGGCGGGCTCTCCGCCTCCCTCTCCTCCAGTTGGCGAGCCGCGAGGAGGGGAGGGGCGCGCCCGGGCTGTCCCTCCAGGTGCTCGGGCACCTTTGGCGCGAAGGCTGAGACGGCAGAGCGCGCTGGGCTCCCGACGAGCGCAGGAATGAGGGACGCGGCTCGGGCTGCGCCCGCGCCTGCCAGGCTTCCCTTACTCTGTCTGTGCCTGCTGGCCGGCTGGGGCGGCTGCTGGGGCCGCCTCCGGCGCCCTGCCAGCCCGCCCCGGGCGCTCTGCTTCTACGGGCAGGTGCCCGAGAACAGCCCGCCGGGCACGTGGGTGCAGGGGCTGCGGGTGCCGCTGCGGAGGCTGCAGCTGGCCCCGGGGCGGCCGCCCGAGGAGTGGGCTCTGGAGGGCGACGGAGCCTCGCACTTCGCCCACCAGCTGCAGCCGGCCAAGGAGCGCTCGCGCTCGCGGCTGCTGCTGCTGCGCACGGCCGAGCGCCTGGACAGGGAGGCTCGTCCGCGCTACAGCCTCTGGCTGCGGGGCCCCTCCAGGGCGGCGCTGCTCCGGCTGCGGGTGCTGGACCGCAACGACCACCGGCCGCGCTTCCCGCCGGGGCCCGCGCGGCCGCTGGAGGTGGACGAGCTGTCGCCGCTGGGCGCGGAGGTGGCGCGGCTGCGCGCCCTGGACGCGGACGAGGGCGCCAACGCGCGCCTCACCTACCGCTCGTGGCCCGGCGCGGGGGGCCGCCGCCTCTTCGTGGTGCCGCGCAGCGGACAGGTGCTCACCGTGGGGTCCCTGCTCGGCTTGCGCCGCCTCAGCCTCTGGGTCTCGGCCCAGGACCACGGGCTGCCGCAGCCCCTGCGCAGCCCCGCCAGGCGCCTCGAGCTGGCCGTGCGGAAGGGGGCGAGCCCAGCCCGGCAGCCGGCGCAGGGCGGATCCCTCGCCAAGCCGCGCGGCGCCCGCTCCGTCTCCGCGGCCCCCAGTCCCGTGTACAAGGTGCGCATTCCCGTCGGAGCGCCGCCCGGGGAGCCCATCTTCACCGTCCCGGACACGCGCTACCAGGAGGCCGGCGGCAGCTGGTTCGAGCTGGCCGCCCCGGGCTCCTTTCCGGTGGAGCTGGACCGGGGCTCCGGCCGGCTGTCCCTCAGCCGACAGTTGGAGAGGGGAGGCCGGACCGAGGTGATGGTCAAGGTGCACCGCCTAGACGGGCAAGGTAAGGCTGCATCTGAAGCATGCCCCGGTCACGGGAGATCAGAAATAATGGGAGCCTTTAAGCATGTGCCGAGTTCTAACCCAAAGGTGCCTGCCCTTCTTTACGTAACAGGGCAGCACTTCAAAAGCAGTGAACCAGCGTGACTTGGACAGAGCTAGCTTATACCGACTGCCCCTCCGGATGTTTGGGGCATCAACCTCCATCAGATCAACTCCTTGTGGTCAGTGGGACTGCTGGGAGTTGTTGTCCAAAACATCTGTCGGGCAGCAGGTGTGAGAAGGCTGACTTAGAGAATGATTGATGGGAAAGAATTAAATGCAGCGGGTTCCTGGGGCAGAGGTTCAATGAGGCAAAGTAATTTTTAGATGCTTGATTCAAGGGTTACACAAGTTTATATAGAAAATGTCTTGGAACTCATAGCATTCTCCAACTATGCAAGTTTTCTGTTTAAACTTGCATAGGATCACACCATTTCTGTTGATCTCCCTCCTCTTCATATAATATTAATTTCCTTACTCCAAAATGAAGTCAGTCAGTCCCACTGTGTGTGGAGTTCCACCTGGTCATACTCCTGGCCCAAAATCCCGCTGCACTTGCACCACTGGAGGCAGAAATGCCCGCTCGGGCTGGAAGCACAAGTCCTTTAGTTGGAACTCTGAAACTATGGGGGGCCAACTGTTCCTCCACTGCTGTCCATGGGCACCTGCTGAAATAAAAGTACAGGGCCCTGGTTGATCTCTGTTGCATCAGATCTGCCTGGATTAGGTGTTTTTTTTATTCAACATGCTTCAGCTCCTGCGACCTCCCCCTGGTTGTTTGTTTCTTTGTTTGTTTTGGCCTGAGGCTTTTCCTAAAATCGCTTTCCCTCTCTTGCATCCCCTTTGGCAAAACAGTCTCCTTAGGAGAGAGGGTCCCTTATTTATACAGTCACTACCAGAAAATGTCGAGCACATGTAAATTAGCATACTTTTGGTACCTTGCACTGCTTCGGGGTACCAGTCACTGTGAGCTGTCCCATGAGAGTGTCCTCGCCTTTATGCCCAGCTTCTGTTCTTGGCAGAAACTTCTGATGCCTATTCTGATGAATCAAGATGTTGTACTAGAATCATGGATCTTTGATCTGATGTGCTGAAGCCGCCACAGAATTCCTTCAGAATCTGCATAGCTTGCAAATGCATGCTGAGTTTAGGCTTTGCCTTGCTTTTGGCAGTTTTGCGATGGGGCCATAGGAAGCTGACAATGTGAATACAGCCAGCATATCTGACAGCCAGAGAGTGCTGGGGCCGTGGGCTAAAGTTCTTCCTATCACCTTTCACCTGATCCTTTAACTGGAGGGCCAGGGATTGAACCTGAGACTTTATGTAGGTTAAGTGTGTGCTCCATCACTGAGCACTCCAGTAAATGCAGCTTGTGTTGCAAGTTGGGCAGTGGAGGAAAGCAGGCATGGGTGGCTTTGCCAGTAAGGCATTCCAACTGTGTAAGCCACCAGACTGATCTCTGAGGAGGCAGTATTTTTGTGGGAGGGGAACTTTGGGTTTTACTGTTCTCTGTGACTTTGTAGGAGATCCCCAAATTCTACCTCTCAATTTCTTTTAATCATTTTGATTTGAAGCATACAGGTGCCAGTAGGAGATCACTTACCAAATGAGCAAATAGAGTGCAAACAAAGTGCATTCTGCGCTCCACTCCCAACAGGGGAGAGGTTGTGGATTTGTATACAGAAGGCAGTGCATCTGCTTTACATGCAGAAGGTCCCACATTTGATTCCCAGCATCTCCAGGTGGGGCTAGGAGAGAATTCTGCTTGCAGCCCCAGGAAGCTGTTGCCAGTCAGTGTTGGAATGCTGGGGAAGACAGTAGGCGATGCAGCACCTCTCTCTACAAGAGGCTTGCCTGTGACTCAGACTGCAGTTGTGCAGATGCCATTGTGCGTTCAATGCAAAGTGGCTACACAGGGCTACTTTCTCAATCATTTATTAATATCTAGTCCACCAGATATCCAAAGTAGCAAGGCTTAAACATTCTTTCTCTCCCAGCTACCTTCCCAGTACCCTGCTGAAGATCATAGCTTCTCATAACTGCTCTTCTTTATATAAGCAAGAAAACAAACAATATGAATGAGTCAGGCCACTTCCCTGTAACTACATGTCATGAGGTGTTTGAATGACATTGGTCTGTGATTTTCATTGGTCTCATGTTTCTTTGAAGGTAGGTTGCAGCTTTTGGAAAGATGTAAACAACCTGGCAAAGTTAAAAACCTTGAAGTATGGTGTGAATGTTGACAAGCAAATGTGACAACATTTCAAGCGGTGTTTCCTTTTATCCTTGGTCAATAATGTAGGATACTGTTCAGTCTGCAGCAAACTATATCTTGTTTACACAGCACTGCAGGTTGTTTGCAGCTTGCCATTTGATTTTGTATAAATGCTGCATTATTTTTAAACAGAGGAAATGAGTGTAGTAATATCTACAGAACAGGTGTTTCTATCTTGGCCCTAGTACTTACATTTCATGATTGCACCTCCCATGAAAACACAGAATTCAGCATCCTGAGAATTGTGGCTGTTTCTTCTGTTCCTTCTCTTTGAAGAAAAAACAAGTTTCTGTCCCTCCAGTTTTCAGAGATGGAACTCAAAATATGCGAGCAACATCAGGTTTCCTAGAAACCATCTATGTGTGGATTTGAACAGGATATTCACTTTTCTGTGGTCAAGGTGGGGTTGCAACAGTGTGTACATCCTGGCAAAGCTCTTTATGAATCCCTTCAGCTAGCAAAAACAAACTAGGGAAAAAGATAGTGGAAAACTGTTTGTTTTTCAAATTTTTATTAGATTTTTAGATTTTGATTTGTTTAAATTGCTGCTGCTGCTTCCTCTTCTTTCTCTCTCTTTGGTGGATTAACTGTCTACTGTCCTACTTGGGTCAACAGGAAAATATATCCCATGTCTTCTGTTTTGGGCCTCTGGAGAATAAAAGGGTATATTCTACTGAGGTGTGATTTGGCTTTTCTAATCCCCCTAACTTTTTGACCTAACTCTTTTGAGGAATATATTATCTGCATAGCCTAATTGCTCTTGCACTTAAATAAATATTGCCTTTGCCTATCTAATGTCTTAATTTACAATTGTAATCAGATGACTGGGGATAGTGATTGTAAGAAACATTGCCTGCTCACCCACCCGCCACAAAGTGCCTAGACCTCTGTGGCAGCACAATCCTATAAACTGGAGTGCGTGCACGGTAGATTGGGAGCTAGGCACCTTTAGGAACTTTGCAGTAGAGGGGCAAAGCTGACTAATTCCCAATTATGTATAAGGATAGCTACAACATTAAGACCATACCCTAAATAGACTGCTCAGAAGAAAACCAGAAGTGAACTCTTTTCTGGTAGTAAAAACAAACCTCTGTGAACTTTTGTCCTGGAGCTGAAAACAAAAAGGAACCTTGTTCCTCAATTTAAAGCGAATATATAATCTCCCACCTCCAAGCAAAGCATTAGCATGATACGGTGCCACCAGCAACCCACTTTCAGTTCAGCAATCTGGCAGCAGCGTTTTCAGCCAACTGAGGTTTCTGGATCACATGCAGAGGTACGGTCCCCAGTGCCTGAATCCCATGCACGCCACCCCGAGGCTTTTGGAGGGCGGGCAGAAGACACATCCACTCTCCCACAGCTGGGTGTACTGGACTGCAACACACTGGACGGGGGTGATGGAGGAGCCTTCTAACACTGGAGTGTTGCAGAGCCTCCAGTAGACAAAGGAGCCACTTGGCCTGGTCAGTAAAGAGGTTGCTGCCGAAAGGCTTTGCCAAAAACACACAGAAAGGAGAAGAATTTCGCTGTTGTGAAGTGACCACCATAAACTGTGTATGTGCATTCAGTGCTGGAAAGTGCCAGGGTTAATCTTAAGAAAGATGTGCTTTGTCACTGAGAGAATGGTAGGGTGTGTTAGTAATCATAGGGACTAGGAGAGGGTTTAGATATGTGTGAATATACACAAATACATCAAGTCGACAAACTTCCCAGTGCCCCCTATCTTGGGTCCTGGTCGTGCCAACATGAGCTGAAACTTCATGTTTTACACGTGTGTTCTTGCTGTAGAGGGAAGTTAGTTCCAATTTCAAGTTGACCATAATACCTGCAGAGATTTCTGTGTGTTTGGATTGCTCATCTCATGAACTGGAGAACAGTAGCCTAAGCAGCTGCCTTACACAAAGTCAGACCACTGGTTCATTTAGCCCAGCAGGCTGATGGCTTTCTCCCAGTGGCTACCTGATCCTTCAAGCTGGAGATGCCAGGGATTGAATCTACGTAGGGCAGGTGCTCTGTGACTGAGCTGAGCAAGCCCTGGGGGCAGGGCCAGCATAATTAAGTGATGTGGCAAGTCTGGCTTGCGCTTAGGCTGAGCTCTACTGCCAGGCTGCCCCTGCAGTCCTTGCTGCTCTGATGCAGGGAGAGATGAACAGGAGGAGTGGCCTGTTAGCAGAGCAGAGCAGAGTTCTAGGCAGAATGCCCAGACTCCGCAACAGCACCGCTTAATCAGTCCAGACCCACTCCATGATCCAGTCGAAGGGAAAAGTGAGTTTGGGTACAGGATTTGCAGATTTGCATAGTGCAATTGCCACAATACCATCATCATGGGCAGGTCAAAAGCAGCTTGGCTTCACCACCCTTCTCTCGATCTGCCTGCTTCGTTCATGGAGAGAAAGTGCAGGAGTGGGTGTTCCCCACTCCAGGTTTAAGTCATCCCTCAAGCAGTACATTCCATTAAAAGTCCTAGTGATCATAAGGCCTTTGTGCAAGTTTTTTCCCCTAATGTAATAGATAAAACTAACAAAAGATTGTTATTGTTTTTATTTATGAATCAAATGGTTCAATTAGTGTGCCATTCTTTTGTTTATTTATTTAAAAGATCTCTGCTATGATCTGTACCGTGCTCCTCTTAACAAAGCAATGTTCTGCTCCATCCTGTTCCCCGATAATGTATCGACAAGACAAATGCCTCAGGGTGGAATAATCCCAGTGATCATGTAGGACAAGGTCATGGCCACACTTCTTCCAGGGCAGATGATCAGATGAAGTTAGAACTGAATGAACCGCAAAATAAAATATGCTGAGAAATCTCTGTTGCTTTCTATACTTTATAATTAGTTGAGGCACTATCAAAATGGGGTTGTACAAAATATAGGAGCGAGCATAAGCAAAATGCAATCCTATTACTAATGCATCATAAAAAAAACCCAGAATTTTTGGTTACTATACATGGAATGGGGCTTGTCCTTGAACTCTAGTAGCAAAACATTTTGGGCCAGCTCTGAACCTATATGGGCCCTCTATTATGTCTGCTGTTTTGTAGGAAGAAATGCTGAGTGGATGTTTACTTCCATACAAAGGCCGTCTCATTTATAGGGCAGCCTCTCCCAACCTGTTTTGGACTCCAGTTCGCAGCAGTCCTGAGCGACCAGTTGTGTTAGCTGCTTTTGATGGGAGTTGGTTTATTTATTATCCATCCATTTCAAAATGATTTGGACAAGAGGCTTTTTTCCCCCCGCTGCCTTTTCTGTGATATACATGGTGGTAGTATCTTGAAACAGCCCATTCATTAGTGTCTAAAAGCTCCCAATGGCCTCCTATTCCCAAGAAACTTATTTCATATCTGTGAGAGCCGATTAATAAAGGAAATAATTCATTAAATTAATCTTTGAATTGGTCTGAATTTCAAAAGAGAGGAAAAGCACAATATCCATTAATTTCCTGGACAGGTGCCCATCACGTTCCATTTCTTCTTGCATAAATCCTTTCTTTGTTTTCTTTTACTTCACCTTGCTGGGGCTTCTGGTGGCTGTCCCACTTGAGGGACAAAGGTACCATAATCTGCATATTCTACCCTGCCATTTTTATAAGAATGAAAAATCCTTTTGTGACAGTTTGAGAACCCATCTAGAAGTTTTAAGACAGGTTGCGGGGTTCCATTGAGTGTTTTTCTTGCTTATCAAAATGGGAAGCCAAAAGACGCTGGGGACAATGTGCTATGCTTTGTATTTCAGTAGTCCAAATAAAAAATAATCAAATTTTGCTTGTTTATATTTAATTATTATATTTATCAGATGTCAGTAGCAAAGGCTCTCTGTACCCCAAACAAAACAATGACAAAACATCATTCCAGTAAACAAAATTCCTGTAAAACCAAGAACAACAGATATAGAGAAGATTTGGAAGACAAATTCAAATTCAGCAGTGCTCACAGAATTGTTCTAAGGCAAAACATGCCAGTTTAAAACTATCATAAAATTTGAGAAAGTGTAGGCTACCAATATGGCTGTCTAAATCCCTACAGGTTAGTGGCGATATACCAGGTGGGGCACTCAAGAATCATCAATGGCACAATCCTACGCATATTTAGACAGAAAAAAGCCCTACAGCTTCCAGTATTCCCCAGCCAGCATATGAGCTCTAGATTTTTTTTATTCCTAAGCATGCAAAGGATTGCATTTATTTATATGTGCATTTATTTATTTAACAAAATGGAACACAGAACGAAATGGTAAGGGAGAAGATGTAACAGCAGCATGCATGTAGTTTTCAGAACTTGTTTTAAACTGAGAAAACTTTCCCCAGGAATAAGCCTTCGTCTCACTCCACAAAGCTGAAACCTTGGTGTGAATGTGGAAGTGAGTGGTCAGGTCTTTGCTGGATTCTGAATAGAGGCACAACAGTTGACTGACTGACCCTGCTTCTCAAACTTAGAAGGATTAGAACCTTCACTAATTTGAATCTGGAGAGTCCTCCCTCTTATATTATGAGCTATTTGTGTCTGTGAGGTGGCTTTCTTTTGATAATGAGTGACTGATTAATATTGACAGATAGCTGGGCTATAACATCGAGCTGTGTGTGATGCTGGAACAACATTGACCATATCGATTCAGTATTTGCTAAATTCTTCTGCATGTCTGATCTTTTTTGTCCAGTAGGAGGCTTGCTTGAAAACCAGGAGAAGGGGACAGAATTTCTACTGTGCTTACTTTGGGTTATCCCTTGCCTCTGCCCTGGGCAGACGCGCCCCACGTATAAATGCAGCCTCATCACATGACAGCCACATCACTGAAAGAGTCACCTTGCAACAAGGACATTGGGCATGTACATTTAATAAGCTTAACTAAATCTTCCAGTGCTTTGGAAAACAGGGATCCTGAGCTTCCTGAAAATGGCTGGGCCTGGGAGGGAAGCAAGGAGGGGCTCTGCCTGTGCTTTATTTCCCACTAAATCAGTGGGAGTGGCAGGTTTAAAGGTATAGGAGGCAGTGCAGTGTAGTGGTTATTGTTCTGGAGTGGGCCTTGGAAGAACCATTTACCCATGATGCTCACTGTAAATTTGCATCAATACAGATGAATTGGTGCATGCAGATTGTATACACATTTATACAAATCACCCCTTTGGGGATTCATAAATGACCACTGCCCAACAAGAAAGTTCACACTTTCTAGATGGTTTTAGTTAATCACATTTTAGCCTTAGCCAGGGCTCTTAGGATGCAATGTAGTGCATATTTAAGCTGAAAAAAGTCTGATCGCTCCCAGGTTTCCCCAGTCGAAAATTGTATGACTTTTTTATTTCTAAACAAATGCAGAATTGCTCCTTTAGTCAAGTGAATTAAACCTTTTAGCCTTAGCCCACTGCTGTCCTGCCTTGCAAGCCTGCTGTGAAGGTGAATGAGGGCTGGGAGGCACATTTGATATACTGAAAGTGCTGCAGAAAATGCTGGCAAAGCCCAGGCCAAAGCATGCCTCCAGGTTAGCTATGCAACAAGTAAATGTGGTCCAGGTCCAGGTGGCCCTGGCTGTTGCCGTGTCCGGTCGGCTGGGTTTTGGAACTTGGTGTTCATCAGAGCTCAAGTCCACACACAAGCCGGCTTGCATCGATTGCAATAGCTGTTATCCTCTGGCTGTGAAGTGACTTGGGTATAATTAGTGGGTGAGCTCAGAGAGCAGTTTCTGAGAGTTTATTTGCATGCTCCAGTGATGGCCTTAATGCCTTATAGGATTTTGCAGCATACTGGGAACACATGTCACGATTCCAGAGCTGTGAGTGTCACTTCCTTTTACTTGTGTAGTTGTGAGTTTTCTTACATGCATGCCTGGTTTTTATATTCTGGGAGGCCAAAGGGCCTGTTCTCAGAGAACTGGTTCACCTGCTAGGGACTTATTGTTCTCAGTCCAGGCATGCTGCCTATGAAGCCCAGGAACTGAATCCATTTCCTTGAGTATCCATGGATGCCAGTGGAAGCATTTCTCTAAATGCCATAGAACTGGAATTTTCTTGGGGAAGCACACCTGAAAAGGAACGGGTTAGGGTTAGGGAGCTGTCCTTGAAAGAGATCAGGAGGGTGACTACCCGGAGGAGGGCCTTCTTTGTGGTGGTGCCCCGATTGTGGAACACACTCCCCAGAGAGAGGCACCTGCCACCAACACTTCTTTCCTTTTGGCATCAGGCGAAAACCTTTTATTCTCTCAGTATTTTAATTGTTAACCTGTTTTATTTAGTGGTTTTCTATTTTATCAGATGCTGTGCAACTGCTACCCTTATTTCTATTTTTATTCTATTTATTAATCTGTTGTAAACCATCCCGAGATGTCTGTGAAGGGACGGTATAGAAAAGTTTTAAATAAATTAAATAAACAAAGAAGTCTCAAAATGGTGTGTGTCCACTCCACCTTCTGAGTTATTATTCTTAATTTTTCTGTGCACCTTTCAGACAAGGATTGGTATTTGTGCCGCGTGGTGATTGTTGCTGTCGAAGAGGAGCCCATCTCTTGGGGAATGTATCCGTATCCCTATCTGGCCCGTGTTGACCCCGATGCCCGGGCAGGCACATTAGTCTATCAGCTTGTTGCCCATTACAGTAGCAATGAAAATTCCAGTGCAGGCATATCCTATGCCCTGATTGCAGGTAAGCCAGTCCTGCTGCAGAAGCTCATTCAGCTCCAGAGAGGAATTCGGTTTTGGAGAAGTGTTTGGGGGCCATCAAGGCAAAAAGGGATGGGACCAAGACACTAAAAATACCATGATACTTTAGCTGGCAGTTCATATTGCCAGTAACTACAGTAGGAGTAGTAACGCATTTTTAGTGTTTGGCATGGGGAAGAATTGCACAAAAGCCAAAAGACCACCAAACAATTGATGGTTGATAGAAAAGGGATGAGAATGTGGCTCACTGGAGCATGCCAGAGGGCTTAATTTAAAAGGTAAATTAAGTAAAAGGTAAGTTAAGTAAAAGTATCCTTAAGTAAAAGGATATTGCCTCTTTTACTTACATAACCATCAGTTTCCTACTGGGACTCTAAATCCAGTGTTGTGCAAATACAAAGCAGCTTGTACAATGGAGCATTCTCTTCCTGTCCTCTTCCTCCTGCAGCCCCCTGTGCCCTCCAGAAGACCCCCTGAGCAGGTTGTGGACCTGGAACCTGCAGAACCTTGTGAAATGTATCTGACAGGGCTGCAGTGTGAGAGGGGGATCTCCAAAATTGGGAGCTTTTTGCCAGCACTGCAAAGGTCCTCTGCCTGATTCCTGCCAAGTCCTTCCTCCCGTTGCAGCCTGCCAAGATGAAGTTTGCAGTGTTCTGTAGGTCCCCTGACACTCTGGGGAGGAATTCCCAGGGCCCCAGGGGAGGATGAGGAGCAGGAGGAAGTACACCTGCTCTTTCCTATTTTTGTTTCCTCTGTAGTGTCCATGCCGAATCTTAGTGACAGCTTATGCCTGTCCTGTGTTGGCGTTATACTGGATTATTGTGCTTCTATTTCTGTTTTATGCTACATTGGCAGTGTAGGCAACACCATTCAGATGTTTTGGACCACAACTCCCATATCCTGTGTGGTTGTTTTGGTAATGAGACTGTCATTCAGCAAAAAACCCTGAAACTGTCCATTATGATGTGCCAAATAAATGGTAAAAGGAGGTAAAAAATGAAAGGAGATAGAGATCATGTATATTAAGAGCTGAACATTTAGGAATAGTGTCTGATTATGAGGCCTCCTTTATAAATCTTTCTTTTAATATTTTAATTTGACAGGTAGTGAGGAACGATTTAATATAGATATGGATGCAGGTGTCATAATGACAACAGGATTGCCTTTAACTTTGAACCAGGAGTATGTGCTCACTGTGCTCGCCATTGATGAATATGGGGGCAAAAGTCCGTATGCTTTCATCTCTATCCTAGCTGGCTCCAGGCCTCCACAGTTCACTAATATGTCCTACAGTGTGTTTGTGCCTGAAAATACTCCAGCAGGTGAAAAGTAAGTATGGGGAGGGGGGGTGGGAAACAAGTGGGAGGGGGATGCCCAACAATTTGAAAAAAATGCAGTGTAGATCCTTCAGCACATTTTTAAAATCTGGAAATCTGGCGCCGAAATCTGGCGCCTGTGTCCATATATGCCCTCCCACCCCCTGAGATCTGCGGCAGAGGCCCTTCTCTGGGAACCCTCTGTGAATGATATTAGGAGGGTGAGTAACTGGAGGAGGGCTTTCTCTGCGGTGGCGCCCCACCTATGGAATGCGCTCCCCAGAGAGGTCCGCCTGGCGCCGTCCTTATTTGTTTTTCGGCGCCAGGCCAAGACCTTTTTATTTAAATGCTATTTTAACTGTTAATAGTTTATTTGTTGATTTTAAATTGACCAGGCTGTGTCCACTATTTTATTTTATGTATTTTAATTATTTGATGCTTTTTTTTTTTTTTTTGGTATTTTATGTGGGATTGTATGATTGTAAGCCGCCCCGAGGCTCACGCGATGGGGCGGCATATAAGTTGTTTAAATAAATAAAAGTACAGTGGCTTCTCAACATAGGAATGCTGCCTTACATTCTGCGTGGGGCTGCCCTTGATGACTCTTCAGAAACTTCATGTGGGGCAGAATGTGGAGATCAGCTTCCATATCGGAAGATACTGATGGGAGCCTGTCCCACCAGTGCTCGAGTGTCTTCACAGGCGTCCTTGAGCCTTCTGACCATAATGTGCATCTGCATAAGCAATGCCTGAGGGCCCTTTTCTAACCAGTGACAGAGCTCATGTCTCATGGCAAGAGTTACTTCTTAAATCCAGAAACTTCAGGAGCCGGGGAGAATACAGTATGTAAGGACAAAGTATCCTTTGAATATTTATTAGGCCAAGCAACCTACTTCACAGGCTCTTTCTTATTCCTACCAATATTTTTGTGGCTAACCTTTCCTTTCCAGAGTGGCTGTTATTGAAGCAGTTTCTTTCCAAAGTCAGCCGCTCTCTTACAGTCTCCTGATGAATCCCAGTGGCCTGTTCAGCATGGACCAAGAGACCGGCCATCTCAGTTTGACCCATATGGTGGACTTCGAGAGCGAACATCATCTTTACCATTTTTTAGTAAAAGCTATGGAAACAGAGAGCTTGCTCAGCAGTGTAATTGAGGTGAGAGTTAGGATTTTCTTTTCATTAGTAATATTAGTGTGATAATGGAAGTGGCTCATGCAGAAGTTGCCCAAAAATCAGTCCACTGGGGCCAGCCCAGTAAATTTGCTGTGGAATTGAAATGGCAGCCTCAGGAGGCAAAACAAAATCTAATTATCAACAAAGGTAAATGTAGCCTTTTCTTTGGAGTTCACAGCACCCAAAATCCTATTTATAGAAACAGAAAAGTTGGAAGGAACATTGGAGATAACTAATCCAGGGCTAGGCAGAGTGGTACTTTGCTCTGTTCCACATACCTGATGATGTCTGAGCTTTTCAAAGTAGCAACAAACAGTAAAAATGCAAGCTCCTCCCATGTGAGTCGATTACTTTCCATCTTTCTGATCATTTGGGATCTGTATTTGGTACAAACTAGATTATCTGCTAAGGTTACCACTCATTATCCCAATTGATCATGCCATACAGTTCTGTTTTAACAGGTCACGGTTTTCTTAGTGGTAGTGAGTTCCATGCACAGCCATCATATTCCATGAAAATGTATATTTCTACCTGGCAGCTTTGTAGCTGAAGTGCCCTCCCTGTACCCTCAGGGTTAGTATGGCTCTTCCAAGCCAGCTACAGGTTTGAAGTCAGAAGACCACCTTCAGGGTAGTGCAAAGGGATGGATCCTGGGGTGTGGGGAAGGAAGATGTGAGGCTCCTCCAGGATATGGGGTACCCCAGTGGGGCTTATCTTGCCCTCCTAGCAAGCCGGTAGAAAACATTTAGATGACCGAAAATGGCCATCAATATATCTTGGGGGGTGAAGGAAGCACGGAGGCAAGCATCCTGCTTTCGCCCTCCAGGGGAAGTGTGTTCTCCTCCAGACTCAACGGTTAATCATCTTCTGGTGCAATTCTGTACATTCCTACTGAAAAGTAAACCTCACTGAATGCAGTGGGTCTTACTTCCAAGAACGTGAGTGTAGGATTGCATCCTTAGTTTTGAATTCCAGCTTTGGTATTTCTTTCTGAGCTGTAAAAGTAAGACATGCATTTTCTAATATATAAATAAAATATAATAATTCAGCTTCCCTTTCAACAGAAATATGCTACATGTTAATGTTCCAGAAGCCACTCAAGGCCTTCCTTTCAGTCATCAGTTACGAATGAATGTGTGATGGTCTCTCTCTCCTGTCCCATGCAGGTCGTGGTTCATATCACAGATGAAAATGACTGCTCCCCAGAATTTCAGCAATCTATCTATAGCCATGAAAGTGTTCTTGAATCAGTTCCTATAGGCACATCTCTGTTGCAAGGTAAGTAAGTATCTCTTGCCTTTCCTTCCAAAGCACTGTGTGGTGAGTTTAAAGCAGCTTCCGTTCTCTTTAAAGGAGCTTGTGTGAGTCCTACCAGGCTGCATCTTCTGTATGGAGCCCTTATTCTCAACCTGCCCGTGCATCAGGAGGGTCGAAGGTGGCACTTTGCTGCATTCCATCTCTTTTGCATGCATACGAAAGAGAGGTCCTTCCCTCTGACGGTTCCCTGACTTTGGAATGCTTTCCTGAGGGAGATATGCCTGACACAGGGTCTTCCTTTCAGTGCCAAGTTAAATCCATTTAAAATTATTGCATTTCCAGATAATTGTATTCCCCTCAATTGTGCATCAAAGCATTCTGGATGGGTGAATCTTAACCAAAGAACAGCATTAATGGCTCAGTTGTATTGTCCAATATACACAGCAATGATGGATGGATATTTCACTCAAACAGAAGTTGTGGTAGACTCTATTCATTATAAAATCTGCTAGGAGCCTGGCTTTGCCATTTACATCCCAGTGAATATACTGAAAAGAGTAGCAAAGCTTCTAATCAAGTTGTAGGAAAAGGAAAGGATGTCCTGTGGACGTCACAGGAAGCAGCCAATCAGTGCTGCTCACATCCAACTTTTGCTGCAAAATCAGCACTGAAGAATTGTACAGTTGTTTTGAATTAAATGTGGTAAAGCTGGTTCCAGACTGGCTTCACAGCTCACATCAACTATATCTTTATGCCATAATTAATTGGATGCCTAGTATTTCCCGATCCACTCTGCTACTTGGCACTTGTAAAATAGCTGCCAAAATGTATATGTGCTTCAGGACAGTGGTTTGTTAATTACTAGAAAAGTATTTAATTACAGTTGATGAGCTTTCTATGTCACTTTGAACCCAGCCCTTCTGTCCTCATGAGTTTTTTTTCCATGTTCCTGGTTTTAGTTCTTGCAACGGACTGTGACTCTGGCTCCAATTCTGAGATCCTTTACTTCATTCAGAGCACGGACTTTTCCATCACTCCTGAGGGAACCATCAATTCCAACCAGCGACTGAATTTTGAGCGCTCAAACCACATGTATGAATTTGTGGTCATTGCTGTAGACAAAGGACATCCTCCTCGAACAGGGACCGCATCAGTGCGCATTCGCATGACCAACGTTAATGATGAAGCCCCGGTGTTCTCCCAGTCCATGTAAGCAGAACTTTGCCCTTCCCACGGAACAGTTTTCAGCAATCCTAAACAATCTATGCACAGAATAGTCTCATTACACTGTTGGCTTGCAAAAATAGGAAGGCAATGAATTCAGAATCCTCAAGCTACAATTCAGAATCCACTGCTTCATTTCTGCAGCGCCATTGGCCACGTAGGGAATAGAAGTGCAGTTCTGGGGACAGGTGTGAAAATGGGCGGAAATGCTAATTTCAGGAATGGGGCAAATTGGCAGACATTTCTCATGCATGCTCCATTCTGGAAATGAGCATTTCTGTTCATTTCAGGTTTCTCCCAGAAGCACTAAAGAAGCAGAAGCGGTGGGCACTACTTCTGGAAGAGAATTGGTGGAAATGGCTGGTTTCAGTTGCTCTACAACTTGGCCTTCACCCTGGTCCCTTCCAGTTGTGTTGGACTGCCGACTTCCAATAACTCTGCTGGCTGAGAATTGTAGCTGTTGCTGTCTAATCTATCTGGAGGCCACCAGGCTGAGGAAATCTGATTTAAGTACATGGCATTTAGGATTAGTCATTTAGGAAATTTGGATGTGGCTGATGTGCAGCTGGTAGAGAGATGCATTCTGGGCTTTGTGGAACTGTTTATTTGTTTAAAATTGTTATATGCCGTCCAATACTAAAAGTCTCTGGATGGCTTACAAAAACAAGGAACAAAACCAAAGCAAAACAATCGGACCCACCAATCCATTGCCTAATCCAGGGGTCGGCAACCCATGGCTCCGGAACAGCACGTGGATCCTGACTACAGCCGAGGCTCAAAATACCAATAGGTGATGATGAGGCATCTAGTCAGGAAGGCTGCGCTAGCTGGTTAAGTAAATTGCTACATTCCTCTGCTATTGTGCAGGGAAAGAGTGGAGCAAGCTTCCTGCAGGCTCTCATGTTATAGAACTGCTGCTGAAAAGATTCTCTTTGTCCCAGTGTAATCTCCTTCCTCTGAATGTTAAAAGCTGTGCTTGGGACCTGTCACAATTCACAGCACTTGACTGTTTATCTGCTAATCAGTCACTAAACACACCTATGTCTGCGACTCCCTCCCCTCCCGTAGGCCAACCATGGATAAATCGAAGAAAATAAAAGTATCTGAAGAAAACCAAATGTTTAATGATACTCGGGTAGATTCATTTGTATTTACTGCTGACGAACTTATGGGCTTTTGCTGTTTAATGCATGCAGCCCTTTAGCACTGACTTTGACTCTTCAGGAAGCTGTTCTCCTATTCAAAATATATGAAAGGAGCCCTACTAGTTTATAATGTAAGATTAAAAATAACAGTTTTTAGTGACTGAACAAGAGCCGCAGCTAAATCATAATGAAGATATACATAGCGTTAAGGTAAAAAACGACATATGCAGTGTTATCTTCATTTATCTTTTGTGGCTCCTGGTGTTTTCTTTTGTGTGGGAAACAGGTCCAAATGGCTCTTTGAGTGTTAAAGGTTGCCGACCCCTGGTCTAATCATACTGTATCTTACAGTTGTCAGTGTGTGATAAGTGTGAGCCAGTCGGCAACTATGTCCTATTCCATGTGTAATAAAAATGAAAACTGCATGCTGAATTCTTATAGCTAGTTACAATCAGCATTTATGAATGCAGAATATGTCCCTGTCCATTCCTTAAAACTAAAAATATTCATTCATTCATTCATTCATTCATTCATTGTTTCTGGTACTCTTAGGGAAGACATACCAAAAAAAAATATTTTAGGGTTGGACGAAAACCCAACAAGCATGGGTAACATGAGGGTTAAACAACCCTTGTATAAACCATGGTCTGGTTCACACAGAAAGTGTATCTAAAAGCAAAAGTAAAGAATAGATGTCATTATACTTTGTGACAAAGTTTAGAACAGGAAGAAAAATCAAGATATACCGATTGTAGCTTTCTGCTAGAAGAAGTCAATAAACATTAGGCAATATTTATTTATTTATTACATTTATATCCCACTTTTTTCTGTATTCTTGCTGCCAGATAAGACCAGGAGCAGATTGTGGTAGTTAAGATCAAAAATTAGACTCCGGCACGGTGGAAGAAACACTCATAAATGGAAGGCAGAAGAAATGCAATTGCTAAGTGCAGGAGAGAAGCAAAAGCAAGAAGTGTCAGAAATAGGATCAGAATTCTATTTCTGATTTATAAATCCTGATTTATTATATGAAATAATTGTATAGATGAAAAGCTATTTAATGGGCCAGTGTTGGCCAAGATAGTAATTCGATTGCCATCCTCCTTCCCCTACTCCTCCTCCTTTGCATCAGTTATAGAACTTTTCTCTCAGAAGATGCAGGCCCTGGTACTTTAGTAGCTACCATCCATGCAAATGATCCTGATGGAGATGGAGTGTTGTACTTGATTACTGGTGGAAATGAAGAAGGCAATTTTGAATTGGATAGTCATAAAGGTAAGAAAAGATATCACATGTCTTCGTATGGCCTCTTCCTCCATTTTGCCTGCACAAACACACACACAACCCACTGTAGGCATTAACCATGTTGTTTATGTTAGACTCCTCCAACTTATGTTAGACTCCTCCTCCACATCTACCCTCTAGATGTGTTGGATGCTCCTGGAACTCCCACCCATTGGTTCTATCTAAAGCCCAGAATGGAAGGAACTCCTTTTAATCCGGGCATTCTGAAACACCTTCTTTCCAATTTTTATTTTATTGCCTTTGCTTATAGTTGCCTAGATCAAGATTTAGTCCTACTTAGAATAGATCCACTTTAATCAACTGGAGTTAAGTTAGCTGTGCGTAAGTTTTGCTCTATGTCTCCTGGCTTGGTGACAGAACAGAAGGAGGAACAATTCCCTCACTTGTTCCTTGGTACACAGGGATGGAATGAATGAGCTGATGAAGACTGTGATGCTAATAAATAACGCTAGCCTAAGTGAAGAGCCTGAGTGCCCACCCTTAATTGAATGACCACCTGACCGCTTGGTTGTCTTGCTATTGTGGTGTGCCAGTTGGAGTGCTGGACTGAGGTTCTAGTCCCAGCTTGGTCATGCAGCTCGTTGGGTGACTTTGGGTCAGTCTCTCAGCCTAACCTACCTCTCAGGTCTGTTGTTGTGAGGATAAAATGGAGATAAAATGGGGGTCCTCACAAAAAAGGTGGTATATAAATGCAATGCAGTGATGAAGATGGAAATATGTGTTAAATGTAACTGTGTTCTTTTAATTTGAAACGCAGAAACCCAAACCAGCAGGACCAATCCAGCCTTGGGTGACCATGCCTCCTACTGCTGTATCCACTGCTTTTCCCTAACCATTAATCATTTGCTTCTTTCCTAGTTTTTGTGCAAGTTTTTTACCCATCCTAAAAGGTTGAAATGACTCTCCTAAGACCTGGTAACCAGCAGTAAGGGCTTTAAGTTTACTTACTTAAAGCATATTACTCCTTAATACACTGGGGAGTTTTGCATTTTTGCGCCTCAGCATTTTCTCTTGGGCTCCTCCACATCAGCCTGTGGCATCTCCAGCACTTGAATATGGCCTTTGAATGTCTCCAGAACAGACTTCAGCCCTCAGCACCCATGTTTTGAGAACTTACTGAGCTAGCTGATAACATTCATTTCATCCCCAGAGGTACCAGACAGAGCTGTGGCCTTCCTATTCTGCTGTCAGTGATTTCATTTCTCCTCACTCCCCTTTGCTGAATCCAGGGATCCTGAGACTTCGCAGAAACCCTCTGCCTAAACTGAAGGGCCCACAATATGTTTTAAACATTTCCGCAATAGATGACAACTCCTCTGGTGGGGCAAGATCACTCAGCAGCTTTGCTGAAGTTGTGGTAGGAATTAATGACATCAACAACCACAAACCTGTATTCAGAGAGGTGAGCATGTTGGCTGGAAATGTTTTGAGTTACCAGTTCTTTTGCTAGTAATACCAGTGTTTGTCTTTTTTGGTTGGTTGTTCACTTCGAGAAGGTGTCTTCCTAACTGGTACTGAAAGACTTACATCTGTCAAGCTTTGTCTGACCTTAAACACGTCTTTAGAGCGTGCTGTTCATTTTCTAAACAGAGAATGCTTGAAGCTTTGGGTGCTTCCAGATTGAGGGAAAATGCATGAAAGATAAGAAAAGGCATTTCTCATCTATGAAATCGTGTTGTCGTTTCTGTAAAATGAGATTGAAAACTGGATTCAAGTAAGCGGTTTTGTGTTTTGGCGCTCAAATCCCACCTCTGCCTTGTATTCTGGTTCTTGAGCAACTTGCTCATTTTTCAGCCTTGCTATGTAGTTTGTCTTTATGAAGGTGTGTTCCAACCAGCAACACCCACCACAACAGCCATTTTCCAATGGCACCTACAATGTTTTCTTAAAATTCCAAATGTGACCTGGGTCCCAAATGCTTAGAAAAACTGCTAAGAATTCTCAGAATTACCATGCAGGAGGATACTAAACACACAAACTATAGATAGCACAGAATTATACTTATGGGACAGATATAGGTGAATCAGCCACAGCCACAGAAATCACAGTTACAAATCCACTGCCCCTGTTTCTGAAATCCTGCTCTTTCAGCCAAGATATGAGCACAACAGCCCAGAAAATACAGAACACAGAACAGCTCCTCAAGCTCACAGAGAGGGATGCCACTTTGTTCTGTCTAGAAAGACCACGGGGGGGGGGGGGGGTGCCATCCTTCTCCATCCTAGCATGAGAGTACCTGGACTCCTCCACAGGTACAGACAGGGCAGGAATTGGACCCACTCCTTGTCCTCCTTGTTAAATATGAAGAAAACATTAGATCCCTTCCCTCCCCAAATGGCTAGTGCATTCATACTTGTACACACACAGCTTGGATTGGCCAAACTGTGAGCTTAATGTGTGGACCTGGGATGAGATTTGCATTTCTGCTGGCACCTCCACATCGCTTTGGATTAGCACAGCTCTTGTACTTCCAAATGAAGGAGGGTTAGTTCAGTTGTTGGTATCTTGAAAGTTGAAAATGGCACGCAGAGTCCCTGTGTAGAATCTGGCTCCTAGGAGAGCTTGTTCTCACACAAGGATCCCAACACCTGGTACCTTATTGAGGCTTTTCCAATAACTTTGTCATAAAGTTGTCATTCTTTCTGAAAAAGGTGCAACTCTTTCCTCTTCTGCCCTCTTTGATATGTTTAACTCCTCCTTTTGGGTAGCAATCTGCTCTTGTTGTCCTTGCTTGACCCAGGCACTGTTCTTGATTCCTTCAGCTCAATCACCTCCAGACACTCTAGGCTTGACTCTAACGGGAGGGGGGGGGGGACACATACTCCCTTCACACCTAACTTCACGTATGGCCAAGGAGGAATCGCTTGGTCTGAAAACGTAGCACTGCGACTTGTGGGTCTTACAAATGACTATTGAACTGAGCAATAGCTGAAATTATGCTTCCTCTGGGTCATCACAAAAAGTCATCTTAGACAACAGCAAACCAATTAACCATTCTAACCATTCCCCGGGTGAAGCAAAGTTCAGTTCCCCAAACACATTCTATTAAGTTTAGCTAAAATGCAAAATATACTGGCTTTCAGCTTGTCCAAAGTTCACTTTTACACCAATGCACAATGATTTGCTATCGACCCATCTCATGGATCTAAACTATCAATATATTTCTACTTATGAGACTTAAATAAGACTAAAATCTTACAGAAGAGAATTACAGTCATCGTTACAAACAATACTTTGTTAACACCAATCTAAACTGTGTCACTAGAGCTACTGATTGGTCAGCATTGTGCAATTAGTCTGCCTTTTCTTTCTTACTGCATTTTCCATAGTAAGAAAAGAGGGAGAAAGTGGGAGAGAGCAGGAGAAGGCCATGAGCGGAAGACAACAAGGATGTTTGGATTCCACATAAAGCTCTGTGAATGAGGCAGTGTGATGCCTGGAAGCACTTCTTACCTTTTCCTTTCACAACAGTGCCTCTGGTTTAGCTCGGTTGCCAGAGTGCTTCGTAACTTGCCTATTTTTCCTGCATTTTAGTGTGCTTACTACAGCGACAGCACTTGGGTATTAGAAAACCAGCCACCAGACACTTACATTCTGCGGGTGGAAGCCTACGATGCAGATCTTGGATTAAATGGAGATGTGAAATATGGCCTCATGCACAGAGACGGGGCTTCCCCGGACTTCACTATTGATCCTGATTCAGGTAGGCAGCCCTTCAGAGGGCGGCTGGATCCAGCTGAATTTGCAAGTATCCTTTACTGTAGTCCAATGCATCTGGGGTGTTGGACAAGGCTTAAGGCAACACTGGTGTTGTTTTTGAAAAAGTGGTAACCACAGATTCTTTGGGCAACACTGACTATGACCAGCTTCAGTCATCTTAATGTGTCTACTCTAAGTAGGACTAGTATTGGATACCACATTTGGGTATGCAAGAATTTATTAGAAACAAATTCTAAGACTCCCAATGGAATTCAAGCTGACTTTTCTTCTGATTCTTTCAGCAGGAGTTTATGATGCTTTCTGCATTTTCTTCCTGCTTTTAAATGAGCCCTTTGCCCAGAAGAAGAAAAAGCTTAAAATACACCAGGAGTTTGGAAAGTTCTTCAGTAATCTTTGTGCATTTCTAGGTTATGTTGGAAAGCACAAGAAAGATAAATTGCAGAGTGAATGAAAAAGAGAGTCTCTCTGCAGCCCAAAACTTTGCAAGGGCAAATCTTTTAGGAATCTTGAACAGTGTTGACGCGTTGCTGCAAAAGAAGTCTGATTTAAAAACTCTGATTGAAAGCAGAAAAATCCTACTGTCTCTCTTCTGCCAGGCATTATCACTACCATGCGGAGCTTTGACCGAGAGAAGCAGAAGGAGTATACTCTGGTTATAACAGCTACAGATCAAGCTCAGGAACCGCTGATTGGTGTGTGTCAAGTCACTGTCTTCATTGCTGACATGAACGACAATGATCCTAAGTTTGAGAATAGCCACTATCAATGTGAGTAGGCACAAACTATTCTTTCTATTTGGTCTGCAAAGGGTCATTATAGACACCATTATCTGAGACTGGAGACGACAGAAGGATTTTGTTACCGCCATGCACCAACAGGGAATGGTCGGATTAGAGATAACAGTTAAGGATACCTTCTGTCAATATTCTTCTAGGGGCCTAAGCCCCATCTCCTGGGGGAACGCCAAGAATTTCTGCAGGTCAGATTAGGTGGTGGCCCATGGGATGGAGGTTCTGCTCCCATCATAAAGCAGTGATATCACACTTAACTTTATCCTTCTCATTGTTATCATGATTGCTCTCATTTTCACTCTCATTGTGGTCATCATTACTTAAAATGAAGATGCCATGATAGCTGACCCTAATGCCATGGCAGCAAACAGGAGCTAATTGTTCAGACACGTTCCACTGTTGAGAGCCATGCACTGGTGCTGAACTGCAGGGAGATGCCATTAGGAAGTTGCCTTATGCATGGCTGACCATTAAACCCTTCAGCTCAATGCTGCTTCCTCTCTGACTGGCAGTGGTGGCTCTCCCCAGCCGTGCTGGGCCACTGTGCTTGCAAAACATGCGCTTTTAGCGCCAGGACCAGATCAGGTGCCTGCTGAGACTCACCCCCCTCCCCCTGCTGTTAGGAATGAAAGAGGCAGTTGTTCTAGGTGTGCATTTTAGGACCAGGGAGGCACAAACTCTTAAATGGGGAGGAGGACCCCTGGGAAACAGATACTGAGATGGAAGAGGTAGGGGGGCTTATCTCAAGGTCACCGCCTCCAGGAGTTCAGGCAGATCCTGAGAATAGCCCGAGTCTGCAACTGCTGGGAGGGGGCGTGGAACCAGACGCACCTGGTATGATCCTTGACTGCATGATGTGGCGTCAGGAGAGAAGGGCTGGCCAATGAGAGGGACAGTGTGCAGCTAAGAGGCTTCCCCCCTCCAGAAGGCCCTCCCAGAGGGGTGGGGCCAGCGTTACTTAACAGGAGGCTTTCTCAGAAGGTTCTTCCAGGTTGGGTTCAACTGCTCTGTGCATGCTCAGAGATTGGATACACTTTACACTGGAAAATAAAGAGGTTTTGTTAAAGAATTCCCTGTTGTTTTGAAGGTATGAAGCGGGGAATCTAGTTGATGACACCTGTAGACTATCACTCTTGGGCATCTCCAGGTTCTGCTCTTCACTGTCCTCCTCCTTGCTGTCCTTGCCTTTCCTCCTGCCCTCCCTGAGCCTGAAGGCAACGCCAGGAATCAGGCCATGGAGCAGCAGCCTCTCCCAGTGCTGCTCCCCTTGGCTTCGGTGCGAATTGGGCCAGGGGACAGAGGACAAGCAACTGAGCGGCCATGACGTGGAGTGGAGGGGCTTGCAGAGGGGAACGTCACACGAGGGTCCCCTAAAACTCAAGTCAGCACTGAGCTACAGGCCTCTAGCAAAGACAGAGTGCTGGGCAAGACTGGCCTGGGATTTAATTGAGCAAGGCAAGGCTGTGGTTCTTGTGAATGCAGAGAAAAGGTGGCACAAGCAGCCATGCACAAGGCATAGTGAATGCTGCCCTTAGATCGATTTCAGCCAGCAGGATAGTGCTTTGTTTCTGTCACTTGAATCTGTCACTTAAGCAAGCCAGGATGTGCTCAGGATGATTGGTGGACTTATCTTTCCCAAGACTTCCTTCGTGAAGACACCCCCATCGGAACCAGCTTCCTCCGTGCCACAGCTCATGATGAGGACCAAGGGCTGAATGCTGCCATCACTTACTCCATGTTACAGCAGGAGCCAGAATACTTCAAAATCAACCCCAGCACAGGCTGGGTGTATGTGAATCACCCTATCTCCCAGGTAGCCTTCCGTTTACAGTGGATCGGTTTTGGTGGCTGATTGGCTCTCGAAAGGCTTTGTGAGCACTTTGGTGAATGGCTGTTGCAACTTCTTTTGCAGACATTTCAGATAAATAGATACATCCTGGCCACAGATGGTGGGAACCGAACCAGCACTGTGGAGTTGACGGTCACTATTACTAATGCACTTAATCAGTCACCACAGTGGGACAAAAGTGCCTATTTTGTGACAATCCCAGAAAGTACTCCTCGTGACACCAAGATAGTGGTATGCATTGATTTTTTAAAATTCTAATTTACATTAATTTTAGGATCATAGAAAGTTTTTTTATATAAGAAAGGACTACTCGTCTATACAGCCCAGAATTTTCAACTCCAGTCTCCTACCTGGCATGCGGTAGGTGATTTATACTACAACTCCTATCAGCCCCAGCTAGCATTCCCCTCCTTTGCCTTAAGGAAGTGGTGGGCAGATCACAGGCTTACAAGATTTTTTTTAACCAGAACCCAAGATCTACCAAAGTCACATCCTTAGAATTAAAGAAATAATGAGCACAGGAATTTGCTTTGCGTATCAAAACTACACTGAGTTCACCATCCCTTTTCCACATAAAAATATATCCCTGGGTATTCCAAGTGTTCTTAATTTCACCAGCATAATTTAGTGCAGGAAGGGAGTCATTTTACTGCTCCAATGAAACTCCAGAAATCATCCAGTGTTCTACTGGTACAGTCCTACGCCAGTTCTTTTTTTAAATAAGTTTTATTTGAGTTATCCTAAAAAACAACAAACTACAAACAACATCCATCATCAAAAACATCGAGCCCGCTGGGTTAGCCCCCACACCCTTCTTTTTCCATTTATAATAACTTTAAAAACATATTTAAATCTATGCAAAGTCCCATTTCTCTAGCCAATAATAAAAAGAGTCCCAAGTTTGATAGAAGTCAGTATCTTCCTTCTCCTTCAATGATAAAGTCAATCTGTCTATTTCTGCACAGTCCAGGATTTTTTTTTTTAGAATCAATTCATCGATGGGTAGTTCTTCACTTTTCCAGTATTGAGCGAATACAGTCATTGCCACAGTGATTACGTGTAAAATTGAATACATTTCTTGTTTACTAATATCCTCCAGTATAATGCCTAATTAAAAAAAAAACTTCAGGTTTAAAAGCTAAGGATTTTTATAACATTTCCACAGGCCATTTATGTATTTTAATCCAATACTTTTTCACATTATCACAAATCCACCACATATAGTAAAAGTACCCAATTTATGTTTATACTTCCAACATCCATTTATCATATTTGGAAACATCTTAGCTAATCTATTTGGCAACAGATACCATCTATAAAACATTTTGTACAAATTTTCTTTATACAAAGTTGCTAATATTACCTTGATATTTATCTCCTCCAGCTTATGCCACTTTCTAATTCAATATTATATCCAAAATTTTGTGCCCACGTTATCATAGTTTCCTTAATCTATTCGTCTTCCATTTTCCTGTCAAGTTTATACAATTTTATCTTTAATTTCCCCCACCCACATGAATGATTTTCTAATATAGTGACTTAAAAAAGAACCATGTGACTTAGCCTTCTCATACCACATATAAACGTGCCAGCCCATTTGCAAATCATTCCCTTTAAAAGACAAAATTCTCTTATTTCTTCTTTACACCTCTACCTCTTCTCTCTTCCTCTGTTTTCAGTATCTGTACTTCTTGTTGTAAATCAGTGTCCACTTCCAGTGCCTGTACTTCTTGTTGTAAGTCAGAATGATATGTTGTTAGTTCCATTGGTTCAACATCTATTCCTCCTTCTTTTGAGGCACCCGGTTCTTCCTCTTGAAGCATACTTCTAAATTTTTCATAAAACTCTTGTGCCTTAAAAGTCGAGTCCAATTTATATCTTGTAAAGTGCCAGGTGAAAAATATTCCTTCTGTCATTCGCCACCTAAGCATAATCTCTCTCAAATAGTTTGGTATCTTCTTCATCTCTAGTATAACAAGCGAATCCCATAGTGACTTGTGTGTTTGCTTTATTAATTGTGTCTCTTTATCTATGGTTTCAAGTTTCTCATGCGCTTGTTGTATTTTTTGCACATTCTGTTCAGTTTTAAGTCGAATGTCCACCAATTGGGTTGATACCTCCTTAACAGAATTATCTAGTTTGTCAAGACGTTCTCTTTGTTCAGTTTAAATGCTTTTTCGTGTTGACATCACCTCTTGGTATACTTGCAAAGCTGTTAAGGATGTCTCTATCACCGAAAGCATCATTTGTAGCTCTTTTTAATATTTTTCAACATCTGCCGCTTTAGGCTGATGAGTAGGACTCTGAGCAGCTGATGTAGGAGCCGAAGAGGAGGAAGAATATATTTTTTCATGATGATAATAGGTTTTTTTTTTTTTTGTTTTTGCCAAAAATTACAACACAACAACAGAGAAATAAAGAGGGAGGGGGGAGTAGAAACTTGCTATAAATCCAATAACCGCAGGGTGGCAGCAAAGGGCTATTTTTGTCTTTAAATGACATCACAAATTCTTGGCATGAGGATTATTTTAAGAAGGATCCAAAAATGGCCGATCAAAGGAAGCTTTATCTTCTATCACTCATTCCACAGTAATTATTTATTCTAATTCTTCGCCCTTGGGGAGGTTAGGAAAAAAAAGGTCTTTTTCTCTAGCCTCAAACTTTCCAAAAGAGCCTCAGTTCCTCTCCCCCAGATCAGTCGCCACTTGAAACTCCACGGGGGGAGAAATTCCTCCCTCCGTCGAAGGGCTTATCTTTTCTTCTTTCTGCGAATTAGTAACTGCTGCGGTTCTTTCACGGGTAGTATTGAGAAAAAAAAAAATAGAAATGCTCACCCAGGAGGCCCGATGAACTTCTAGATATTATTCTAATGCTATTATATCCGGTCGTCTCTGGCTTGCAGGGAGCTGCTCTCTCCCCTGTGTTGTTTGATTGAGATAAGCCTGAATTTCTCCCAGTAAATGTGGAGCTGCCACCCCGCACTAATTAGAAGAATGCTCGGGCAAACTAATCCCTGCCCCGACAGGGCTTGGATGAGCCTCACGGTCATACTGGCGTGATAACGGGAGCCCCCACTCTTCACAGTCGTCTCGCCACGATGCCAACTGGAAGTCTCAGTCCTACACCAGTTTAATAGTGCTTTCTCGTATGTGTTCCCCAGCGACTGGCATACAACCTCTGGTACTGGAGGTACCATATAACTATCAAGGCTAGTGGTCATTTATTGCCTCCAAGTAATAAAGCAATAAAATGTAAAAACATAAACTACGTGGATACAGTACCATTGACTAAAATCAGCCTAGAAAGAGTTGGCATGCCTCTCAAACTTGTGCTACAAATCAAGGCCTTAACTCTTTTCTGAAGGGCAATCTGAACTTTGCTCCTCGGACATCATCGCTGAGGGCGTGAATCGGTGGAGATACCAGTGGTGCTGCGAGTAACAATCAGTTTTCACAAATGTGTCTTTATGTCTGTATACTTGTCTACAGAGAGGCCACCCAGGGGCTGTTATTGTTAGCTCCAGTGTTAACTTGTGTTCTTGCTAGGATGTGGATCTCCATGTGAGATATGTATGGCAGCAGTTGGAAGGGTGATTATCAACAAGGAAAGGGAACTCTGAGGGAAGAGAGGGATGGTTCTGTTGGTTGTTTGGCCTAACATTGTAAGCTCCAAACTGGCTGTAGGGATCAGTAGTGTAAATTTGTCAATACACCTTTCCTGTTAATCTTGGTAGTTGTTTTTATTTCCTTCCAGGTCGTCAAAGCCACATCCCCTCTGGGGGATCCAAGGGTTACGTATCACCTAGAAGAAGGACAAGTTCCAGAGACAAACATGCCTGTCCATTTTTATCTCAAGCCAAACAGAGCAGACGGGTCTGCTTCACTTCTTGTGGCCGAACCCCTTGACTTTGAGACCACCACGTTTTTCATGCTGAGCATCAAGGCTCAGAATGTAGCAACAGTTCCCTTGGCCTCCTTTGCCACAGTCTATGTTAATATAACAGGTCAGTTGCCTTTGTGTTGAACATTTCCTGACTGCATGATGGATTTGGGAATAAGTGAAATGAGATGAGACGGCATTCAAGGGACAGGATTATGCAGATAATCAAGGCCCGCCAGTTTCTTCCCCAGGCTCCAACCCCAGCAAAGGAAAATGTCTGAGATCTGTGCTAGCAAAGCAAGCTGAGAAATACGCCCTCCCTCCTGAGCTAATGGGGCCGAGGGGAGAGGCTGAGGCTCAGCAATAGGGCATATATCATGCATGCAGAAGTTCCCAAGCTCAGTCCTCAGTGTCTCCAAAGGGAGCTGGGGCGGACCGTGGTGGTACAGCCAGTTGCAGGAAAGCCCTGTTTGTTGAATGGGCAGTGTCCCTGGAAACTTGGCCCCAACCCTCACCCTTAGCCTTATGTGAGCATGGCTCCGTTAAATTAAGACTGATCCTGACACGGTGGCCTGGGTGTGGCTAAATATGCCTTTTGTTTAACAGATGTGAATGATAATGTCCCATTCTTCACGTCTTCTACCTATGAAGTTTCTGTCCCCGAAGGAACAGGAATTGGTACCTCTCTTCTGCAAGTTCTAGCTACTGATTCAGACTCTGATCTCCATGGAGAGGTTCGTCTTTATTTCTACCACCTTAAAACAAGCAAACAAGCAGATGCCTATGAGTTAGAAAATGTTAAACACGATGCTAGAAACCAGACTGCCACAAATTGGTGCCCTGCAGTGCCTGTCATCCCCCAGACTGCGAAAAGATACCATACAATCATAGAACAGTAAAGTTGGAAGAGGCCAGAAGGTCATCAGGTCCAACTCTCTGCTCAGTGCAGGACTCCAAATTAAACCATCCCTCTCAGCTGGCTGTCCAGTTTCATCTTGAATGCCTCTAGCAGGAGCACCCACAACTTCCCCAGGTTATTGTTTCCATTGATGTACTGCTCTCACAGTGAGGAAATTCTTCCTGGCCTAGTCTGGTTTCTTTTAACTTAAGTCTGTTATTCTGTCCTGCACTCTGGAATGGACAGGAAAAGATCTTGTCTTTCCTCTTTGTGACAGTCTTTCAGGTATTTCTAGAGTGCTCTCATATCACCCCTCAAACTTCTCTTCTTGAGGTTGAACATGCCTAGTTCTCTCAGTCTTTCCTCATAGGCTTTGCCTCCAGTCCCTGACTCATCCTTGTTGCCCTCCTCTGTTTCCTTTCTAGCTTTTTGCACCCTTTTAAAACTTATGTGTCCAGAAGTGGACACGGTTCTCTAGGTTAGATCTAACTAGTGCTGAGTACAAGGTCATGAGTACTTCACATGTTTTGGAAGTGATACTTCTGTTAATGCCACCCAAAATACATTTGTCCTTTTTGCAGCTGCATCTCATTGTGGGCTCATATTTAGCTTGTGATCTACAACAACCCCCAAATCTTTCTCATTTGCAGTATTGTTGAGCCAAGAGTTCCCCATTTTGTAGCGATGCATTTGGTAAAGAGCTCTACCAAAGGAGAGCTCTTCTTATGTGCTGAGATTTTGGAGATCAGCTGCCAGTGTACACAACATTGGGCTAGACACAACCTTTCCTAATCTGGTGCCTTCCAGATGTTTCAGACTGTTCCTCAGCACCCGTGTGCCTGCTGACCAACCTGAATAGCATGGCTTGAAGAAGGTCTCTTTTTACATTTGCTTGAACATCTGGAGGGTAGGGAGGAGCTTCTGACAGAGCAGGGCTCCTGGTCATGTGGAGGGTTCTACTGGTGTTATCCTAACTTTGTTGCACAAAGGTTAAGGTCAGGCACAAGGGGGGAAGCATGGACCTTGAGGGGAGGGTTTGCATGTATTCAATCCCCAACACAATCTTTTAGGTTGAACAGACTGCAGAGATTTGTGTCTTTGCTTCTCTTTCCTCTTCTTTAAATGTGATCACCTGTTTCTGGGTGGTTATGAAAGTGCATTACAGAAGGATTATAAAGCACAATCCTCCCTTGGAATATTCCTCAACCGCAGGTTCACTACTCTATACTGAAGAACCCCAGTGACGACTTCCAGTACTTTGCCATTGACCCCAGGTTGGGAGTCATTTCTACCCAAGCATGCTTTGACAGAGAGAAGAGAGGATCTTACTTGATTGAAGTTCAATCTCAGGATTCTTCTGAATCGGCCAGGCCTGGCATATATGGGCAGCCTAATACAGGTAATTTCACCTGGGAAATAGACAGACAGAAAGACAGGGCAGATGACTAGCAATACCTGTGCTGGTCTATAATCATAATAAATTGATCAAGGTAAGAAGATAAAGGGCTAACACACTGACCAGCAAAACCTTGAAATAAGCCAAATTCAGGAGTTTAAATTATTTGTGTGATGAAAGCAAGCAGGGATGGGTGTGCCAGCTATTCCTTCATCATCATCTTTATCAACCTTCACAACTTAAGAGGCAAATTTCTGCAAAGGGAAGCCTTTTTATTTTTTGGTTGGCAGTTGTAGGCTTTATATGAAATCTAGAACCCTGCCTGATCTTCCAGGTTTCTAGATTACATGGGGAGGAACTTGCACAAAGAATGCTCCCCCAGTTTGCCTTGAACTTGTGGTCAGCAACTGGGGTAAGGCAGAACTAGTGACATTTCCTCTGTTCCCCCTTCTGGTACGAAGGCTATTAATGACTCAGAATCTACTACAGAGGAGTGGAATGTTTTTCAAACTCAATTTCAGAAAAGCTTTGGCCACCTTCCAGTTTGTCCAAAGGGAAAAGGGTTGAGGACAAAGGCAAAGAGCACAGGACCAAATGCCAGCATATTTTCACATAAAATTCATAGTGCCAGTAATTAAACCTTAGAAAAAGCATTTCAATATTTTATAAAAGGCAGGGAAAGCTCCACAAAATCTGGGAAACCACTAAATGATCAGTAGTTGAGGGAAAGGGGCATGCCCATCCGAGGAACCCTGTATGGGCTAGATTTGGTTCCTTGTGCCTGAGTTTCTGCAGCCCTAATCTACTGATAAATTTCCAAAAACAAAGCCATGCCTTGAGATGTCAAATCAAACATTTGTCACAAGTTTAATGAAGTCCGCCATTCTCAGAAAGAACCCCAGAGCAGGGTGTTTTCTCTTGCTGTTCTCAGCAAAGTTTCTCTGTGCCTGGGTTCAAGGTTTAAATGCAGGGTAAGGGAAACTCTTAAATCTAATTAAAGAGAGCTTCAAATTATATGTCTATTCTGATTTGCCTAGAAGCAAATAATGGATGATTTATGTTTTAGATACAGCCTATGTGAGGATTTTTATCAGTGACATAAACGACAATGCTCCCGCTTTCCCACATTCGGTGTATGAAATTAATATAGCGGAAGACAAGGATGTTGGGTACGTTCTTTTGACAGCAACTGCAAATGATAAAGATGAAGGTATGAAAATGCAAGTTATTTTCATGTGCTGCTCATTTCTTGACAGAAGCAACACCTCTGATTTGGAAGTGGTGATGAGAATGTTGACAGTGACTGGCTAGCGACTACCCTGTATCAAAAGAAACCTTTCCCCTCTCTGGTATAAAAGTGGATTTCTAGAATATGGGATTTTGCAATAACGACAACCATTGCATAAAGTTTGTGAAATAAATTTATTCAGAAACCAACATTATTCAGACAATGCTGAAAATGTTGTAAAGTGCATGAAGAGCTTCAGCTATTGGGCAGTATCAAAATGAAATAATTATAAATAAATATTTTGTAATATTCAAGGAGATGCTTTCGCCTCAGAATCCATCTCATGAGCTCTGATAGGAGCTGCTTCAGAAATGTACCATTCTCTGAGGCAGAAGCTTAGCAAGTTTCATGTTGCAAAACGTCAGATATCTCCTACCTTGACTCTAATGGGAACATTTACAAATGTACAACTTTATTAATAACTATTTTGGAGAATTGGATGAAATCTGCAGGCATAGTAGCCATTTCTGAGAATTTTGCCAAATGCATGAACAGGTTAGGAAAGTATGAATAAAAATCAGTATTTGAGAAATGAAAAAACATCCTATTGTTTTCTGTTCAATTTGTTCCTGAGCACTTATATTTGTGAAATTAGGAGGCTTCATTCACCCATAAACAGTTTCACTGCCTGCAAATGTAATCCAAATGTGTCTAAATGTTAAAATGGTGCTTGTCATCTGTTCATTTTCCCTAAGTCAGTGCCCAAAGGACTTCTGTTTGGTGAAAAGGATAATACTGTGGCAACCAGGTTTGTTTCCCGTTTTTAGGCTCTAATGCCAAGCTAAGGTATCAGGTCACTTCAGGAAATGAGCAAGGAGACTTTTATGTGGAACCTGAAACAGGAAGCATCTTGATCAGCCAAGGCCTTGACTATGAACGAGAGCAGCATTATGAACTCCAGCTGGTAGCCTCTGATGGGAAATGGGAGAACCATACCCTTGTTATCATCCATGTCCTCAACAAGAATGACGAAGCGCCTGTCTTCTCCCAGGATGAGTACCACGGCAGTGTCCTGGAGGAGCTTGCTGATCTGCCCGTGGTTGTTTTACAGGTAAGCCATATGCATCCAGCCTTAAATCATTTCCTTTATTGCTATTATCACACTGGTTTATGAATCACACCCTCTGGTTAACAACCCTACAGGATGATCTACAGCAGAGCTTCAGTAAAACTAAGTGAAAACCTCTGCATCATAGAAAAACAAGCAAACAAATGAAGCTTTGCACTGCGTTATTACTGTTTTGTTTATGATTATATGCACTGAGTGCCATTTTTCTTGGTGGAAAGACAGGTTACAAATCAATCAGACAAATAAAAAAATAAAATCAATAAAGATGCTTTCCAACAAAGAGATCCTAGTACTACCAATTGAGAAGCGCAGCAACCCTCATCCGCCTTTTTTCTTCTTAAGGGATTTTTCACTGTAAGAAAAACAAAAACAGAAGAACAAAGGAGGGGAATGAGTGGGAAATGGTGACATCTGGAGACCAATAAAATTCTGTGAATGAAGTAGAGCGATGATGTGATAAAGGCCTCATCTGGGGGCAGCCAGTTCAAAACAGCATCCGTCAGTAGATTAAAATGGATCTTCAACTAGCTCGCAGCCCATCTTACTCTTACTGGAAGTTCACCAGAGAGTTGATTCCTTGGGCCTCTCCAGAAAGGGAGTTTTAGTGCTTGGGCCCTTTTGTAAGGCTCAGTCAACCTTTGTGCTTCTTTTCAGGTTTCGGCAACAGACCCTGATGAGGAAGCTGACCAGAGTGCCCTTCACTACTCATTGCACGGGCAAGGTGCCCAAAGCAAGTTTAGCATTGATGAGCGCACAGGGGAGATTACTGCAAATGAAAAACTGGACCGAGAGAAACAATCCGTTTGGCGCTTCCTGGTCCTCGCTACTGATGAGGATGGCGAGGGTCTGACTGGCTTTGCAGACGTCATTGTAGAAGTGGCAGATGTAAACGACAACCCGCCTCTTTTCCTTTGTACCTCGGATAGTTGCTTTATAGGGCAGATTCCTGAAAACTCCCCTGCTGACTCCACAATCATGGGGATGTTGGCAGTAGACCTAGATGACCCCAGAGCTGGGAGGAATGCTGTGCTCACTTACAGCATTATTCGCAATGTCCAAAATGAGATTAACCTCGACTTGTTCTCAATTAATCCAGTTACTGGCACCATCTACACTGTGTTGGGATCCTTGGATAGGGAGACAGAAGACAAGTACCTCGTGGTAGTTGAAGCAAAGGATGGAGGAGGTCTTAGGGGAACCGGGACTGCCACTATTTTGGTGACTGACATCAATGACCATCCTCCAACCTTTACACAAAAGATTTATACAGCCTTTGTCTCAGAGGGCGTGGGCCTCAACACTGAGGTTGCTGAGGTATTGGCCACGGATAGAGATGAAGGAGAAAATGCTGTGGTGACTTTCAGCATCCTGGATGGAGATGATGATCAGAAATTCTACATTGAGACAGACAGAGATGATAAGCGTGGTGTGATACGACTAAGGAAACAGATTGACTTTGAGAAGCCCCATGAAAGGGTGTTTAACTTGACAGTGAAAGCTGAGGATCTGGACTACTCTAGCACAGCTCACTGTGTCATCTATGTGGAGGACTCCAATGACCACGCCCCTCTGTTTTATCCACAGTTCTATGAAGTGGCTGGTCTGGCTGAAGATGTCCCCCGTGGTACTAAAGTTGTTCAGGTTATTGCTGTTGATTTAGATTCTGGGCTGAATGGGAGGTTCTCTTTTCACCTGCTCAATAGGTCCGACCCAAATGGGAGGTTCTCTGTGATGAACGATGGCTGGGTCATAGTGGCAGGACTGCTGGACTTTGAGGCTGTGGCACAGTACCAGCTTGTGGTCATCGCTACTGATATGGGTCACCCTGCCCTGAGCAGCAGTGCTACTGTCCTCGTGACTCTCCAAGATGTCAATGATAATGGACCAGAGTTTGATGCTCACTACACCCCAGTGGTTTGGGAAAACACACCTTCCCCTCAAGTTATCTGGATGAATGATACCTCAACATTGCTGTTCGCGAAAGACCGAGATAGCCCGGCAAACGGAGCACCGTTCTCCTTTCATTTACTGAGTGACTTTGGCAGCATGACTTACTTTAATTTGCAAGATTTCAACAACGGAAGTGCAATGCTGACTGCGTTGCATACCTTCGATCGGGAGGTGCACAAAGCATTTTTGCTGCAGATTCTGATTGTTGACAGTGGGAACCCTCCCATGAGCTCAACCAACACGTTGACAGTTAATATTGGGGACCGAAATGACCACCCTCATGCTGCTGGCTTCATGGAGTGCCTCATCTACAGTTACAATGGTAAGCTGATCACAACGAAGCTGGTTTGCTTGCTTCCACTGCCTGATACTAGGCCAGAAAAAGTGTTCCCTTGGCTCCAGATTTGGATGTCTTGGGTACAGAGCCTGCTTAGCCTGGACGGCAGTGTGTCAAGTCACAGGAGTTACTTTTTCCCCTGTTATATCTTCTTACATATCCCCAGTGGCATGATAGTATTTGCAGGATATTTGGAAACTGAATATTACATGTGAATATAATGACAAAATGCACAGTGAGGCTGTAGACATGCAGGATGCTGTCTCATGTTTAAGGAAATAACTTTTTTTTTCCTTTTTAGGTATCTTACCCACGACAGTACTAGGTCAGATCAGTGCCCCGGATAATGATGACTGGGATCACAAGACGTATCACTTTGAAGGGCAAGCACCCAGGTAAATTTTCTGTTCATGTGTTTTTCAAAAGCCATTCCCTTAAAGCATCAGAAACAAGAATTTGTTCTAAGAATTAATGCAGTACAGTATGCTCTGGCCACACAAACCACATTCTCTCTTACTGTTTCTCACCTGCTTTCTCTACTGCAAGTTCTCCTGAGAAAGATTATACTCCAGTCCTCATGGGCTAGCTTCCTAATTCAGCAGAAATTAAATGTCTGGATTATTACAAAGTTTTCTTGAACATCAAATGATCAAAAGAGGAATTCATAAGAGCTGTGACTGCAAAATAGGCTTTTGTTGGGACTTGGTATATCAGCTTTATCATGATATTAGTTAAACACTGTGTGCTTTGCAAGGCAGCCTGTAGGAAAAGTGCTCCTATAGTTGCAAAATGAGTGGAAGGGCCACCTATGGCTGCTTTTTTGCAATGTATCCATTAATAAATAAAACCAGGTCAATAGTGACACACAAACTACCATCTTATTCAAGTTTCATACCCCAGTGGGATTTCGGATGCCTTGACTGTGCTGTTTCTTTGGGGTAAAGGCAGCAAGTTTGCTTTATTTTGGTTCAATAGAAAGTGAACAGGCAAGAGGTAAAGGCAAATCCAATGCCATCAGCCAAAACAACCATAAAAATTGTTTGGCCACAGTTTGACTCAGATGTTAATTATTTCTTTCCTGCAGGTATTTTATCCTCAACGATAACTCTGGCTTACTAAGTATAAAGGAAGGAACTCCTCCGGGGACGTACGACATAAGAGTAAAGGTTACAGATGGCATCTGGCCTGATGTGGTCTCTACTGTAAAGGTGGTTGTAAAGGAACTCAAAGAAGACACTGCTCACAATGCAGGGTCCATCCGAATAAGAGGTAAAAGATTAATGCTACATTCTGAATACCAGTAAATACTCAGCAGTCCCAAGAATGCCCACCAGGTTCCACAGTTTTTATTTGTTATATTTATATCCTACCTTTTTCCCTCCAAGGAAGCCTAAGTAACTTACGTACTCTTCCTCTGCCTCCTGTACATTTTATCTTCACAACAATCCTTTGAGGTAGGTTCAGCTGAGCACCAGTGACTGGTCCAAAGTCACCCAGTGAGCCTCATGACTGACTATGGCCCAGAATCCACACATACACACCCAAGTCCCAGACCCACATTCTGACCACTGCCCCGTCCTGGCTCTTAGCTGGGTCCTCAGCAACTCCTGATTAGTCATACTAAGGCTGTGGTCATGGCATGCCACCACTTAGTTGATTTCCTGGTTAAAGACTGTTGATCATGGCTAAACATGTCCAGAAATCTGTGTGATCCAGAAAACAGAAAGTGAGTGCTCACTGCCAGCATTTTTTTTCCATTTAGGTTGGCTTGTTCACACACTCAGCTGTCTGGGGTACAGGAGGGTCAGGGCTGTAGCTTGCCAGTGGCTGAGAATCCTGGGGATTGTAGTCCAAAACTCCTGACAGGTCCTGGGTTGGGAAATGATGCCATATGAAGTACCAAGGAGGTAGCCCTGAATCCATGTTTTAGTGTGCATGTTAATATTTCTGTTGGGCCAGTTCCTAAGAACTTTTGGAGGTAAATGTCTTGCCTTTAAAGGTGTCCAAGGCTCTTTCTTTATTTGAATCTCCCATCTCTAAAAATAAAAAAGGGGGGAGTGGGGGAGGTCTTGCTGACACATCAAAAAGTGACCTGCTTGCTCTCAGCAATCTGGCAGCATTCTTGGTAGAGTGTGTCCGATTGGAACATCAGAGCCAACGTGAGGGAAGTTTCTTACTTCTGTTGTGGATCTATTACATGTTTCCACCATCAGGACTTCAGCTGTGGATTTGAAGGGGTATAGTGGGGTGGGGAACATGAGCCCTCCAAATGCTGTTGGACTACAGCTTCCATCAGTCCTACTCAGGATAGCAATGGGCTGTAACGGAATAATAACTGTAGTTCAGCAGTGTCCAGAGGGACACACATTCCTCATCCCTGCTAAAAGGATTTGGTCATCCATTTTAGCCCCTGTGCTTTCAGCGTTCTACCACAATATTGGGGGAATTCTACCATTGTTGGCAGCACATAATTTGTTCTGTTGCCACTGTGAGGCTTCCATCAGATCCCAGAGCTCCCTCAGCAAGTGGATTTCATGCACAGGATTGTGTCCTAAAAGCTCTTATTCTAATTGCATGTGGACACAATTATCCCAAATGCAAATGTGTGTGTATATGTATGTATGTATCTATCTTGAACCATGCTCAGGCTTTCTTTTCCATGTTCAATTAAGAATTGGGGAAAGGAAGCACTCTCGTCCCATCCCTTGTCACTCTATACTCATGAAGGGCGACACTCTCCTAAACAGGGGAGGCTCCCTGTGTGAGCAAGAGTCTAATTTTCCAGCATCCTGGATGACAGAAAGTGCCACCATGGAGAGAGGAGGCTCCTCTGTTCAGACCGCCAGCCTTCATGAGCACAGAGAGACAGAAAGGTGCAAGGACAGGGCTGGGCTAGAACATGCTTCTCTTGTCTTGGTTGTACGTGGAAAGAAATGCCAAAATGGGCACCCATCCATCCATCCATCCAATATTTTACAGATATCACTGCCGAAGATTTTATATATCAGTCTTCTGAGAGTGAAAGTAAATACAGTCAAATGAAGAAGCTCTTTTCAGAAATCATACCAGCCCAACTTGAAAACGTCCACATATTCAGTGTCTTGAACAGTCCAGGGGACACACAGGGAACAGATGTGTGGTTTGCAATCCATGGATCACCCTACTACAAAGCTGAGAAGCTGAATGGCAATGTTGCTGTATCGAAAGCACGGGTATGCATTTTTCCGCTCACAAAATCCTAGGTAACATTTTTAATATGTCTGTAATGAAAAAAAGTATCAGAATCCTTGTTGATTTGCCTCTTTATTCCTCATGTTACAGTTTAAACTTTAGGATTTTTCAAAATGTCTGGGTGGCCACTCTCTTTGCTTCAACCCTCACTCCATGCAACACCCTTCTTACACTTTCACGCTATTATAAGTAGTCTGCTTGGGTTAGGGACAACTGTTTCAAACTGAAGCTGTTTCATTTATGATTGCATTCCTTGAGTTCAACAACTCCTGCAATGAAGACAAAAAGGTATTGCTCATGAAGGTCCCCATAGCTCTCCATCTGATCTTGCAGGCTAGATGTTTTGCGAATTGTTTCGGCTCCTTAAAAAGCAACAACTGTATCTTACCCACAGCTGGAAGCCATCTTGAACATCAACATCACTCAGATTGGCATAGATGAGTGTATGACTGCAAACTGCTCCCATGGCCCTGGATGCATCAGCAGAACTGAATTCAGCCCTCTTCCCACAATCACTACTTCTGGAAATGTTTTGCTGGCCTCCATTACGGTACTGAATACTGCCCAGTGCATTTGTGAAGCACGGGAGAGGAAGCACCATTCCTGCTCTTCCTATCGTATAAATCCATGTTTTAATGGCGGTACCTGTATGGACACTGACCTAGGTTACAGGTTAGTAAAATGATTCATGATTGATTTTTTTATTTTTAAGGTATACATAGCCTTTATAATAAAATACCCCAAAATGGTTTATATAAATTCAGGTATGAAAACAAATATAGGGGTAGATTGCAAGAGTTTGCGTCTGGTCGCATGTTTCACTTTTAAGCTGAGAGAGGGCCCAGTGTGGGAGAGCTGTTGTAGTGTTGTTGTCAATATGCTACACCAGCTCCACTAAGCATAGGTTGTGTAAACATGCGGTATTTTCTGCATTCCTGGTTAGTTTAGCTTTTCTTCCTTTAAGAGGAATCTGCAGGGTCTTGTGTTGAATGAGGGTCATTACAGGAAACAAATGCATGTTTTTAAAGATGTCTCAATGCTGCAGTAGAACCCTGATGAACTACTGCATCTCTTTTGTATATCCATACCAGCAAGCCTATCTTTCAAAACAGGCATCTTTCTCAAATTCCAGTTTTAAAATACATGAAATAAAATTTGTCATATTCTTCCAGACCATTAGATGGCAGTGCTGGGCTTAAAAAAATGAAATACCTATTGTCTTAGTTTAATATAATTAATTTAATTCTTTAATTCATTTAATCCCCCATGATTTATCATTTGACCTAACTATTTAACTCACTCATTGCAAAGTGCTTGTTAAATATGAATAGTAGTGAATGCTGCTATTGTTTTAAAGATGCTGTTTCCTTAAAAGTACTTTGGATTCTTGGACTAATCTGCCCTAGCATTTTAAAGCAGTACTCTAACATCTGGCACATGATCTGCTTCCAGCATGTTGTTCTGATGATCAGTATTCCAGATTTTCCCATATTAGTTTTAGGATGACTTTTTTGGTGCTTGCACTCTGTGTGCTACAAGTCATGTGTGTTCTGATTTAGTACTATTACAATTTACCTGTGTAGGTGGATTTAACGCTGCAGAACTTGGCTTGCAACATTTTCCCCCTCCCTCACTCATGTCATTCTACTGTAGTCATTCCCTATTTTTTCTTCACAGAGATTTCTGTGTGATTTATTGGCAGGATATCTAAGATATTTTTGTATATGTTATGCTGGGTTTTGTTTTTTTTTACTCTGCATCTACACAGTTTTGTAGCTATTACCTACTATATGATTACCTTTGCAATTACTGCACAGCTGCAAATGTGTGCCTGCAGTTAGTGGACTCAGAAACGAACTGCAGCTCTTCTAGGAGCTTGATCCTGTGGCCACCAGACAATGTCTAGACAACCAACGAGAATTCAGTCTCAGTTCTGGCCTGGGAAACTTGCTCTGAGGTCAGACCAGATCTCTGAGATTGAGGTGTTCCCCTCATTCCCTTTTCATCTGGCTTGGAAAGAACTGCACTGGCTGTGACTTGACAATCACAAAAGCATCCTCAGAGGTGGAGTTCGGAGTTTTGATTGTGGTCATCGTGGTGGTGCCTCAGCCTTCTCCTCAGCTGCAGGGAAAAACACTTCAATGAACACAATCAACGATGTTGCCCTGGAGTATTTCACAGGTGGGAGAAAAGCATAGGCAACTTTTGCCTGCAATCCTCTGAGTCTGGAGGGATACAGGCAACCTGACTGGCTATCACTGCCTTTCCCCTGAAACTGCAGGGCTGTGCTGTGCTTTGTGCTTATGCTGTGAACATAAACAATAAAATAAACATCACCCTTCAAATTCCACCCGTGTCTCCCACAATTACATTATACAGTGAGTGAGGCACTTGACGTTGGTATAAATAAAGCAGATACGGTGCTGTATTCATTACCAGCATGTGCCCCAGAGCAGTGATTTTGTTTCCAAAATAAAAAATAAAAAATGGCCAAGTTGTGCATCACAAACAAAAGGTCCTCCAGTGCAGACCCTGCCTTTGTTTTGACCAGTGTTATCTATAATTTCTTTGGTACTTCTTAGTGTACAGTGAACTCACCAATTTCTTATTTGTGGTTATGTTATTCTCTTTATAAATAGCCAAATTGAGAACACTGAACAGGTTTCCATTATTCAAACTGAAATGTTTGTACATATTTGCTATGTAATATGGTAGATATAATTATTTCTTGTTTCTGCCATCCAATTTGTTTCCTTGAGCTCAGGGTAGCATATATGATGTCTTCCCCATGCCAATTTTTATCCTCACAACAGCATGGTAGGGGAAGAAATCATATACATAGCCTTACGCTCATGGAACCATGGTGGAAGGTTGGCTGAGAGAGAGTGGCTGGCCCAAGAATAATCAGTAAGCAGAAGAGGGATTTGAACATGGATCTCCTCCATCATAAGTTGACCAAGGACAGAGGATGTGTGGCCCGCCAGCTGTTGTTGGACTACAAATCCTGTCATCCTTCACCACTGCGTAGGGCTGACGGGAGTTGCATTCCAACAACAGCTGGAGGCCGCACATTCCCCGTTCCTGGAATACATCCTGTGGACTCACATTTGCATGGAAGAGCGAGTGACACGATGCCTCCGCTTACTTCTACAGCTGCAAGTGCCCTGTGGCCTTTCATGGGCCTGAATGCCAGCAGACACAGCACACCTTCAGAGGACATGGATATGCCTGGTTCCCGCCCATCAAGCCATGCTTTCAGAGCCGCATCTCCTTGGAGTTCATTACGGATGTGACTGATGGCCTTCTACTGTACAATGGGCCAGTGGTCCATGTGAAGCCTGGGGAACTGGAAGACTTTATTGCACTAGGTTAAATACTTCAGCTTCTTTTTCTAGTGTGCGTACATGGCACTAAGCTGTTGTTTCCAGGCAGTCTTGGATCCAGGATCTTGATGGCACTTTGGAAGGACAGTCTCAGTGGGTCCAACTTCTCACTACCATTGGCCCCAGCTGCTAATGCTCCTCATGCTCCCCGCCCCCAGTATTGCTACTAAATACTAGCTTGACAAGCAGTGGCACTTTGGCGCTTACTGCTCTTGTCTGGGCCAGAATGAGAGGCAGGCAAACCATCAGGTTGGAATGGAGAAGAGAAGGAGTGAGCCCTGAGGGCCCCCTCTGGTCAATGGGCCTTTGCATGGCCCTGAGCCCTTGACAGCTTTCAGCCATGCCTACCTGTGACACTGGCCCTGCTCCAGGAACAATAGGATTGTGTCTTGAACAGGCATTACCTGGTGAAACGGAAATATGCTAAACTCAACCCTCACAGCATAAAGAACCAAACAGCCACGTTATGGGTTTTGCAGGGCTTTTGAATGTTCCCACTCACCATGCAACCAGTCAGCAACACACGCTCTGATGCAAAATATTGCAAGCAGTTTTGAAAACTTAGGGAAATTTCACAAATAATTTTGATGTGTTTATCAGCCCAGGTAAACTGGGAGAGTTCTAATTTCTATATTAGAAAGAAAGGTATAGAGTTCTTTCTTGATACCTCATATGTCTTCCTCTGTCTTCTAGTATAAATCCAGATTTAGACTGAATGTTGAAAAAATAAGTGAAGTTAATGCTAGCTATTAGCTTGTACAATAAGTGCTTATTAACAATGCTCAAGCCAAGAAAAAAAATCTTACTTTTGTCAAGAAGGAAAACTGATACGTTTTTGCTTTGTTTTGTTTTGTTTTGTTTAACAGAGCTTTCAGAAGGTGTTCCATCATTAACTTTAAACCATGGTTCAGGTGCACTGTTCTTGCGGCTGTCAGAGAAAGTCAACGTAGCTGATCGTCACTGGCATAACATAAAAATAATAAATGATGGAAAGGCAAGTGAAAAATGTTCACACAAATTATTCTTTGATTTTGGCATCTACGATTATTTTAAGGAAAGCCTTTAATTATGTTACAGTTTCCTATATTGAAATTACATCTGTGCATGAACTAGGAACCAAACTAGATGAGACAGCAGGAAATGTTTGGATATCATGGGCGTGCCTGTATTTTTCCTGGGGAATGGCATGAGGAAGAGGAATGGCATGAGGAAACTCTTCCACAATCCAGAGTTCTCACTTCCAACCAGAGTCAATATAAATCTATTTTCTACTTTAGAAAGTACAGCTAATCTTGGACCACTGTGTGAATGTCTCACTTACAAATGACAACAGCATCCTGGAGAAAGTGTCAAAGGTGGATCAATCTGCCTGCAAAGTTTCTTCTGAAACTCCAGGAAATGAAAGGTAAAAAGTTAGAATTACGTACTTTAATTGGCAAATTAATCAACTAAGGTCTGGTTGAGTAAGCAATGAAGGACCAGTTTTAATTGGTGAATTAAGTATATTTATTAGGCTATAAACCATGTGCGTTAGTGACTTTGTTTAACTTTCATTCTGTGTCAATGTGAAACCTAGCAGTAGTTACAAAATGGGTCATTTTTTTACCCCAAACAAAAGCACTTCAGGCAATGCAAATGCAGTATACACAGGCCTTTGTACTGGCTAAATGTTTGCTCTCAAGAAGCTTCAGTTAGCCTAAAATGACTCTAGATAACAGTTGGCTTCTGTCTTATTAAAAAGATTGAACTTTGATAAGAAGCTGTTTTTAATCTCTGGTTGTGGGGGGGTAGGAGTCTGTTACCCTATTCAGACCTAATGCTGAAGCAATAGCTAATATCAGCTGGGGGAAAGAGGCAGAGGCTGATGGAGTTTGCAAGCCCATAGAGTGCTATATTACCAAACCATGATGCAGTGATTGGATGGTACCTTAAGCAAAATAATGATCAACAGCTTTCTCTGTTAAATCATATGCCATGTTAAATGTCCGCATTTCAGAGAAAGCATTCTTAAATTGGTTGACAGACTAACTGGTTAAAAGGCTATCCCCCACCCATCCCATCAAAGGGTAGCTTAGTTTGCAGGTTTATTATTTATTTGCTTTCCACCTCTCTACATTATCTTGCTATTGGTAGATTTCTCAATGTCTACCAGCCTCTCCAACTGGGTGGTGTTAAGAAGGCCCAGCCATACCATACGTCACAGAAGCATTTCAGAGGGTTTATTGGCTGCATCCGGAATCTTGTCATCGACAGCCAGGTAAGAGATTCTGCACTCTTCTCCACCTCTGCTAAATCTAATAGCAGCTGCGTACCTGAGGCAGTATCCGATGCTGTCACTGTGGCCCCATTGGTGTGTCATTGGTGTTTGCTCAGCAAAGGGGGAAAGCAGTGATTTGCCACCGCCGTTTTCTTGGCATAGCAGGTGCTAGCGAAATGGTGCTAGCGCTGACAGCATTGGTTACTACCCTGTGAGTGGTTTCTGCTTATCTCTTCCCCATAGCTGTACAATCTCGAGCACCCTGCAGAGTCCTTAAACAGTGCACCAGGTTGCTCTCTGACTGACGGATTGTGCCAGAAAGCCAGACAACCCTCCTGCGGCATCCATGGCAAATGCATCAGCGACTGGGGGTCTTTTAATTGTGACTGTTTCTCTGGCTACACAGGATCAAGATGTGACAAAGGTACAGCTTGTGTTCATCCCATCCTCCTATCCGAACACAAATTCTGCAGTTGGTATTATGCATAAACAGTGACCGTGCGTGTGTGTGTGTGTGTGTTTAGACCTGTATAATTTGTTTTGCTTCCATGATACAGTTTTTAAAGAAACTAGAATGTTTAGATAAAAAGGCTGCTGAGGACTGGCTACATATTGTCATGGTTCCTTTTTTAACAAAAACAAAATGAAAGCTAATATTCTTGGTGCAGACTTTGTAAGCCATCCAGAGACTTTTAGTAATGGGACAGGATATAAAAACTTTAATTAAAATGAATAAAATAAATAACACTGATATAGGTCAGTGATGGGCAGGTTCTCATGTAGGCAAGCCTTGGTCCTGGATTAGCAAGGCTCTCCCGTCCTGTCCCGTCCCTTCCCTGGTTTTTTTTTTTTTTTTTTTGGTCTGGACAGCCATCCATTTTGTGGGACAACCATGCAATTCTAAGACTTCCTTATGGTAACAAAAAAACATGTCAAATCACCATTCTAAGGACCAGAGAGAGAGAAGCCTGAATGTTGACACTGTATGATTTTTGCATGTTTTCACATTTAGTTCTTCCAGAGTGGACATTTGGAAAGGATAGTTGGATTCATTATGAACTGAAAACTGTGTTTAACACCTACATCACACATGCACATCTTGCAGTACGGACCAGAATGTCCTATAGTACCCTTCTCAGTATGGCATCTTCAGATGGAAGTGGATACATTAGAGTGGAGGTAAATAATACATAAACTTTGGTCTCCTATGGCTGTGCATCTCTCAATATCAGAGAATCAAACCTGAAACTTGAACCTTCCTTTCCCCAGAACTACTCTTTGTCTCTGAAGTGCAACAAGACTTGAGCATGAATTGGAGCAGAAGTGGGAGGTTTGGCAGGGGGTGGGGGGATTAGGGTACCAAAAATAGAGTTTAACCAAACAGCAAAGCACCTGCTTTGGAATATCAGCAGTTTCTCCAGATTCACAGCAAGCCTATAAAATAAAACCAATGATCTAGGAGGATTCATATATGTTAGGTTCATACAGACATCTTTACTCTGCCTGCTTTAAGGTGTGCACCTGGAAGTGTTAGGCAGGAATTGAACTAGAGGCCTAATATACTTTTGTGACATGCGGTAGTTTTCATGGCTGTCAAGAGCATTGGGGCTAATGATGTTGCACTATCATAAACCAACAGTAGTACAATCCCATCATTATCATCATCATCAATTATGGTAATAGACTAGCAAAAGCCATTGTGGGCCAGCATAACAGATTAATGGTTTTCCATTACCTCAATTAATGGTTTTCCATTACCTCAATTAAAATAACAATTTAAAATGAATTAAAAGACAAAGAGGCAAGTAACAGACACTAAAAATTGAGATAAGCTAGGTTGTATAACTAAAACACATAATGCCACAGCATGTACAAAATGGTAATACTAATTTTTTAAATTTGCTGCAGCTTAAATGTATAAAACATATAGATTTATAACTAAATAACATAAGATTTTCTTAACCTGAGTATTGCCATACAGAAACTGGCAGAGTACAACATCATTAGTGCATGCTTGATAAAGGGAAAAACATGAATTGGTCACCCAAATGTGGCTGTGATTTTCCTCTTTTGTTTGGCAAATGGCTAATTATGTCAGTTTATGCTAGTATTGGTTTATGATAACACTGAGACAGCACTGGATTTTGCCCAGGAGTGTGGTCAACATACCAGTTATGACATGGGAAGGCTGAACCTGGGGCACGTATGTGAAACTATACAGGAAAAGTGACACAAGATATTGGGTGTATATCAAATTGTCTTTTCGAGTGCAGGGCAATGGGAACATCTTGTAAATGTTTATGCATTTTATAAAGTATATGCTCGGAATAGGAATTAATCTGTGAACCCAACAGCAGGGTAGAAAAGAAGACATAACATTCCTAGATTACAATAATACTAAGAAAGTAGAGAAACAGATTAAATATGTCCCATTCAAATAAATAGGTATGAACACAATTCTTGATAAAGAGGAAATGGGTTTACAGTGCACCTACAGGAGGAAGAAAAGGGAACGCAGGACACTGCTGCTGTGAAAATGGTTGAAAATGATCACTATAAATAATTAGCCTCATATATAAATATTCTTGTATGAACTAGAACTGAACCAGTTACTGATTTTTATTGATTTGGAGTCAATCCAGAGTAATTTTCATTGCTGCTGAACCTGCACTAGAACTGAACCAAGAATTGTAATGTCTTGATACCTTGAGTACAATTTTTTTTTTCATTTCTCAGTTAAATGGGATGGCAAATCCCTCTAAAACAATCTTCTAATTGCTGACACATTTTAACTGTTTAAAGGTTGAAAAGGTTGTTTAAAGGTTGAAAAGAAGCAGAGTGGTATGCTCCTGTTCCAAGTTTTAGTTAAATACATTCTGTAATATTCTGTTATTACAATTAAATTCCCTAATGTCTGTCTCCATACAGGTCTTTGGTGGACATTTCGGTGTGAGTTTTAATTTGGGAGAAAAGGATTACAATCTCCAGTTAAACACTGTGCGCGTAGACAATGGCCAGTGGGCTGAACTAACTTTAGAGAGATACCACAATGAATTTACCTTGCGTATTGACTATGGCGGAGGGGATCATGAGGTGTCGACTATCCTGGGATCACATGGACAGTTTGAAATGGATCTGGCAAGCATCATGCTAGGAAACCACCTCACTAACTATTCAGACAGTGATTTCCAAGGTATGTGGTGAACCAGAAGGGCTATGAAAAGGAAAAATGGAAAAGGAATGAACACTGTTAGTCTCTGTGGAGCTACTAATCATGTGCTCAGGACCAGCTCCCAAGTACACAAAGCTGGGCATTTGCCAAGACCCAAAGACCAAAAGGAAGTCCCCCACCTTAACCGTGTTACCATTTCCAGATGGCACAGAGCATCCAAGATCAAGAGCAACCCAGCAGAATTCTCAGAGAGCATGCCTGCTCTGTGAACAGGGCCCCGAGTCCCCAAATCCTGGAACCAGCCCCAGTGGTAGCTAGAATGCTGTCCAGTGCACAGATGGACGTGCTGTGGAATCCTGTGTGCTTTGACTTGTAAACTAACCAGAGAACTTCAGTTAAAGGGTAGTATAGAAATGCAGTCATCCTACACTGAGCCCAACTGTTTCTCCATAGCATTCTAAGTCCTCTGGTCTTTTCTAGCCACACTGCCTCAAATCCTTTTTCCAGATGCTCTAAATCAAATGTAGGATCTGAAATACATGCAGACCACGTGCTCTGGCTCTGAACTGTGGCTCTTTTCAATACTGTATCAATTCAATGCAGTCGTTAATAGCCTGGTTAGTGAAGTAACCAGCATTGTACCACTGCTGCTGGTTCCCCAATGACTGAATGTCCTTCAAGATGGTGCACTGGGGAGCAGGTCTTGTTACTGTTTTGTCTTCATCCATGTCTCTGCCATAGAATAGCAGTGTACAATGCCTCATCTGGCAAAGTGGCCGTTCCCTACATAGCTGCAACAGTACAGTGTTCCTGCGCTAGAGTGACTTCTACAGTCCCCTTACATTAGAGCAATTTGATTCCACCAGTTAGGATGTTACTGTGGGGCTTCTGGACCACCTCCTGACTGCTCTTTGAAGGAAGCTCAGCTGGTATCAATGTCCCTTTTGTCTCCTGTCTTCTGCAGGCTGCATGAGGGATGTCTGGCTGAATGGCCAGCCTCTTCTTGTGGATGGCAAGAGTACTGAATACAGCTTCATCGTGGAGCAACAAGGCATCACCATAGGCTGCCATTCCAGCTCTTGCAGCAGTCAGCCCTGTTACAGTCCTTTCCATTGCATCGACCTATGGAGGAAGTACGAGTGCAGGTATACGCTTGTGTTGCCTTTCTTCTATAAAAGGAAGTGTTCCTTCTTTGCTTTAAACCTAACCAGTTCATAAAGGTTGTATATCTTGAATATAGCTCATTGTAACTGCTGCACTTTTGCATAATATGAATTTCCTTCAATGCCAGGATCAGAAAAATGCAGCTTTTAATTATGGGCATGCTGCTCAAGTATTCCTATTTTCTGAAAGGAGAGAAGCTGCTGGGCCCCCTACCACATGAAGCTGTCTTTTTTATTACCAATGCTATCTGGGAAGGTAGCAATCCTGACACAACTACAGCCTGATACCTTGGATTCCCTGCAGTTAGAGATCAGTTTGCTTTTCTTGCTAAGACCTGGGACTGTCTAGCTTTTGGGATATTTGTTCTTGAAAATGTTTCATGCAGCCGTTCTAGATTCTGTTACACATTTAAAAAAATCCAAGCTGGATCATAAGAAAAATCCCAGTATTGGGTGCCAGGCAGTATCTTTATTAGGACCACCTAAAAATATACAAAATTATGATAAACATTCAGGATCTCCTGCTGAATCTCTTCAGCAGGCATGATGTTACAAAGGGGACTGGGAAAGCAAGGGGAAAACTGATGATGTTTAAGTCATGAAGTCAGGATCATAAGATGGGGTAGAAGAGGTACAGACTTAAATGAATTAAGTTCCACTTCTTAAGCCTTTAAGGCTGCTGAGACATGCTGGGAGTTGTAACACATTTTCTGTCTAAACAGGCAGAGGTTTCCACTCTGACAGGTGTCAACACAGGTTAACCCTTTTTTTCCATCACTTCTGCTCCCCACCCTTTGTAACTTCTTACCTGATGAAGTGATCTGGAGTTCTCAAAAGCTTGTCCAATTTTGTATTTGGTCTTAATAAAGAAATGGCCTGCATGTGGAATCCTAAGTCTGTGACATCCATGGTTCTTGAGGGCATCAAAATCAATATACAATCTGTTCCACAACAGAGAAAGCATCAGCTTAAGGTGACTAGACAGAGTAGCACCACCTCTGGACCATCATCAAGTTTTCTCCTTTACCTTGTGAGAAGCATAGGACAGTTTCAGTCCCTCTGGGGCTTCCACTCATCACTTAATGTCCATCATCATTCCAGGAGCGCTTCAGAAAAGACAAAGACAGAAGAGGCAGTGAATCCAGCCCTTTGGTACTGCCCAGAGCACCAGTTGTTTTTCCATTGTTTCATTGACAAGTTCTGCTCACTCATATTAAAGATCTGTGGCTCCCAAATTGGAGCTTTTCTACACAAGGCATTTATTGTACACTAGTGCTTTCTTACTCATGGTTGTTTATGGACTCTTAGAGGACATTGTGATCCTCCAGTTATGCGTCTATTTTTTCAAAGCACCCCCCCTTTCCTTAAGAATGGAGAAAATGGAGCATTACTTCTGAAGCATTGTTTCTACTGGCATTTGTGCTATTCTGCTATAGCGCAGTGCAACCTAGAGGTTGCATAGCAGAAAATCAGGAAAGGAGAAACTGTGTAAAGCTCTGATCTCAATTCTGCAATGAATTGAAAATATACATAATGGTTGGCATGCTTGTTTAGAAAAGGATGTTAGATGCCCATGAAACTGGGTGCCTGTGAAACTGGTCTGAGGAAGGATTTCAAATCTTACAGAGCATACCAAGCAGCAGCTAGATTGGGTTGATTCAACATGCAGCATCAGCACCCAAGGCCTTGTTCAGCGGCCCTCTTGCTGCTTGGAGTGCCCCATCCTGGATCCCTGTGGTGGTACGGGCATGATTGTGGTGAGCTCTTGCTCTTGCAAGACTCCTGGTCCATCTTGCTCTCTTCCTGGGCTCAGGATGAGAGCAGGTTGGACTGGCAGCCTCACAAGAGCTCACCCTAGCATTCGCCGTGCCGCTTCAGCTGACGAGTGCACAGGCGCTCAGCTTTGTCAGCTCAAGCACAAGAGGCTCAGCACACCCATTCCAAGAAGGAAGGAGGGGCCAGGGCAGTTTCTTTGAACTCGCAGCAAAAAGCCAACTCTGAGACCTCACATCAGTTTTCTCCCTCATTTAATGGTTAAATATTTTGTGTATATTAATTAAATATTTCCAACACTTTAATGTATAATAAGGAAATGCATTTCATTGTGTGGCTCCCAGGTTCCATGCTGAAGTCCTCATGCAGCCCTCGAGGTATGAAAAGTTGGACCACCCTGAGCTAGATATTCGCATTTGCTTTATTAAAAGGGTGGGCTTCTTCCCCCAGGTGTCCAGCTGGCAAAGTGGAAGTGACTGACAACCTCACAGGCCTTAAACAGTGCACATCATCACCCTGCGGACACTGGAACTGTAGAAATGGAGGCACCTGCGTGGCCCAGTCTCGGGACAAATATGTTTGCCAGTGCCCTGAAGGCTATAAAGGAAAATGGTGTGAAGTCAGCCCTATGAAAGCAGGAAGACCAGTGGGACTCAGCTCCGGTTCCATCTTGGCTATTAGCATGTGCCTGCTTGTTTTTCTAGGTAGGGACAATTGACCTCTCATGTTATCCTGATACTGAAAGGGCGAGGAATGTCTTTTGCCTTGAGAGCCAAATTCCCTTTTGGAAAAGATTTGGGGGACTGCATTCCTGAGTGGGTGAGGTAAAGGCAAAAGTGGGCAGGAACAAAGGGAAGGGGTCAAGCATGTTTTATACAGAGTGTAACTAGTCCTAAAGAGGAACATTTTGACTTTTTAGGATGTGGGGAACTGCCCAAAAGCCAGGAAACCAGCAAATTAGCAAACAGTTGGTGGTTGGAGGAAGAGGGTTGGAGGCAGGGGAGGAAGCACTGCCATTTTGGTTGCCCCAGAGGACTGGAGTCGGCCCATGGGCCTGAGGTCCTGCACCCCTCCAACAGTGCATGTCATGTTATTGAAATGAGGACGTGGGCAGCCGTCGTCTGAGTTACTGCACTGATTAACTACTATTTTAGCATAGGTAAACCCATGAAGATGTGGCTACATCTCTTCTTTTGCCTTCTCATACTTCCTTCTTGCCCACAACTCTTCAGTAGCTCCTGGATTAGGTTGGCCTGCACACTAGGAGAAATGGAAATGTATCCACAGTGTGTGAGTATATGAGGCAGGCCTGGCACCAGCTTGGGGCAGCTCCTCAGGGACCACTTTCAGTGCCCAGCCAAGACAGAGCAGCTCGGTGCAGGAGCCAGCTTCCCACAATTCTGCAGCGCAGTGCTATGCCGGAGGTAGTGTGGAAACCAAAACAGCAGCTAGTAGATGCCAGTGCCAATGCTGATGCATCACTTTAGTTGCCAGCTGCTGCCACCCACCAAGCCTGCTCTGAGGTACTCACACAGGAGGGGTGAAGGAGCCCCAGACCTGGAGTTAGCCTTCCCATACAGGATGCTGCTGCATGGTTGCTCCATTCAGCTGTGTTTCAGTCCCTGAGGGGCCATTTGGGCCAGTGACAAAGGTGGGAAAGAACCATTTGCGTAGCAACCATGGGACCGCTACTCATAACACACAGGCCGACTTTTTTCTCCTAAGAGCACAGTGTGGTTTGCTACATACCTGTCTCATCCAGGTAACTGTCAGGGTGGGATGCTTTGGTTTTAGCAGAAGATGAGTGATATGCCTTTAGACAATTCTCTGGATTGGGACACCAGGAGTTAAATTATTGATTTTTATTAAATTTATACTTCAAATGATTTTTAGGGTAAAAAGTTCCTCTCCTGTGTTTGAGGGTTTAAAAAACCCCCTCTCAAGTGTGCAATGTGACAAGAAATTGAGTCCATCATCTCACTTAACCCTCCTAGTAGCTGTGCTACTTATAAGAGTCGGTAGAGCATCAGTTCCAACAAACATGCTCAATTTCCTCCCCTCTCCACCAAACATTTGCACTGAATGAGGCATCCGTGGCACTGAGGAGACAGAGTCGCTGACTATGCGGAAAGAATCTTTGCCTGCACAGTGCAGAATCAAACATGACTGAGCAGCAATACTCTCCCACCCCTGCACTCTATGCCTGCCCTCCCAGTATGTGCTCTGGAGGATCCCCCAGCTCCCTGGAGTAGATTTTGAGGGTGCCTGGGGACAGAGGGGGAACTGCCCCCTCCCTGTTCCTTTTTACAGCAGCAGGTCCATCAGCTGCATGAGTTAACTGTTTTCCACTCACTGGGGGTATTTTTCAGGCATTCAACTAAATGGTGGGATCCCTCTCCCACTGCATGTATCTTGAGATTTCTTTTAAGCAGTGGCATTCAAGCTGGGGTCCAGAGCCAACTGCATGATACAGGACCAATGGCATGGACTGGGCTCCTGCCACCTGGTGTGCTGGATGAAGTTCGGAAAATGTCTGAATAGCTTCCTCACAAGTTTAGCTTTGTACTTAGGACTGTGAAAATGGATACAAAACTAAACATAATTTTAAATGAATTGTTGAGTGCCTTGAATGAAACTAAAAGCCTCCCTCCAAAAGTACACATATCTCAGAAAAGTAATGACTCAAACAATTAATAATACCACTTTAATCTTCATTAAAA